TTTGCCAGTTCTCCGTTGGGCCCCCGATAAGGATGGCACCCTCCGAACGGTCCGACCAGGACCTGTCCAAGTCTAACTTCGAGTAAGATCCAACGTTCAGCATGCCTAAAACTCACAAAAAGAAGGAAGGAAAAAAGAAAGGGAGAAAAAAGCCCAGCTACTAACTTCCCCCTTCCAGCGTAGACTATGTCATCCATTACGAGATCCCCCCAACAGGTATGTCTTCTTCTCCTTCACACCCAGCAGCAGCCCAACCCTACCCAACCTAACCCTTCAGACCTCCCCATCCCCCAAGACATAAACAAAGACTAACCCCTCCTCTCTAGCCACCGCCGAAGCCGAAGCCGCCTTCATTCAGCTCATCACAGCCCTCTCCTCGACTGGCTTCACCACCGAAGTCCGTCGCGGCCGCAAGCCTTCCTCCCTCCTCATCTTTACCAAACTGGCTTCCCCCAACCTGCTGCGCAATCAAGTCTACCGCGCCCGTGTCCAGGACTGGCTATATGGCGTGAGGCCTGATGCCCCGGCCAAGATCACTGCCGAGGGGGAGAGCGAAGAATCAGAGCCCATCACGCCGGCCGAGAGACTCAGAGTCGCGTATTTGTTGATCACCCGACCTAAAGATGAGGGCGGGGCAGGTGTCAGCCCCGCCAATGTAGCTTCCAGCAGTCCAGGTGTGTCACCGGCGTATAACCGGTTTGTGAAGAGCATCTTTGCGCCGCACGACAAGGCGTTTAACCGGACTTGGTTGGCAAAATGGACTTCCAAGTACCAGCCGGATGATAACGACCTGTCGGAGATTCGGGATCAATTTGGGGAGAAGGTGGCGCTATACTTTGCGTTTTTGAGGGAGTATTCAAGGTTCTTGCTGTTCCCGGCTGCGTTTGGCTTCGCGGCGTGGTTGTTGTTGGGGCCGTATTCGTGGGTTTATGCTGTGGTGAATGCCTTGTGGGGGGTCGTTTTTTTTGAGTATTGGAAGGTGAGGGAGGAAGATTTGGCTGTGAGCTGGGGGGTTAGGGGCGTGGGCAGGATTCAGCATCCCAGGCCGCAGTTCAAGTGGGAGAGGGAAGGGATTGATCCAGTTACCGGGCAAGTGGTTAAGGTTTATTCGCCTGTGAAGAGGTTCTTGAGGCAGTTGCTGCAGATTCCCTTTGCCGCAGCCTGCGTGGTTGCGTTGGGAGGGGTCATTGTCAGCTGCTTTGCCATCGAGATCTTCATTACCGAGGTGTACAATGGGCCGTTCAAGCAGTATTTGGTAAGTGATGATACACACTTACCCCCTTCCCCTCCCCTTCCCCCCCTCCTTGAGCTTGTCCCTGGCCTTCTCTGGCTGACCTTCAGACCTTCCTCCCAACCATCATCCTCACCATTTTCAACCCGACCTTCACCGCCCTCCTTACCATATTGGCCGAGCGCCTCACCGAGCTGGAAAACTACGAGACGCAGGACGCCCATATGGCCTCCTTCGTGCAAAAGATCTTCGTCATCAACTTCATAACCTCCTACCTCGGAATCTTCCTGACCGCCTTCGTTTATGTCCCATTCGCCAAGGTCCTGGTCCCTTACCTCGATATCTTCCAGTTCACTGTGCAGAAATTCACCCCTGAAGGTGTCGCCCTGCCCACCAAGAGCTGGGAGATTAATCCAGACAGGTTGACGAAACAGGTTATCTACTTTACCGTCACTGCGCAGATTGTCAACTTGGCCATGGAAGTCATCATGCCGTGGGCTAAACGTAAGGCGTTCAAGACTGTTGAGAAGGTCCAGGCCGAGCGCAACAACGAGAAGCCGATTGAGACCCAGTTCAAGGATGATCCCCAAGAGGCCGAGTTCCTTGAGCGCATTCGCGATGAGGCTGAGCTGGAAGAATACGATGTCACTATTGACTATCGGGAAATGGTCATCCAATTCGGTATGTCCCTTTCTCCCCCCTTCCTCTCCCCTCTCCTCTTCCTTGCCACAGTTATCCAATGCTGACTCTCCAGGCTACCTTTCCCTCTTCTCCGTTGTCTGGCCCCTCACCGCCATCTCCTTCATCATTAACAACTGGATCGAGGCCCGCTCCGACGCCGTCAAAATCATCACCCACTGCCAGCGCCCTATCCCCTGGCGTTCCGACACCATCGGCCCCTGGCTCCGCTCCCTCGGCTTCCTCTCTTGGCTGGGCAGCATCACCAGTTCCGCGCTCGTCTTCCTCTTCCATCACCACCACGGCGGCGCCCACATCGACGATTATTCCCCCTGGGATATCCCCTTTTGGGCTTTGCTGCTGACGATTATGTTTGCGGAGCATGTGTATTTGGGTGTGCAGATTGTTGTGAGGGGGGTGTTGAGGAAAGTCGTGGAGACGCCGGGGCTGGAGAAGGAACGCGCGGAGAGGTTCGCGTTGAGGAAGATGTTTGAGAGGACAGGGGGCGTTGGAGGGGTTGAGGGAGGGAAGGCTAGTGAACAGGTCGGGGGTGAGAAGATTACGAGGGAGAGTTTGGAGGACGATGCGAGACGGTTGGCTGAGGTTGAGGGGATGCCGGAGAAGATGTGAGTTTTTTCTCTTCCTTTTTTTTTCTTTTTCTTTTTCCTCCTTTTTTTTCCCCCCCTTCCCTCCCATGTTCAAAGGAGAGGATAATGGATGCTGACTTCAACAGGTTCTGGCTGCGCCAGAGGAACCCGGATGAGACTATCCAGGTTGGGAGGGCCATGATTGCTGAGGTAAGTCCTAGTTCTGTCGATTATTTCGGCGAGAGGTTTTGGGCGCTAACACTTGGTAGTTTGCGAACCACACCAGGGCGAAGAAATAGATCGCTTGAGTCTCGTAAAGTTAAAGACCTATCGTCATGACTTGATTGGATAGATTAGAAGGAATTATAACGTTGAGTTTCCTCGGAGGAAAGAAGATGGAATTGACAATTGACAACGACAATAGTAGAAACCATAGCCAGATGGAAAGTCGTCCGGGAAGGCTATCTGGTCTTTCCTTATTTTTACATCTAGATTTATCTTCAACTGAAATACATAAAATAAAGGAGGATGATGCCAGCCACCGACCGCGCCCGTGACGGAAATCTCCTTCTCCCTCCTCCAACGTTCATTCACTGCACAAGACGACTGTCTAGTGCATTTTGAGCCATTCAGCTGCCCTGGTTGGCGAGTAACATTCGCCAGGTACTGTGGCTTGTGATCGGCTAAATTTGAAAGATCCCATTTTCCTCAAAACACCTTCAAATCTCTTCACTTTCTTTCCAATGCCTAGGCATTGCACTATAGGGGCAACAACATGAACGTCATTCATCAGTTGGAACCAGTTGGCCAAGTGGGGCCGATGATGGTTTGTCGCCTCCCTACGAGGAGATTGAGCAACAATGGTCACAGGCAGTTCCGAACCCTGCCATGGATGATGAGGATGATCCCCCATCAATCTTATGATGGCGTTGACACACAGTCACACCAGATGGAGCCCACGATTGACGGAGACAGTTCTTTTTGCCTCGTATGGAGAGTTCTGCAAGGGGGCCGAGAAGGCTTCTCTTATGGGGCGGTTCAAAACGGTATGTAAGATGCTCAAACAAATCACCTCCGAAAGGGACGCGGATGACTGACTGACATTCATGAAGGATAAGCACGCCATTCCAACCATCCTCTCCAGCTTCCTCATCAAATTCTATCTCCCCTCCTGCCACCCTGACTGCGACTACCCTCCCCCCCCCCCACCATGCCTCCAGTCTTGTCTATCCATGCCGGCCGCACCACCCACCTTAATGATGCAGCTGTTCTTCTCTACCATCACGGCCTCTTCAACCACCTCTTCAAACATGAAGCCCCTGAGATGATCTCCCTTTTCCCTTCAAATGTGACTGGTCTAAGAGTCAAAACCATTATGCGAGAGAACCGCGAGGAGAAAGAGATCGACGCCGAGCTTAGGACCTACCTAGGAAGGGATAACTTCGTTCTCCTGCTCCTGAAAAAGAAATCCCTCCCATAATGCAGCTGGTCGTCTCCTCGCCGTGAGTAAGTAATTTCGGGCCGGAGGAACTGCAATTAAAGTGGCCGAGCGCCGTTACCAAACAGGATCTATCGTTAAGCCCTGACAATCGGAGGGTGATATCCCGGCTTTAAACCCCGCTAAGCGGCTGCTGCAGTTCTAAGCAGACCAAAGAACATATGCTACAATTAATTCAACAACTTCTGCAATTCCATCATTGTGATCCTGTCTTCCACAGCTTGTTCCTTGTTAGAAGCCCGAAAAGACCTGAAGGCTTATAACTGCAGCTTTTGTTTGTTTTCCATCAAACTCCATGAATCGGATACGCGAGAGGGTAACAAAGGTCAGTACTAGCAAATGGAAACGTCGAATTGTCTTCGATCGACCATCTAGGATAAGTAAACCTGTTCCCTAACGCTCATAGTCTTCATAGCAAAGAAACAGCTACCTCCGAGAACGTCCTGAATCAAGCATCCTTTTTGATCAAGTTACATGTCGCAGCATAGCTGGAAAGAGTGCCTATGGCCATCGATGTCGCGTTCAAGCAGGCTACACAATTCATCCAAACGATAGAACGGTGTGGTTTGGCGAAATAGATTTCGTGGAGCACATCCCTCGTCGCCCCGTTTCGCACCCTGTAATACATATTTCGGGAACATTCTTTGTATGCATCTCCCCAAAAGACGTCGAGGACTAGATGGGCATCAACGAGCTAGATCTCCCTATCCCCATTTCTAGGGTTTTGCCTGCCCTTCGATTCCTAGATGGGAAATATCTCGACCTGGACACTCATTTCTGTGGAGTCGCCATCCAAACTTGTGACACTTGGCAGACAACAACTCATGAAGTCTGGACTGAGAAGCCAGATTTACTTCCAAATCTCCCCGTTGTTGAGTTGGCTGTTACTCAAAGATCTTCGGCATCTTATTCCCACCATTTTCTGAAGGACTATTTGTATCTGGATTGGTAGATCATTCTGAGGGGCTGTTATTGTTGAACCATATCCGATTACTACCCCCTCCTGGGCACTGGCTTGAAGTTCTCTCCAAAGCCCTGGAATGTCACAGCTAAGAATGCAAACGAAACGCAATCCGCAATCGCAAAGTTGGATTGGCATCGACACAAGCATGAGCTTCAAGCCAAAACATGAAGATGGGAAACACGTCTGGCTGAACTTCCGAAAGGGGGATGGCAGCACTGGCATTCAATGTTAAGTTTTTTTTTTTTTTTTTTTTTTTTTTTTTTTACGCCTTTAGCTCTCAAGCGGAACTGTGTTGTCTTAAAGGAGAGTTCAATTAACGAATGTGACATGTCTGGTCGACAAAGAAACGAACTGCTGCTGGTATGGGCAGAATTCCAGAGGGGATTGGGGCCTTTTTCCCTGTGATTTTACTGAGTGGCCATCTGTAAACAAATCGAAGGACAAAGAGCCAAAGTCAGCGTCGATGGTCAGGAGGATATTTTCGGTATTTGAATTGGGTAAACACTAATTAGTCTGTCGAGAGATATTCGCTGGGACATAGCCACCAAGTCTTCAGTATTCTCTGTACGTTTATATAAGCAGCTGAGGATATCCTGCATAATTCACTTTCCATGCGGCTTGTAGCAAGGAGATGTTCCGCTCATCCTTTTCAAACCACTGATCAACGAGTTTACCAGATATCCGGCCTCTGTTAGCTTGGATTGATCTTCAACAGCAGCGTCAGTATCATAAATACCATTTAAACCCTGCTTTGAATGCATCTTACCATCTTCTACCATAGAGTTGGAAAGGTGCGTCCCATACTTACTTCAAAAGCATGTCACATCTCACTTCGAGTACCTCCAGGTTTATCTGAAGAAGCCAGATAGCATCTGATAGGACCGGGTTATCCTGACCAGATCGTGTATTCATCGCCTTAAGTTCTCCCAGTACATGGAGAGCTCTTCAATATGGCTCAAGCACACAACGTTCCACAATGGGTTCTGAAAAGGGGGTGTTGATCAGGCGCATGCAAGCTCGGTCGCCCGGAAAGGCTCGTGTGATTTGATGTCATCTTGCAAATCGGCCAAACAAGTCATCGGAGACAAGAGACAAAGGAGTGTAGCGAGTGTAGGTCATGTCAGCATGACACCAGAAGATGTCACTTCCTGTCAAAAGCAAGTATCCAGCGGAGCTTGAGACTCATAAGTTTGAACGAGAGCTGTCCTTCAGACAAGAATTCGGGAAATTGTCCTCCTCCGCCATCGTGTATACAGCTGGTTGTCAAAATGCCCGCCTAACCAGTAATCACCAATCTCCATTCCACAAGAATGCCTAGGCAACTATTCATCTAAATTCGGGATCCAATCCTTTTCTGGAAGGACAAGGTGACAAGAAAGGTCTCAGCTGAAAGGCTCTAACCCATGTGGTATGCTAAGTACTGCTAGCTGCGCCGGATCCAGCCAAGGCGCTCACCAACCTTCCAGACAACATGTTATGATGAAAGAATATCTCAATATGCTTATCGAGAGTCCAGAAATGGCTTATGAATACATGGTTGAGTTGGAGCGTCGATACTTATGTAATATAGCGGAAGTCGACTTCCCACCACCTAGGGGTCTTCATCAATCCACAGACAACCAGGAACTGACGGACGATATGGACAAATCCCTCGTCGACCAGCGGGTTGGTCTTTCACCGCTCAACCGGGATATTCACCTCGACCTTTCGGATAGCATAAGGCTGGAAGACGAGAGAGAGTATCCCCGGGAACCACCACCGACGTATTAGGAGGCAATTCGGGCATCGCAGCTGCAGGATATTGAGCCTCGATCAGGCATTCATAACCAAGAACCGCCTTTTCTTCGAGGTCCTCCAGATTGCAGTTGCCCTAGCGCTTGCAGATGCCACAGAATTCGAACGTCGCTGGTACGGCGACTTTACCGACGACTCGTTGGCTGACCGTTTCCTGAAGGACTCCACTCAAGAGCTGGAGCAAAAAGCGACTACTTCTTCCTTTGGATAGAAACCGAGGACGGTTGATGTATGATAGCGGCAGGTTTCCCTTTAGCTAATTGGGGCTGGAGAGTTGGCGTGTAGTTGGCGTGTATCTGTTTGGTCCACCAGAGGTACTGCTTTCCATCGCCGTACCACACAGCATTTTATCAACCTCCTTCTACACTCTCTAAAGCATCTGCCGTCTCACAACAACCACTCCTTATAGAGCCCCCCTTCCCCAAATATTTTTCTATCTTCCCATCCCCAAACAACTCCCTCCTGATCTTCTTCCCCTTCTCCCTCTCCTCCCGATACATCCTCCTGACCTTCTTCGCATCCAACAACTTAGGCTTTTCTCTTTTTACTGTTCCATCCTTATGTTTAGACACCTCCATCCCCAGCCCCTCTCTCCCTCGTTCTTTTACTTTGATAGGTGCCACAATACCCTGCCCCTCAACACCGAGACCCTTGCGTGAGTCAGGGTCCCAGCCATAGGAGGCTAGGTAGTTGAGACCCATGCGGGTGCGGTCTAGGTGGGAGGGGGGGTGAGAGTGAGGGAGAGAGAGTTGGTGGGCTAGGGTAAGGTGGTGGGGGGTTGTGCTGTTTGTGGAGAGGGGTAGGCGGCAAGTTGGGCAGAGTTCTTGTTCTTCTTTTTCGTCTGAAGTGGATTTCGTTTGAGGTTCAGGGGATTGACAATCAAGAACTGGGGAGTCGGTTCGTGATGTGCCCGGAGTAGGTGACTGAGGAGCTTTGGGTTGAGAAGTTGGCGGCGCAGAGAGAGCTCTCTCTTTCGCTTTTGACTCCTCCTCCTTCGGCTTTTGCCCTTCCTTAGGTAGAACCAAACTCAAATACAAATCTGCCACGGCAGCTGGATCGGGCTTAGGCTTGGTAGGCTGGATAGATGGTGCATCTGATGAGGCACGCACAAATGCGATGGGTGGCTGTTTGTAGAGACCGCTTCCTGGGGGACGGATGCGCTGGAGAGGTGTTGTGGTATCATAGTCTAGGTCGTCTTCCTCATCTTCATACTTTCGATGTTGAAGAGGCATTTCGTGTATTTTTTTTTTTCTTGAATTTTCTTTCTTTTGTTTTTAAGGGGGCGACGATCCCCAGAGCAATGGATGGTGCTGGGTGGTGCGTTAAGGATGATAGTGATTAAGGAATGAGGCCAGAAAAATGGAGCTTGGCGTTGTGAACCTTGACGGACGCCAAGACTCAAACCTAGTCCTGCCGGACCCGCTGCGGCAGCCTGGCCCACTGTGCGTCAGGGGCTACGTCACGCCCGAGCAGCTGTCAATTGGAGGCCCAGAGCTTCTGAATTTCGACTTTTTGTTCTAAGACTTTTTCCTCACATTCTTTCCTCTCAATCACCACAACAAAATCCTCCTCTCTGATCCAAATTAAATGACCCGCTAAAATGCCCATACCCTTCCTCACCAGCCTCTACTTCGACGGTCCGCCGTCCTGGTTCCCCGAACCATGGACGCTCGTGAAATGGACGACGGCGCTCGGAGCCGTCTCCCTCACGAAATGGTACGCCTCCGGCCGCACCTGTCCCTCCGACCGCAACATGCACGGCCGCGTCGTCATCATGACCGGCGGCACCTCTGGCATCGGCGCTGAAGTCGCCTACGAGCTCGCCCGCCGCGGCGCCCAGCTGGTGTTGCTCACTCGTCACGAACCCGGAGATCCGTTTCTGGTGGACTACATCGATGATCTACGGGCTAGGACCAAGAACCAGCTTATCTATGCCGAGCAGGTTGATCTGGCGAGTCTTCACAGCATACGAAAGTTTGCGACAAAATGGCTGGATAATGCGCCGCCGAGGAGGTTGGACATGATTGTCCTCTGCGCAGGGACGCTTGCTCCTCCTGGCACGCAAAGGACGGAAACCGAGGAGGGCATCGAAACAATCTGGCAGATCAATTTCCTCGCCAACTTCCACTTGCTAGCCCTCCTCAGCCCAGCGATCCGCGCCCAACCCTTCGACCGCGACGTGCGCATCGTCATACCAACCTGCAAGAGCTACATTTCGTCACCAAAGCTGGATGACGAGATGCCCAAGATCCAAGACCGAGATAAGGACAAGCCGACGTGGACGCCGCAGAGGGCGTATGCAAGGTCGAAGCTGGCACTGATGACGTTTGCAAGATCGTATCAGAAACACCTAGAGTCGAACAGGAAAAAGAGTGAGGAGCAGCTGCCGCTGAATGCAAGGGTTATTTTGGTTGACCCTGGGCTGGCCAGGACGCCGGGGACAAGGCGTTGGTTGACAAGGGGATCGCTGTGGGGGTTGCTGGGTTATCTACTGCTGTATTGGTTTGTATGGCTGCTTCTGAAAGCGCCGGGCATGGCGGCGCAATCCATTCTCTTCGCCGCTTTTGATGGGGAAATCATGCGGCGTCCTGGTGGCCGGCTGATAAAGGAGTGCATGGAGGTAGATTGTGCGAGGGCAGATGTGGATGACGAGGCGGTCGCGAAGAAGCTTTGGGAGACGAGCGACAAGATGATTGAGAAGTATGAATGGAAGGGGGCATACAAGCGGGCGAGGGAGAGGGAAGAGAGAGAGGAGCAGGAGAAAATCAAGGAAGTGGAGGCTCTGGTCGAAGCGATTAAGAAAGGAAAGGAGGCACAGAAAAAGAAGGAAAAGGAGAAGAAAGAAAAGGAAAGGGAGAAGAAGGATGGGAAGAAGGATAACAAGGGAACGACGAAGTAGACATGGTGTTTGGTATTGGTTTTTGTATGGCTAAAATGAAGTTGTAATGTCTAGGTATGTCTCGGTGTGCTCAGGTGAGCTCGGTGAGCGCCGGGGGTCCGGGACTTCCAGCCGAGCTGGTCCCACCTCGCTGTCACTCAACTTCGGTTGTTGGACCCGGGCGGGCCCGCCGCATGTGAAGGAGACGTCATCGCACGTACCTTGCCAGCTGCTTACAAAGAGACTAAGGAAGCAGTTTGAGTGTGAGAGACCGAAAAGCCTTGCGTTGTTTGAGGGATTACTATCATCTCTTAGTTCCTTCATCTATCGGCAGCGGGCTACCTCCATTGTGCAGTCCTCTCTATCAACCTCGGCTCACCCTGTCCAAGCAAAGCCGGGACCGGGAGATGACATCTTCCCATCCTCATCCCCAACCTCCAGCTTCACTCCCACCCGACGAACTCATTGTGCCCTGCCAGATACTTTGGGGACATCTTCCTAATCAACATCGGGCACAGAAGCCGCTGCAGCAAGACACACAGATGCGCCAACTGTCCCAGCCACAATTACATCCCCAACTGCAGCAACCACAACCATACCAACACCAGCCACACAGACCTCCACATCCACAGTTACATCCACAAATAGTTCCAATTGTTCATGACCCATCACAACTACATCCTGTTTTTTTACAAACAGGCTACGACGACCGCCTGTGGGAGTGAGATTGGCACAGCCCAGCCCTGTGGCGCATGGATATGTTTATCAGGATGGTGTGAGGACTGGAGATGGCTCGAGGTTATAACTTAGTTTAAGAGCGGTTGACGTTGTGGATGGTTGTGGAGGTTCATAGGAAGGGGTTTGATGAGGTTATTGCATAGAGTTGGGCAATGTTGAAGCAGGTGTTTGTATATTCCTACGGCTTCCCCCAACTACGGCATCGAGAGTTATGATCCTAGAAGGCTTAAAGCTCACCCGCTCATGATAATCTCGCTCGATAGACGAAGTAAATAGAACATTACGCTACGCCCATGACCCATACAAAAAGTCTTCCCAGCAATCCATCTCCCACCACAATCCTAACGCCGCCAACCCATGCAAACCCAAAGGAATCACAAACCATCTTAGAATCTCTCTGATCGATACAACTCCTCCTATCATCGGTCCCGACGGCCCCTAAACGCCGCCCTTCACCGACGTAACAATCGTCAGCAAAATCAACACCACCACAAATCCCAGCAGGCCCATCAACTTGACATTCTTCCACCACATCTTCCTCTTCAGCCCCCTACTCCTGAGTCTAAACTCCCGTGCACTTCCCCCCAACCGATCCGTCTTATCCACCAGCAAATCAATCCTCTCCCCACGCTCTAGCAATCCCTCAATATTTCTCGACATGATCCCTCTTACATCCTCAATCTCCCTTTGCACGCTGTTAATCGAGTCACCGCCATTGTTTTCGACGTCCAAAGCGCGCTGGCTGTACTCCGCCATCAGCTTGCGCAGTTCACCCTCAAACTCTGCGCAGCCGTAGGGCAAGAAATTAGAGAAATCGTGCTTCTCGGGAGGGAAACGCGCCAAAAACCGAGTGCGCAGCGTAGTAAGGAACTCGAAGCATGTTACTCGGTATAAAGTCTTGTCGGGGGAGATGACGAGATAGGTCAGCCGGCCAGCAGAGGCTTCATCATCGGGGTATTCGGAGGCAGACGAGGCCAGGTAGTGGATGTGGTATGGCTCGCGGGCGTAGGTGGCTTTCTGGGGCTTGGAGTGGTCGATTTTGGGGAGGGCGAGGGAGGAGAGGGAGGAGGCGTGCGAGGAGGGTGAGAGGGTCGTCTCGGTAAGAATAGTTGTTTCGTAGGCTATGCAAGCGCTGCGAGGAGTTAGAATTCATGATATGAGGGAGAGTGGATGGGGGAGAAGGCATACTAGAGGAGAGGTGTTGACGTTGAGGATGACGCCATTTTGATTGTTTGGTTTGAGGGTGCTTTAATAAGTCGGGCTTTACTTGATTTATGGGGCTTTAATCTTTTCCTATGTGGAAGCGCTGGATACTTGAAGCTTAGCCGCACCCGGCGAGCTGATCCAAGCGGTGATGATGAGAGCAAGACTGTTGGATTGATGGGAATTGAAAAGAGCAGCCCGCCCGCCTGCAGCATGACGATACCCAACTCCACCGCCTTGGCATGGCTTGGCGCTTGGCATGCCCACCCTTGTCTCGTGACCACCCCACTGCGAACGGGGGCCGCTGACCTTGCTGTGGACCCACCACTCGGGCGACTTGGGGTGGCACATTTATCTCTCTTATCGATAAGCGGAAACATCAGAAAAAAAAGAATGGGCCCTCTTCACTTATCGGCATCGAGGACCTCATCGACGCGCCTCGCGGTATCTTACTCCCACCCCAGCATGGTTGCAGCCATTGTCCCGACGCGGTCATGAACTCAATGCTCAGGACCGCCTGGAGGCACGGGAATCGCCCGAAGCCCGCGAGGAGCGCCGTCCTTGCCGCCCCGACCGCTGTCCTTCCGGCATGCCGTCTCCCCTCCCTCTCCTCGACCCAGTGCCATCCCGCTCTCTCAGCCTCGTCTCCTTCCTCTCCCCGCCGCTACACGACCTCCCCGCGGCTGCTTTTCCACACCACCGAACATTTCGAACGCAAGGAGTCCAAACAGGTGCGACCCAGCCATGCGACGAAGCGGAACTACCAGGTCTTCCAGGCCCTCGTCGAGAGCCACCTGACCAAGGTGTTCGCCGAGATGGGGCCATGGGCACAGAACCAAGATGAATACCGTCCTTTCGGCCTGACCAGCCAGCAGCAACTGGATAAGGAGGTCAAGCTGTTCCGCATGGTGCTGGACAAGGCCTTCAAATTGGCAGTGGAAGATGGCAAGCTGAGCCGCCAGGACAACCCTTTGTTCTGGGGCCTGCGCAACGCCTTCATCAAGCAGGATGCCACGGGGCTGCGCCGTGAGCTCAAGTACGCCTTCCAGACCTTCCTGATGCGCTCGCGCTTCCCCAAGGCCATCAACGAGCTGCACATGGCCCTGGCCGACCTGCGTTTTCCGTACGAGTGGTATCCGGCTACGCGCATGATGCAGCGGACTTTTCATCTGCACGTCGGCCCTACAAACTCGGGCAAGACGTACAACGCGCTAAAGGCTTTAGAGAACGCCCGGACGGGCATCTACGCCGGCCCGCTGCGCCTGCTGGCCCACGAGACGTGGACGCGCTTCAAGGCGAAGAATAAGCCGTGTGCTCTCATCACGGGCGAGGAGTTGCGCATCCCGGAAAATACGGATACGTGGTTTCACAGCTGTACGGTAGAGATGACGCCGCTCAACACGCGTGTCGATGTGGCCGTCATCGACGAGATCCAGATGATCGCCAATGATGAGCGCGGCTGGGCCTGGACCCAGGCCGTGCTGGGTGTCCAGGCCAAGGAGGTACACCTGTGTGGCGAGGAGCGTGTGGTTGATCTGATCCAAAACATTTGCGCTCGCCTAGGCGAGAAGTGCATTGTGCACCGCTACAACCGTCTCAATGGGCTCGAGGTTGAGAAGAACAGCCTCAAGGGCAGCTTTCGCAACCTGCGCAAGGGCGACGCTGTGGTTTCCTTCTCGCGTCTCACGCTGCACCAGCTGAAGGCTGGTATCGAGCACGACACGGGCCGTCGCTGCGCCATTGTCTACGGTAGTCTTCCCCCCGAAACGCGCGCCAGCCAGGCTGCGCTGTTTAATGACCCCGACAACGAATACGACTTCCTCGTGGCTAGCGACGCCATCGGCATGGGTCTCAACCTCGAGGTCCGCCGCGTGGTCTTCGAGACGGTCCATAAGTTCGACGGCACCAATCTCCGCCAGCTTAGCGTGCCCGAGATCAAGCAGATCGGTGGGCGCGCAGGCCGCTACCGCACCGCGGCCAAGGCCAACGTATCCGACGAGGAAGCAAACCAACCTCCGCCGCCGGGTTTAGTAACAGCTCTTGACGACGAAGACCTGCGTGTCATTCGCAAAGCCTTCAACACCGATGTGTCCCCCATCAAGACAGCCGGTCTGCGCCCACCCCCCGCCGTCCTGGAACGTTTCCACGCCTACTTCCCTCCAAAGACTCCCACTACTTTCGTACTCGCCCGTCTGCGCGAAATGGGCCGTCTGTCAGGTCTCTTCCACATGTGCGACATCTCCGACGCCCTCCAAATCGCCGAGCTCATTAAGCCCTACGACCTTTCCATCCCCGACCGCTGCGTCTTCCTGCACGTGCCCATCAACCTGCGCGACTCGAAACAAGTCGACGTGCTCAAAGCCTTTGCCAAGTGCGTCGCAGAAATGGGCTCCGGCCATCTTCTCGACTTCCCCGAGCTAGACCTCGAGGCGCTGGAAGCACCCCGCCCTAAGGCAGGCCAGCAGGCTCAGGATTATTTGCGGAGATTAGAGTCCCTGCATCAGGCGATTACTATGTATTTGTGGCTGAGCTACCGGTACCAGGGCGTCTTCCAATCTCAGAACCTGGCCTTTAAGGTGAAGCAGATGGTGGAGGACAAGATTGCAGACCATTTGGAGCAGCTGAATTTCGTGCCGGAGAAGCATCGCGCTAGGAGGAAGTTCCTTCGTGAGAAGGCCGCGCAGGCGGAGGAGAAGGAGAGAGAGGTGCTGGGGGATGAGGTGGAGGCGGTGCTGGAGGAGGAAGGGGTACATGATGAGGGAGTCGGGCATTGGAATGAGGAGGGGCATGAGGAGAGCTTGTTTGAGACGCCCGATGGCGAGGTTTCTCCGAATAGGGGGAACGGCGGAGAGAAGGAGACTGGTCAGGCGCAGGCTAAGCCGGCGTGAGGGGGTTGCTGGTGAGGATGAGGAGTGTATGACTAATGTATACTTAGGTCGGAGGAGCGACGGGATTGCACAGCCGGTGTTTGGGATGGATTGTATTCATGTATTGTAGAATAGATACTGACACTACTATCTAGAGGGGTTTGGGTATGAGTCTGTTTGATAGTCAATAGAACACTTCATGAAGACAACGAAAACAGGAGACAAGGCATGTCAAAGATGATGAGGATGGCTTCAGCCCCTCCAGATTGCCACTACTGCTGAAGCTGTTGAAACAAATACACAATCAATCAAAATCCTGCCTTGGTCGTTGCTGGACTGAGATATCCTGCTAATCTCTTTGTTGACAATTGCTCACCCCAAGCCTATTCCAGGATGAAGGTTTTGACTTGGAGTCAGAGATACAATAGGGGCTGTAACCAATGTAATATTACCTGACAACTTACGTAACATGATGCGCAGACCTCGGCTGATGTCATCAGCCAAGACTCTCTCCGAAGAGCCAACGCCAGCCCTGAAACTGCCCCGCGTCAAACGCGTTTAGCGGCAGCATGCAACTTTAACTTCTTCCCTTTTGCAAGCCCGCCTTGACTCAAGGGGCCATTTTTCCTAGCTTCTTTGCCCAATTCCTGAGACAAAACAATTCCAATAACTTCAAAAAAGGCAACAATCGCACCAGAGCATCACATCAATCCTCTCGACGATTACCTCAGCTCGGCCCAGCAGCTCTCTTCTATCAGCTCTCTAGTAACCACGAACAACCCTTTTCATCCTCAACAACCAGCAACATGTCGACAGCCGAAGCCCCTCCCTCCCCCACAAACCCCTCCGTCCCCTCCTTCATCCCCCTCGAAGCCAACCCCGACCTCCTGACCTCCCTCCTCCATAACCTAGGTCTCTCCTCCGCCCTGGCCATCCACGACGTCTACTCCCTAACCGACCCTTCCCTCCTGGCGTTCATCCCCCGCCCCGCGTACGCCCTCCTCCTGGTTTTTCCTCTGACAAAAGCCTACGAGGAACATCGCGTCAAGGAGGATGCCGAGCGGCCTGATTATGAGGGGAAGGGCGAGGGGGAGCCTGTTGTTTGGTTCCCCCAGACGATAAGGAATGCGTGTGGCTTAATTGGGCTGTTGCATGCTGCTTCGAATGGGGCGGTGCGCGATTTCGTCGTGCCGGGAAGTGACTTGGAGAGAATCATCAAGAGCGCTGAGCCGCTTGGGCCGAGGGAGAGGGCAAAGCTTCTGGAAACGGACGAGACGCTTGCGAAGGCGCATCGGGATGTTGCTGTGCAGGGGGATACGGCGGCGCCGAGGGCAGAAGAAGATGTGGATTTGCATTTTGTGTGTTTTGTGAAGGGGAAGGATGGCGGGTTGTGGGAGATGGATGGGCGCAGGAAGGGCCCGATAAGGAGGGGGGATTTGGAGGAGGGGGAGGATGTACTAAGTGAGAGGGCTTTGGAGTTGGGGCCGAGAAAGTTTCTTGAGAGGGAGGGAGAGGACCTCAGGTTTAGTTGTGTTGCGTTGGCGGGGAGCTTTGAGTAGATGAGAAGAGAGAGAGGGGGGGCAAGAAGCATCGTCACGACTAGGAAAGTTACATGTGCCTCATGTTGCAAAATTCGGGATAGAAGACAGTTACAATAGCAACAAAATCATGATTTTGATCAATTACACACGCTAGCTACACTACACGGCTGTTGTTGAGCCATTAGGGTATCATTAAGCCTGTAACCTGTCCATCCGTGTCAATCTCGTCTCTCTTAATCCAATTACCTTAACCATGTCATCCCATGCTATGCTTTCCCTTCCCGACCCAGACATGAATGAACGCCACGAAAAAAAAGCAAACCGTCGTACTGTCAAAGACATTAACACGCATTAACAACCCCATCGCTCAAGATCTCTGAAGGATCTCAGCACGAAACACCAACAACAGCCTGCCCACGCAACCGTTGAAGTCTCGCCGCAGGGACAGACGTCTCCCCAGCCATACGGCGGGCACGCTTTGCATCCTTCCTCATCCGAACAAGCGTAAGGACATCCGACTCAGCCTTAGCAACAGGCTTTCTGTCGATGGCCTGTTCCTTCGAATCAACCTCAATCTTAGGTTGGGCCTCAGCCCGATCCTCACGCAGCGGCAGCTCCTTGCCCTTGCCCTTGCCCTTGACATCCACACCATCAACCTCATCCGGTACACAAATGGCACTCAACCTCCTCTCCACAGCCAACCGGCTCACTCTCTCCAAGGCCCGCTGCCGTAGTCTCGCCAGCCGAGCATCTTCCTCCTCTTCTTCCTCGGCATACCCATCATCCCCATCCCGCACTTGATTTTCCTCTTCAACCTCCGAATCAGCAGCCGTATCCAGCACATACCTCCCCTTCTTCGCCTTCAACACCATCGCCGCCTGCCGGAAGTACCTGCCAAGCAGTTCATCGTTCGCCATGATATCCTCCTGATCGTCACTGTCACTCTCAATACCATCCTGCATACCGTTCTCTTCGGAAACCTCAACCTCACGAACTTCAGGAAACCCAAATTCCTCCCGTCCCGGTAAACACAAGGACCCCCTTGCGCCACCATTCTGCATTAATACCGGTCCTAAACCATTTGGAGCGGGGCTCTTCCGAACCAAATCCTCCAGGCCAGGGAGCTGCATTCCCCCGGGTCCGTAGCCCTCTTTAAAGAGTAGATCTTCCTCGCCTTCAGCAGTAGGCCGACGCCGGGACTCGCGACGGCGCCAACGTTTCTGCCGCTCACGGGGTCTACTATCTGTGCTGCTGCAGCGTTGTGTGGTGCCCGTCGCAGCAGTCAGTGTGTATTCTAGCGACAAGACACTGCTGTGATCTGAGCCTCCGTCGGAAGACGAAGAAACGGTGGTGAAAGATTCTGCGTCTGACGAAACGGCTTCATCGATGTTGAAATCGTCGTCCTTGTTCTGGGGAAGCTTGGGGGAGGGTTTACGGGGAGTGCAGGCGTCGAGAGGCTTGAGAAGAAGGCTTACCGCGCTTGCGGTTAAGTCGACAGCGGAGGTGGCGGCTGTGGAGGTTGTTTGGCGGGAGCCGGGGCGCAGAGAGGACGGGTATGGGCCGTTGTGGTGGATGGAAAGGCTAGAGTTGGTTGATTCAGCAGAGGAGGTGACAGTTGTGGCTGCGTCCGAAGAAGTAGTCAATGCCGCAGAGGAGGTCGACCAGCCTCTCATTCTGGGCAAGCGGCTCCGGATAGGGGAGGGCAGATTGGCATCATCGTCCTCGACAGCGTTATCTGCGCTCTTCCTGCGAGGTTGGAAGGCGTCACGGTCCCAGATACGGGTGTGGCCTGCTGCATGGGAGGTTGCTGGCCGCAGATGAGGATCACCCTCACCATAACCAGGCTGAGCCCAGTAGGGCTGATGCTGAAGGGTATTCCTCCTCACAGTCGGCGCCGACAGGCCTGTAGTACGTCCCCCAGCCATGGAGGAACTCGACCTGTGCGTTGCCCGTGTCGAAGAGACGCCATTACCGCCGGCGAGCGACGATGCACTCCGCTTATGCCAGGGCTTTCGGTTCCCATTTCCAAGACCCGACGGCGCGTTATTCATCAACGTGATAGCCGACCTCCTCCTCTCAAACAACGCCGACGTCCTACTCGCTGAAGGGGGCATCGACACAGCCGTTGCCGTCGACGGCCTACCACCCACACTGGCGCTACTCACAGACTGCGAGCGCAGCGTCCTGACCCCAGTTGCCGTCGACATTGTGGGAGGCATGCCAATCATGGAGCTCTTCCTCCACCCAACATTTTGTTGGTGCTGCTGCTGCTGCTGTTGCTGTACCGTCCCCATTCCGGAAACGCCAAACCCGCTCTGCGCCAATGCCAAATTCCGATCCGCCACATCCTCACCGTAATCCCGTGCCCCCGACGCACGTAACCTTTCCTTGAAATCCAAAGGCCGGATTTCGCCCTGCGCATCGAGGATATCTTTGTATCGACCGGCAAGGGCATTCCTTGGCGGGGCGGCTGCAGGAGCTTCATAGAAGGGCCTGTAGCTGTTGCTGGTGGTCGTGACAAAGCTAGTATTAGTGGCGCTCGCGGGAGCTGAGCTGAAGAGCGTGGGTGTGGTGGTCCCCTCCTGCTGGGAACGGCTTGAGCCAGGACGAGAACGATGGGAAGTTGTGCGGCTGAGACGAACGATGCCTAGGGATAGGGGTGGTTTCTTTTTGCATTCGTTGGTTGCTGCCGGCGGTACTTGGCCGGTTAGACGAGAGGGGGATCGGTTGGTGCCCAGAGCCGTGGACGGCCTGCTGGTAGTGGCAGAAGTGATGTCATTTTTGTACCGCGGGACGCCAGGGGCTGGGGCAGGTTCCTCATCGTTGTCGTCTCCATCACCGTAGACAATGTCCTCTGGAGAGCGGCGGCGAGAGAGGATCTCGTCGTCGGCGATGTAGGTAGGGAGGACAGGGGCATCTGAGGTATATAAGCAATTGAGCTTGAAGCAGAAAAATGCAAGTTAGACTTACCACAACCAGGCGAGGTCTTGCGAGCTGACTTTTTGAGGAAGCTGAGGATGCCCATCCTGGGCAGCAGACCGCGGGCCTCACTTCACTTTCCTTTTCTGTGTTTGCGCAATATCATACATGCAAAAGAGGCGAAGCGAGACTGGTTTCAGACAGGAACAACTAAGTACTGCACACAAGCCAAGACAGAGATATATCGGCACCGCAGAGGTATGAAAAGTGAAAGTCTGGTCGATCGCAGAGCTCAGACACCCCGGCGGGGAGTCAGCTCTTGATATGGTCGGTGCCAAAGCCCTATCAGACAAGGATGGGGTGGCGGAGGGGTGAGAGGGGGTGTGGCCAATATGGATGCCGGAGTCCAGCTCCCATGTCCCCATCGGCGCCATCACGACATCACAGTTGAGGCGGACTGGGATACCGCAGATTTCGATTTCCATGCAACCCGGGACGACAAGGTTCCTCTCTGGCGCTTCCCCTCCCTGGCTCATGCCCATTAATGAACCTGCAGGTATTACATACTCCCCTGTAATCGGCCAGTGTACATGCATACAAGGATGGATTGTCCATATAGAACGCGGTATATAGCGATCGATTTATTGATGCCAGCATGTCGCCTCGTCTGCTTGCAATCGTGGACCCAATGCTTCGGGATCCTTCGCTGCCGGTCAACTTCACACAACAACCACAGCGCCAGGGGTTCTCTACACAACAGTACCTGTTCGTATCTCCCTCTTTTAAGTCTGAGATGGGAGCACACATCTGAGCGTTAGATGAAGGATAACGCAACCTCCCTCCGGACTCCGTTGTTTTATGTTAACTCACTGCTCTGCCGGTTTGGCCAGGCAGATGGGTGCGTCGAACAATCACAGAACGTGCCTGGGTAATACAGTCCGGGCACCTGCAGTGTGTTGTGGCCGTTGGTGTTCTACTGACAAGAGAATCTCGGCTTTCAATTTCCACTTTTCTTGGTGCATTTAGTAACTCATGTAGCAAAGTCCGAAGCCACAGCTGGCGAAGCACATGCTTGTCAGTCTTGTCCTCTACTGTGAGTGGCCAGCACGAAGCTTTTCTGTGCGGCCCCGTCCCCCCCCCCCTCTCCTTAACCCAACCCAAACAGGATGTCCAGGATGCCAAACAAAGCTGTTACTCTAGAAGGCGGGGCCTGCAGCATTGCAAATGCTGGGTCAGAGGTCTGATCGTCTTTCGGTGTGAACCGCATCATCCACTCATGCTTCATTGATGCTTGTCATTGGCCATCTCCCGTGTCCCAGATCGGGCATTGTCTTCAAATTATGACTGTGCCATACGGGGAAAGGGACGAAGCACGCTGCACGGTAGTGAAAGTGAACACACCAAAGCAATAGTGATCTGGAGTATGTGAAGTACAGTAGCGTACCCAAACTGTGCTTCGCTCTCCCCAAACCCCAGGCACCAAGACACGGGCTTCTCTCTGTCTGAAACCCGCAACACAGCTGAGTGAGACCGACGCCCTCTCAGCCTCTTCCCTCCTGTTCCTGCTTATTCCTGCTTCAATTCCCCCTGCTGCAGCTGCTGCACGCAACGACAATCACATTCACTCTCCTATGAGTCTAAAATATCTAAGTAAAAATAACGCGCTCTCTCGGGCAGACGGGATCAGCTTTGTTTACATTATGCCTTGCATTCCTGCAGTTAGTGTATGTAGGCACTTCATCCTCCCCACACTTATTGCTGCTGCCGGTGGGCTCTTTTGGCTGTGATCATCTCATCTTTTCATATCAACCATATGGACCATATGGCATCCGCAGGGGAAGGGGTTGCAGAAGGGAGAACTAGAGGCAAAAACGGGTAGTGTGGCAAACAACAAGATAGAGGACATTGAAGAGGGCTTGCTGGTCACTGGAGGCCCTGGTCGATGATCTCAAATCCATCGTCGATGCAAGGCCTCACGCCGCGTGTCTTGGCATCCATGGCGAGCGTTAGCGTTGTTCTGCCCCGCTGCTAAACCGCACCCAAGCCCTTGTCGCTACCTTGTGACCCCCCCCGGGTCGATCAGCGGGGTACTGACCAGTATGCTCAGCTTCGATTGTGCTTCTAAAGATCTCTGGATCTTCCTTGTCAAGCGGACGAAATGAGATACCAACGATATAGCGATAGTATCAAACTTATTGAGCAACTGGCGTGCAATTGATCCACTACAATACTGGGCCGAGACATATGCTGTACTTCGTGGCTTGCTGTATCTCCTGAGCACAGCATGGGTACAGCAGCAGTGTGCGAAAAAGCATTCTGTGAACTGGATCCCGATGTGTGTACGTAATCTATATTCGGTGGAGCAGACAGCGCTGGGTAAGGGCAGACGGAAAAGTCCTAGCAAGTCGTCTCGGCGCAAGGCGTCTCGGCGAGTCTTTTGACGAGGGACCTTGTCTAGCATTCCAGCTCGTTGATGAAGCGGGGAGCTGACGTCCAGTGTGTCCTCTAGAATGCGGCTGGACAGCTTTTTACGCATATTATTGACCACTGCTGAAGTGAATGTCATGCATTTGACGGCATTTCTGCAAGCGATTCCGATTCAGCTTCATAGCAATACGAATTACTTCCATCACTTTTTTTCTGTTGAAGAACGCGGGCTCGGAAAAAATTCTCCAACCTCTCTCTCTGCCTGGCGGTGAGAAGGGTCAGAGAGAAGGATCAGCTCCATCTGCAGTCTGCAGGTCCCAGCCCCTCACCTGCAGACCTTGTTCTTTTCCACCAAAAAATCCATGGGCAAGAAGATGCCAGAAATGCGATTGCCCAGCCGATCATCGGCCTGCTGCCTCCACTGCTGCCTATGGCCCGGGCCCAGCAAACTTGTGGCACTCGTCGATGCGTGAGAACCACTTTTCTTACAACGGGAAGGTACGGGTGCGCTATCTTTTGGGATATTGGCGATGGAGTTGGGGCCTTGTCCTGATACCCTTATCCCTGCTCCCCTTGGTGCCCTCATTTCCCCATCAGGGTTGGGCGTTGTCACTTGCCGAGATCTTAGCCTGCTTTTGGTGGATCAGTGGATCTGGCTCTTGAGTCCGGTGAGCCGTTTGGAGAGGTGATTGTTTTTTTGATCAAGACAGCTTATGTAAGAAACGTTGTACGGGTGTCTGGTTCAGTATCACACTCTCTTGTCTGCTCACACGCAGCCAGCTCATGTCCACAACTCACATTCTGCATATAATATAATAGTTTCTGCGTATTTTAAAGAGGAAAGGGAGAAAAAAAAAACAAAATTTGAAATCTGCAGGTGTAAGAAACAGACAGCCATGCCACGTGCTTGACGAACTGCTTGCCGCCACGGCGCCACTCCCTTCGCCCCGGGTTCCTTGCTGCCGACGCAAACGCTGATCGGCGTGACGATCACCATCAAAACCGCCGAACCGTTTGTCGCGAACACATCGACTACGGTAACTGCCGTTCTTGCTTGCAGCAAGGAGCCTCATGATCCGATGATGCGGGTACAGTCCCCAGATTTCCTGACTTGAGGATAATGATGATGATGATGATGAACGGTGACTGTGGAGCGTGCCTTTGAAACATTGGTAGTTGCTCGGTGAAATGAACGGAAGTATGGGGTGTCTAAGAGAGAGTGTGTTTGTCTTTTTTTGGATAGTTGAGAACCTTGAGGGATAGATCAGTACTCTATCAAGTGTTCATCTCAATATGAAACTATGATATACTCTTTATAGTGCTCGTTTGTCATTGAGGACCTCAAGGGAGAGTCAACAGGTTAAAGAGTAAAATGCTCATCTCAGTATTGGAATCCGCCAATAGAGCCAGGCGTGCCCCTGTTGCCTTTGAGAGAGATCACCATCACCTCCATGGTTGTAATGACTAATTCGTTCCCCATGTCATCATCCTACCTATTCCCGGGTCTTCCAATCAAACTCTTACAAGCCCCAGGGTATCAAAACGCTGGCTTAAGCTCTTATTCCTTAGTTTGGAGAAGCACATATGCCTATTAGCAAACGAGTAGCTCATATTCGAGCACTATTCTCTTTCCAGTCCATTATTCAGTGGACAGGGGCCGAAAGTTTGGGGAAACGGTGCGGTTTATCTAGAACCTTTGAGATGGTCATAACGGTTTGGAGGCCTAAACAGATAGGTGAGCCCGAAGCATATTGAAATGGAAAAAAAAGCAGAAGTTGGAGCTTCACACAAAGAAGAGACGACTGTGGCATATCAATGTCTTCTCATTAGTCAACAGTATAGCTAGCTGCCTTGTCGGTAACGAACGCCGATCTACGAGGTACCTTGGTCCGCGACTAGCAGGTCAAGTTCCCAAAGGTGGCAATATTATGGCAGAAGCATCATAAGACTTGGTCCTCTATGTAGCATTTGCCCAAGTCTCACAGATTGGGAAACAGAATATGGGTTTTCTCAGCGCGAACTTTCAACTCCTCGTGCTTAGCTTGCTTATTACTTATCGTCCATATGAACCTATGTAAGTATATCACCCATTGCAATCATATTTCCGCACCTCCTGACCAGCTCAGTTTTGTACGTTGGGCTTATGATGGGACGTATTTCCTGTTCTGAACTTTCAGAATATGCTGTCTGCTTCCCTGGACTTGAGATCCTCTTCAAAGTACCCGAGTGTAGATCCAAAGTTATTTGCTTAAGCTATGGTTTCTGTTTAGCCTTTTATTCTCAGAACATGATTGTCATTTTTCGATCTCTCCAACTATGTCAGAGAATCTTGGCTACATCAAGCTTCTGCAATCCGTTGCATACACTTCGCCTTAAAACTTCGGGGTCATATCTACACACATCTTCGGTTTACTTCGTTAGTTCCACCTATTAAAAATTATTTGGGCACATATAACGTCAACTAGGGACATCGAGATTTCATTATCAGCTGTTGATAATGGTCCCAAACATCCCATCATCATCACTCAGTTCTTGAACTTTGGAACCTGAACCAATTCTTAGCTAATAGCCAACTTGCTGTTTCTTAGAATTACTGTGGAAAGTTAGAACGTTGAACTATATCATGAGCATAGCGTAAAGAAGTTAACCTGCTGCAGTTTTTTTTCTTGGTCCATATCACACAAAAGCACATTCAGCGCGGAAAGCTGCTGTGCCAACAGTCTGCATATCCAGGAGAATCGAAACTGGTGTCCTACTCGTCCACCCACTCTCACTGAGTGGCCACAACAACCCTACATATGGCGAGCCATTGGGCTTTTCCTCCTTGGGCCTCCTGCCTCTTTCTGCTCGTTGGACACATCATACATCACATCCTATCGTCCTTTTCGTTCTGTAACAATGGTTTCTCTGCCGTGTTTCTCCTCAGTTCGCGTCTCTGAAAAAAAAATAACGTGTTTATTCGAGACCTTGAAGCCCAGCAAGTTTATTCTTCGCCATGTCCGAGGCCGAAGCTCTGGCCGGCCTGAGGGTGGCCTGCAATATCTTCCAAGTCATCAGCTTTTCGAAGGAAGTCATCGAGCTCTTCCATGCCTTCTATGAGAATCGCAACCCTGACCCCAGCATAACTGTGACCACATCCGATTTGACCAAGGCAATCGATGATCTGTGTAACTCTCTGAACCAAAAGCAAACCTCGAACGCCGGAAATGACAACGAAATCGTTTTGATCGGAAAGGATTGCATCTCCTTTGCTCAATAGCTCAGGGATAAGCCCGACAAGGATTTTGGAGGCGTCATGCGGAAGAAAAGGAAGCCCGTGTCTTTGCCTTCGCTCGTGCGGTGAGGTGGGCGGTTTTGAAGAAACGCGAAGTCAAAGAATTGACACGGCTCTTTCAAGCATATCAAAAGGTCCTAGAAACTCGCTTGCTTCAACGCATCTGGTGAGAACATCTGACCGTGCAAGGCATTTACTTACAACCATTCCTGCTAACCTTGTGGTATAGCACTCAAAACGACGCACTGCAACTTACCAGGACAAAGCCTTTGCCAATCTCGACAACACCCTCCAGCAATGTATCAGGGCTCTGGCATTTGGTGGCACGCGCTTGACCGAGATCTTCCGCAAACAGTCGGAGCAGACTGCCGAAGCAGTCGAGAAGTTGGCTTCTCACATCACGATAGAGGCGAAAAAGACGCGCGATGAGATCTTGTGTGAAAGCCAAAGGCATCGAGAGGAACTCGTGTCCAGGACTAAGGAGACCCATGACAAGATCTCAAAGCTAGCAACTGACACCAGAGCACTGGCTGAGCTTATCCGAGAACAACCTGATCTATTCAAGGAGCACTTCACACAGCAAGCAAATGAAGTCTTTCATGAATTGGCCTACCATGTCACCACAGAGGCTCAAGTCACACGCCAAAGAATCGATGAGACTTCTGCATATAAGCAGCTACTCGAGAGCCTCTGGTATCCAGCGATGGATGAGCGTATAACCAGATTGTCTATTCACATAGTAACACATTTCAGTGGATATTTGGCCAAGACCAGCTCTCAGACGAAGATGATGAGGATGACATCACAAGGAGATGGGATCGTCTGAGCGAGAAAGACCATCAGTCATTCTCCGAATGGCTCAACTTACCCTTCGACTCCGATGGCCGAAAGGTGTGTTGGATATCTGGAAAGGCGGGATCGGGGAAGAGTACTCTGATGAAGTTCTTACTTGAAAATCCCATAACTCGGCAGAGGCTTGGCGCATCCGCTTTGGTACTCTCTTGCTTTATATGGAGTGCCGGCCAGCCAGTTCAACGAAGCTTACAGGGTATTGTCCTCTCATTGCTTCATCAACTCGTCACCCGAGATCCGACCATTGCAGATACCGTGCTCAAAAACATTCCAACCATACAGATCGAGAGATGCAATGGAGATTGGTCTCTCAGAGTGCTGCGTACTACAATTAAATCCGCTCTCGAAGCAGCCAACCGACCCGTATGCATATTTATTGATGGACTCGTCAAGTTGGGTTTTGCATAGGGCCCAGAAACGGTTCTAGACTTTGTCGACGAACTCTCCGGCATAGACAATCTCAAACTATGCATCCCGAGCCGCCCGAGCACTCTTTTCAGCAGCACTTCAAGGGAGTACTATCATTACAACTTCAAGACTTGACGTACCGAGATATCTACACGTATGCTTCTGACACTCTGCGGAAATACTTCAGTGAAATTAAGAATGATGTAAGTCTATACGATATAGTCACGGAGGTATGTCAAAATAATGACGGCGTATATCTCTGGGTCGCCCTTGTCGTCAGGAGTCTGGTTGATGGCATAAAATCGGAGATACCCCTTCAGAACTCAGAAAGCGGTTGCAGACGCTACCACGGGATATACATGCACTATACATTGAGATGTGGCGGCGTCTCAATGACAATGAGCCTATCTACTGTGAGGATGGTGCCAGGTTCCTTAACCTGGTTCTCACCTACAAGGATATGACCGCACTAGGGCATCCCTTAGATGGACTCACTGTAGCGCTTCTTGGGCTGGCTTCGGATGAACAACTTCGGTCCAAGATCTTGCAAGATCCTAACTATGAGTTTTCTCCTAATGCCTGGGTTTCTCACTATCACTTAATGAGGACCCCTATCATGACACGATGTGCTGGCTTGTTCGACGTCACAAAAATACGTTGTGGGCTTCAAGAAGTAGAGTCCGTTGACATGATCCATCGTTCCGCCAAAGCGTTTCTCCAAAACGATGATTGCGGTAGTAGAATCATGAGATATGATCAATCAACCTACCAAGCACGTGTGTAGAGTATTAGCCTGGCCTTCATCGCTTTACATCGCTTAGATTGGCTTTGCAGTAAAACTAGCCAAGATATTTAGATATTACCGGGCATGACAACATATGTGGGTAATAAAGGTACTCGCTACTACGCTTTTGTGTCTCGCTGGCGCCCTTCAGATGCTTGCAACTTCCTTCGGTCGTCCCATGGGCGAGCTCTTCAATCAGATGATTTTTTTCTTTACCCAAACCGCTTCTTGATATCAGCGCGGTAGAGCTTGCGCATCAAGTGAATGACTACTTTTGGCTGATGGGCATGCATCCTTGTCCCAGGGATAAGCGACGAGTAAGTCCAGCATCAGCCTTAGGCATGTTAGGGGCAGCCTCTACAAACGGCTTCTTCGATTTCATTGCTTCCTGTCTTCGTAGGTTCGAGTCAGAACTAGCTCGTTCCATCCATGAGCCCATCTCAACTGAATCTAAGTACTACCTGATTGCTTCATTAGCTTCTTGGCGTTATTGGAACGACAAAGATCATACGAGAGAACGGCTTTTCGTTATACGGTCTTTAGTTGCAAGTTCGTCATGTGCACAAGACCAGCCTCTTATTACCTGGTCCCCGCTTGACCTGAGGTATCACTTAGTGGCCTGCACACCACTGAGTGAACTCTGCCGATCCCTATTATTAGCAGCTCCAGTCTTTCTTGACGTAAATGCTGATGTTGAAAGTGCTCTTGAATTACTCGATGACATATGCCAGTTGCTGGTTTGGATGCTCCAGTATAATGTTGGAGGGAGTCTTGACGACAAAGCTCTACCTCTGTCTTTTTGATAATGTCATGTTCCCACATGATCTATTCAAAATTGATATCTATCCATTCGCTCCCCTTTGCTCCTACATCATCGAAGACAACCATCGGTTTCTGATCATCGAAGCAAATGCAGGTTACATACTTTGTTTCTGGCAATAGTTTTGCCTACGGATTGAGGGATCAGACAGTAAAAGGGCATCTCAACTCTCTCTTCGGCTACACCATTATCCTGTGAATAAAACAGCAAGAGTCTGTTGTGTATGGACGCGTGGTATATGGCTTCGGGAGCGGCAACCATCCAAGGAGCTAATTAATGTCGAAAATATCGTAGTGTCAACGGAGGATCAGAGTTCTTGCCTTCTAGCAACGTTATCCGATTTTCAGGTATCAAAAAAATCAATTGAATTTACACATTCCAAGTCTGCCATCGGTGGTTGAGGAGTCGGGCTGGACAGGCAAACTTTGCTCGATGGACGACTTCCTCCTGGATTTGAAGAAGAAAGGGTTCTGCTTACGAACACACGTAAAACCTGGGATTATATGAATGAGCAGCTTGTGGTATGTAACTTAGGGCACAGTGGTCATCAGCATGGACCTTTCTCTTCCCGTTGCCTTAGGTTGATGTCGCCAGATCTTGGAGGATGGCTATCATGGATCCTCTCTTTCACTCAACAAGGATGGGCCTGAAGTAATCGGTACAAGTGCTGGACGCCCATATAATCCCCTGACCATGTGCTGTGATGAAACCTACTTTGTGTTAGTGGTCAAGCGGAGTTTTTATAGATATGCATTCAGCAACGGTTCTTGGACCAAGCTTGCACTATATCGAGACGATTCTCTTGGTGAAGACAATGGTCTTTAAGGGAGAATGCTACCTAGATAATTTCCAACTTATTTTTGGAGGGAATTTACCTGAACGTGAATTGAGGTTAAACCTTGCTTTAATTGTTTAGACTACGGTACCTGCCGAGTCGAACCCTGCCTTGACCGATTGATCCCTAACTCTTTGGCGCCATCGCAGCTCGATAGTGTGGCAGCACCTCCTTTGGACCATCCAACTGCCTCCCTTGAGCTGTGGCGCAAGATTCCCGGCACGCATCCAAAAGATCTCTCTCAAAGGAACAACCACCATGTCTATGGCAGAGACTCTCGGAGGCCTTGGAGAGGCCTGCAATATCTTCCAGATCATTGGTTTCTCAAGAGAGTTCATTCATATTTTTAAAGATCTCTATGAAAACAAGTATCCTAATCCGAGCTTGAACGTCGAAGTAACTGAATTGCTCAGCACAGTGGATGCTCTCCAGAAATTGTTGGACGACAGAGGAACGACACAACTGGACAATGGCATTGTTTCTGTTGCTGAGGGGTGTATTCAGACTGCGGAGCAGCTGAAAAGCAAGCCACGTTAGCGGCCCGGGCAATCTTAAAACATCTCGTCCGGTTACGTTGATTCGCACCTTGAAGTGGATTGCGGGAAACAAGCAAGGAGTTGAGGAACTGGAGAAATTTTTAGCTACACAACAGAAGCTCTCGAAACACATTATTGCATTGTATTTGATGAATTGACTCTAGCTGGGTTCATCTGTCCACCATCTGGTGAAGTCTCATGCTGATAGCAGATAAAGAACCATGATGATGCTAACTTGCTCACACAAGACAAAGCATTTACCAGTGTTAGTGAGAGATTCCAGGATCAATAGGAGTCTTAAACTTTGTTAACAAATTATGCAATGGTATCGCAGCACTCAAACTCTGTCTCTCCAGCCATTCTGAACCTACCTTCCAACTCCACCTCAACCCCTGTCCTTCTATATGGCTCCAGGACTTGATAAGGGAGGATGTGAAGAAATTCGCACACTCTAGCCTCCAAAGATACTTTTGAGGTTGTTATCAAAAAACGGAGATGCTATGTTTGGCTGATAGAATCAGTTTGATGAGTCATTGCGCATCTTTGGACTGTGCTTGTAATCAAAAGCTTGCAAAGGGGAATGAGCCCTTTGAGCTCTCTCGAGGTGATTCATGAGCGGTAAAGACCAACTCCACGGGATATATACGGGCTATATAACAGCATGCGAAATCATCTCAATGACGATGAAACCATTCATCATGAATGTGTAGCAAGGATCTTCAATAATGTCTTCGTTTGCGACCGTCTGCAGTCTCTGTTCATCGTGTTCCACCTTACTCTGCCATTTATCATGCTCTCGTCAGACTTGGATTACCGGTAACGAATCTGTCAGGACGTGAATTTTGATGTTGTCAAGGAAGACTGGGAAGCTCATTAAGATTCAATTATCTCCCTTGTGACGACCCAATGTGCAGGCTTACTTGAGGTCTGGTCCGTGAGGAGGATTAGATTTATTCACTGATCTGTAAAGGAGTTTCTCGAGAACGCAAAAAAAGATCAACGAAGCCTTATTTCAAACCCTACCACCCTCCAGGACCAACTTCGTGAGTAATCTCTCTCGGGAACTGCTCTATATCGCTTGGCATTATGGGTGGATCGCTATTATCCACCCCTGAAAGGGATAGTCTCGGACATCTGCTGGATCACAGGCGCCTCAACTACAATAGGTTGTATTATCTTCTGGGGGCCATATACTTCCAGATATTTCTTCCGAGTTTAAACTCCAGAAGGAAAAGCTACTTCAACTCGCATTTGAGCTCAATGGGCATTGTTGGCTAGGACGCTATCCACACAATACTTTTCCTATTGAAGAGTATTCCAGTCCCCACATGGATACACTGGGAATTGCTGTACTTCTGGGTAGTATGGAACTCGCTACATATATCCTTGATCGACTGGAAACTGAGCCTGTCATTTCATTTTGTGAGCCGCTGTCTGTAGCATACAAAAGTTACCTGATCATCACGGTATGCAGCTTTATGTTTTCTGGTGTCTGAACTTCCTATGTCATTCTCGAACAAGAAGTCCATACAAGGCTGCCAGTGATTGAGTCATTAATCAACAGATGGGCAGCCGTTGGTCACGAAAACGTGATGATAGTTTCTGCCGATGCCTTCGACGTAAAAGCAAGAACATGCTCACCTTTAGTGGCACTTGTCTCGTTTGGGATCAACTGCCAAGAAGAGGATCTCAACCTTAAGTATGGTAAATGACTATAAGACTACTATATCTTGGTTCTGGACGGCGCCTAAAAGATATGCGGCTTTTTACCCTATCGAAAGGCGTCAATCACGTCATGGCAATGGGTGACGCAATCACTCGGGATCCTCATGAGTTTGGCATACAATATTCTCCCCACAACCATATCGTCATTGCTATTGAGGCGAATTCGACACACTTTCTCAGTCTTTACCTTCAGATTTTGCTCTTGCTCGCTTTACTAAAGCCGCAAAGCCTGCACAAGATCTTCGGGAAAGGCTTCTAAGGCCATTGAGAAGCAAGCCAGCATATTATAAATCTACTACGTCAAGGATCTTAATAACCATTTATAAGAGGTTATCTACATCCCCACAGACAGTCAAGTGTCGGACATACTCCCCACGATACAGATCTTCACCGTTTCCCCATGGTCCCAGTTCTGATTATCCTTAAGTTATAAACATCCCTCAGCTTGTTCCAGTTCTTGATCAGATTGCTGAGGATGCAAAAATACACCATGGTTGAGACAGCAGAGGATGTGTAGAAAAGAATCTAGAGTGAAAATCTTGAAGAGGCACAAAAGGTGATGGACACTCCGGGTGGCTGGCCCCCTCAACCATTTGATAGTGGCCGTTATGTGAAGCATGACGCATGTTTGAAGGAATGGGAAAGAAAGCGCGGAGAGGAGTAGGCCATGGTCATTCTACGCATGCACAGTTACGTCTTTCAAGGGAGATATGCTGGAGGGGAACTTGAGTTGAGGCCACAGACTGTAGGAACTTGGACACTACCCAAACAATATCACACATGTATGGTTGGTTACCACACACTCTTCAACCCAGCTCAGCCCCAAATGTATTAACTCTACACCTTTTGTCTGCTCACCTATGCCTGCAGCTGGTGTACGCACATGCTCTGGAACCACGACCCATTCCTGAGTCTGAACTTGTATGTACAAGTCTTTTTAAATCAAGATGACCGAGACTGCAGATTTAGCCCAGGCACGAGAGTGAAAAAGTACCTAGGCGGCAATCATGCTTGTGCGGGTGGGAGGGGATTTCACTGCGAAGCATCCGACTTAGAATGGGAGAGAGGATACGACTTCGAGAATCCAAGTGCAGCTGGGGCTTTGTAGAAGAGGAAAAAAAAGTACAGTATCCAATCTTAATCTTGTTGATGTCATTAGAATGATTAGCAGAAGGGTTTGTTCTTAGCGGGTTTGACCATTGTTGAGCGTTGCTATCTCTTGCTCAAAGGGGACAATGTTGAAAGGAGGTAGTGGGAGAGTCCCAAACGCATGTGACAAATCACTTCATCGGCAAGTCTCTATCATTGGCTGAAATTCTCCGAGGGTTGTGGGGCAGAATCTTGATGCGCCAAGCAACAAGTTCGGCTGTGAACTTCGAGATGGCATTTCTGCGGCCGGGTTTGAATCTCAGTGGGGCAAGACTTGGCAGACTCAGGGTCGCCACCAATACTTGCAACCTTATTACAGCCATTACCGACGGGTACTCTGTCCTCACGGTTCAAGTGCCGGCTGCTGTGACATTCACATATGCCAATAGTTCAGCTCTTCTGTTGACTTACCTGCCCGAGCCACCCTAGTGTGCTGCTCCAATGGCCCTTCGTCTTCCAGCTGCGGTTGCTCGGCCATTGCGGCCGCTCACCATTGCGAAGCCGTCGCAGCAACAAACGCGATGGCTTGCAACGCCAGTATATCCCGTCACTAGCCAGGTTTCTCGGGGACCAACGGCAATGGTCTTCCTCAACATGGGCGGTCCGTCGACACTCGATGAAGTGGAAGATTTTCTCAGCAGGCTATTTGTGAGTCACCGCGATCCGTCTCCCTCTCTGAATATCTGTGTCCCTCGTTAACCACCCCTTAAACGATAGGCAGACGGTGACCTGATCCCTCTCGGGCGCTTGCAAAGCTACCTCGGCCCCCTCATCTCGAAGCGCCGGACGCCCAAGATCCAACAACAATACGCCGCGATAGGTGGTGGCTCACCAATCCGTAAATGGTCAGAATACCAATGCGCTGAGATGTGCAAGATCCTGGACCGCATCTCGCCCGAGACGGCGCCGCACAAACCGTACGTGGCGTTCCGGTACGCAAACCCGTTGACGGAGCACACGTACCGGCAGCTGCTGGCCGACGGGTTCGGCAACGGGCGCGGTGGGCGCGCTGTCGCCTTCACCCAGTACCCTCAGTACTCCTGCTCGACGACTGGCAGCAGCCTGAACGAGTTGTGGAAGTGGCGCCAGCGGCTGGAGGGCAAGTCCGGCAAGTTGACGGAGGACGGACATGACGGCACCATTCAGTGGAGCGTCATTGACCGCTGGCCAGTCCATCCTGGCTTGATCGAGGCGTTTGCCCAGAACATTGAGGCGAAGCTGGCGGAGTATCCGGAGGAGAGGAGAAACAAGGTTGTGTTGCTGTTCTCAGCACACAGCTTGCCCATGTCGGTGGTAAATAGGGGTAAGGTTCTTCGCTCCCTAGCTCTGCGCATCGTCCTGTTAACCCCTATCTCCCAGGTGACCCCTACCCCGCCGAGGTAGCAGCAACAGTGCACGCGGTGATGAACCGCCTGAACCACGTCAACCCGTATCGACTGTGCTGGCAGTCCCAGGTAGGCCCCCAGCCGTGGCTCGGGCCGCAGACATCGACGACGGTGGAGGATTACATCGCCAAGGGGCAGACAGACCTGTTGTTGATCCCGATTGCGTTCACATCGGACCACATCGAGACGCTGTACGAGCTGGACGAGGAGATCATCGGCAAGTCGGGCCATGCGGACACGGTCAAGCGTGTGGAGAGCCTCAATGGCAACCCTGTCTTTATCCAGGCGCTGGCCGACCTGGCAAAGCAGCACCTCCAGAGCCGGATGCCCTGCTCGACGCAGATGGGGCTGAGGTGTCCTGGCTGCAAGAGTGAGCGGTGTGCCGAGTCGAAGAAGTTTTTTGCTAGACAGCAGGTATAAAGAGCAGTCGCTTTTATAATGCTGGTGGTGTATATTATGACTACGTTATGTGCTTAGACTAGGGCTGGTGACCGTTTTACAGGGCATGAAACAAGGAATGGGTCAATAAGAATGCTAACGAAGGCGTTCATTACTGCACTAACGGCTCTAGGTTTCCTTGATTCTGGAACTGCTGTGAAATATGACAATGTCTTGAATTCCTACCTGGCTTGGTGTTTTGAAGGTGTTGACGGCTATTGGGGTGTTGTGGAACAGGCTTAGGAGCAGAGTACTAGATAACAAAGAAACATGACCGGTGTCAAAGTAGTTCACAAGCTTGTACCACCATTTAAAAGTGCTCTAGCCAATGAAGAGCGAAGTAAACAAGCAAATTGACTTGGGTCCAGGGCAATCGCCGATATCACCGAGGACTGCGTAATAACCAGAAGATAGAAGAACCCTATCAGCCTTGCCCAATGCTCAAACACATTGGCCCTTTTCTAAAAGGTCCGAATCAGCATTGACGTTCTGACCTCCCTCTTCGATCAACCTTCCGTCACCACACCGGAAGACAACCGATGTCACCTTACCTTAAGAGTCGGGGTCCTGTGTCCTTTTGTTGCGGGCAGACACTGCAACTGTTGGTCCCCGCAGATCTCGTCTTTCCAAACAGGCAGGTGTTTGACTGGTTATAATATAGTCTCCCACACCGAGGCCCAGCTGCCGCCCAGCGAGGTTCGTTAATGAGCAGAATGCTGTGAGATATGGTGGGTGATAAAAAGAGTGTTGCTCGCAGTGGTAATGAGTTATTACTTGGACGTATCTCAGCAACTGTGCCAGTTGTCAAAGAGCTGCCAGCGGAGCGGGGGCAGTTGCTTTAGCGCCGCTGACGTGCTCGGTAAGGCGCTAATCAATTACTTAGATCTGTCGGAGTTTTTGCACCTTTCTTCGTGCTCAGTTGATGTTTTTATCTTTTAGCCATTAGGTACCGTTGAGGCCCTCTTCCTAGCTTGATCTGGGCTACATCTGTCGGAGAAAGCAGTCAACTGCACTGCGTTAGTTAGGGAGCATCGCTATCAAGCTTGGGCTGTTGAGCTGGCGCTCCCGCTATCTGCTAGAGAATACATGTGCTTTTACACTGCTGGGGTTTAGCACAACACAGCGGCCCCATACCGAAGTTCTAGCTCGCAATCAGCTTCCTGGATGACGGCGTCGCGCTACTCTTAGCCTTCTCATTTTTTTCCGTCTAAACTACACTCTCTCGTATACCCCAATCACGAATTGGTAACCCCAATTGGAAACCTGCGGGCCCGTCTTCCTGCTTCCATTGCATAGTGATGGCACCGTCGCCGACGCTGAAGCCTACGACTCCAACGCCGGCGGCGACGGAGGACGAGTGGGGAAGCCCCGGGGTCGAGTCAACGCCGACGACGCGATCGGTCTCGGAGCGCGCAGGAAGCGGATACCATACTGGCAGTACTGTGTCCCCGGCCGCCGAGCCGAATGTTAGGGAGGAGGCGACGGAGTTTACGGGGCTGTTGACGCTGAGTGGTTCGGCTGGTCGTGGTGATCGAAGAGGGGAGGGCGGTGGGGATGGTGATGATGGGCCGGGGGGTAATTGGACGGGGCATGGGGAGTTTGAGGGGTTGCCTTGGTGGAAGAGGCCTTCGGTAGGTTGGGATAATGGGAAAAAGCTGAGATGCGTGGCTGATGGTGACAAGGTTTGGTTCCTCGTCGTACCATACGCACTCTTTACGTTGGCCTTTGGCGGCTCCGTCGTGCCCAAGCTTAACCTGTACGACGAACCTACATTACCCCTGACGTACCTGTCAACATCTGGCTGATCCCTTATCTAGCATCGTCGACCTCATCTGCCAAAAATACCTGCGCGACCGGGCCGCTACAGACCCCAACTTCACCTTCACTCCCGTTGTGCCGGGCGGCAACAACCGGCAGTGTTTCGCCCCCGACGTGCAAAAGCTGGTTGCGAAGTTCTCGCTCGTCCTCTCCGTCACCTCTGGCATCCTGAGCTCACTCACTGCACCCAAGCTTGGCGCCCTCTCCGACCGCTATGGCCGCAAGCGCCTCTTGATCATCTGTTCCCTGGGCGGCATCGCCTCCGAGACGGTCACCATCCTCGCTGCCAGGCACCCCCAAACCATCGATTACCGTTGGATGATCCTCGGCTCCGTCTTCGACGGCCTGACTGGATCATTCACAGCCGGCAGCGTGCTAAGCCATGCCTACGCCAGCGACTGCACGCCCCCCTCCCAGCGCGGCGTCGCCATCGGGTACCTGCACTCCTGTCTCTTTGCTGGAATGGCCTTCGGCCCCCTATTAGCAGGGTACTTCGTCGAATGGACGGGGTCGTTGGTGTCCATCTTCTACGTCGTGCTGGGTTGTCACCTCTTCTTCATGCTCTTCATCGGCTTTGTCACGCCGGAGTCGCTGTCCAAAAAGCAGCGGAGACTTGCGAGGGTAAAGTATGCCCAGGAGCTGCAGGATGCTGCAATTGCTGCCGAAGCCTACGTCCTCGAATCGACCTCTTCCCCCCTCAATTCCCGCGGCGACCCGTTATCCTTCCTAATCAGCGGTATAACCATTCTCGCCATCAAAGCCTCGAACCCCTTCCGCCCGCTACGCATCCTCTTCGACCCCACGGACGCCAAAGGGACCCCGCAAGCGGATACCCGCCGAGCCCGCATGCTCCGTCGTAACCTATTAACTCTAGCGCTTACCGACATGGTGATACTCGGCTCGGCCATGAGCGCTGGCGGGATAATGGTCCTCTACGTGGAAGCAACCTTCGGCTGGGACAACCTGGAGAGCTCGCGGTTCATGAGCATGACGTCGCTGGTGCGAGTCACGGCGCTGATGGGAGTGCTGCCAGCGGTGAACTGGGTTTTTAGGACGAGACCGTTGAGGAAGAGGAAGGAGGAACTGGCACGGGCTGCTGCTGAAGGAGGGGAGGAAGAACCCAAAGAGCGTAACGCCGGCGCTGACACGCTCGATCTGTGGATTTTGCGCTGCGCCCTGCTGTCCGAAGTCATTGGCGTAGCGGGCTACATCTTTGCCCGTTCTGCACCGGTGTTTGTCGCGTCTGCCGTCGTTGCATCCCTTGGTGGACTTGGCTCAGCAACCATACAGGCTGCGCTGAGCAAGCATGTACCGCCTGAGCGGGTCGGCCAGCTTCTGGGAGCCATCGGGCTGCTGCACTCACTGGCGAGGGTGTTTGGGCCGATGGTGTTCAACCAGCTGTACGCAGCGACGGTGGAGACGGCGCCGAGGGCGTTTTTTATACTGCTGTGGTCTGTGTTTGCTGGCGCGCTGGGCGCGTCGTTTTTGGTGACGCCACATGGTATGTTTGACTTGTGTCTATTTCATTATGTCATTTGCTTTGAGTCATGATAAAGTTGCTCACGCTAATGTGCGGGTATGCAGTGTATCTGAAGAGTGATGATGAGCTCAGTGACAGCCGCCCGTCGACCAGGGGGTCAAACCGTGTGCGACAGGATTTGTTGGAGGATGAGGAGCTTTTCCCAGAGACGAGATGAAAGTTTAGAACGAATAGATTTATGTGACTGAAGAGTACCTAGGTAGATTTAGGATCATGATGGTAGAGGGCGGCTTTAATGTGGCAGTGGTTTCCTGTTCATCTCACCTTTAGGAGGGATAGGGTCAAAGTAAGGGATCGGCTGGCAAGGCTTTTTGACCTTTACAAATTATCAGCATGGGTAGCAATTATCGGTAGTAGAATTTCATAGTTCACTGTCATACCTTTCATCTGTGCGTTATAATCTTTTCTTTTCGTCGATGTGATGGAGAATGAGGTGAAGCTAAAGTCTACCTGGCCATTAAGGTGTTAAGACTGAGGACGGTTTATGTGACCCACCCACATCATCGTTGCGGCGCCTTGCCTCACCTGAGTTTCCCCCAACCAACGCTCAGAGAAAGACCAACTAAAAACTTATAAATCACCGCATCCCCCAATCCGTCAACAGCTTCCTTCTTTCTGAGCATGCCCTCAACCAAAAATTCAAACTGGGGGAGGTTACTATCGACCACATTCCGTCGAAGCGTGTCAAGACCAACATTAAGAACCATTACACTCCACAAATCACCACCGGCTACAAGGAGACTCACACACAATCGTCCACTGTCAATTGCCACAATGACCACCAGTGCCCCATCCGGCGCCGGCGCCAGTGCTCGCAGCCATAACCCGGCGACAACACAAGAAAATAAGAAGCCTATCTATTTTGGTCCCTTTGAGGTGACCAACCAAGTACGTTTTCCCTCACTTCCAATCCCTCTCCAGAGGCTTTGAGCTCTCTCACCAAAGTCCCTCTCCCGGACATCAGTGGCATGACCAACCCCAAACCCTCAACTAACTCCCTCACCCCAGGTCTTCCTCACAACCCGCCACTCCTTTGCCCTAGTTAACCTCAAGCCCCTCCTCCCAGGCCACGTCCTGGTCTGCCCCTTCCGGCCCCATCGCCGGCTGACCGACCTTACGCCCGACGAAGTAACAGACCTCTTCCTGGCTGTCCAACGCGTGCAGCGTATGCTCGCCCGCTACTACTTCCAACCTTCCTCCCCCTCGCCATCCCCAACCCAATCGCCCTTCTCTGTCCCCGGCCCAACCGGCACCGCGCTCCCCACGCAAGGCTCTTTCAACATCGCTCTGCAAGACGGCGCCGAAGCGGGGCAGACGGTGCCGCACGTGCACGTGCACGTGATTCCGAGGATTAGGGGGTCGACGGCCAAGCCGACTGAGACACCGTCGGACCGCATCTATGAGCAGATGGCGGACGAGGAAGGGAATGTGGGCGGGGCATTGTGGGATCGCGTGCATCAAGCCTCATCAGAGGAGGGAAATGGGGGAACTGTGCCCATGCAGATAATGAAGGAGAGGCCTGTGCCTGGGGGGGGTTTCCCTCGATTGAGGATGCGGCTAGACAGGCGAGAAGTATGGCTGAGATGGAGGAGGAGGCGGCGTTGTATAGGCAGGCGTTAAAGGCCATGGAACAGGAGGAGGAAGCACAGGCGGCTGCGAGACAAGGGTAGGTAGGTTTCGAATGGTAAAGCAAAATGAGGAACTGATGGGAAGAAACAATTGCATAGATGGGAATACTGATAGAGTCATAGAGACATTAAGTGTAGGATGTGAGACAACATCCCACTCCATCTAGACATCATCTACCAAGAATCCTCCTTCTATATATATATATATATTTCCCATATATATATATATATATATATATTTACCCCTTGGTATAATCCTACCAAACGCCATATCTGGAGTCACATAGGAGTGTTTATCCCCATCTTCATCACAATGATCCCACAAAAAATGCACCTACACAAAATTTACCCTGCAAGAAACCCACACGAAATATAATCTAGTCTAAACCTGGTAAGCTGTCCAAACTTCCCATCGCCCCCAACGAATCAAACCCCATCGGATCCAGTCCCCTAAACATGAAAATCGAGGACGACGAATCCCCGCTCCCCATTCCAGGTCCAGGTGTCGTGGCACTACTGCTTCCCCCACTACCAGCCGCCGCCAACCCGGTATTCGAAGGCCGTTGCTGATGATGAGAGCCTGCACCAAGACCCGTACTAGGGCCAGGCGCTGTGGCAGGGCTAAGTCCCCACGAAGAAAAGTTTTGCTGCCAGCTCACGCCATCCTTCAGGTACCAGTCTTGGCCGTCGATGGCATATACGGAACCGCTGTTCACCCGGGTTGTTGTCGTACGGGAAGGTTGGGCAGTAGTTGCTGTGGTTGTGGTGGGGGGTGCTAGCGTGTTGGGGATGCTGCCAAAGGGCTGGGGACTGTAGCTGGGAATCGGTTGTGGGAGAGGTGATATTGTCCATGTTGTCAGCGAGGCAAGGCTGTCAGTCATGGACATGGTTGATGGGGCAATAGATTGCGGCAATTGTTGCTGTTGCGGCTGTTGGAAATGGGAAGTCAACCCTGACACGGCCAAGTTGCTGTCGAGCATGGACGATGAAATACTTGACGGGGGAATATCGAGGGACATAGCCTGCTGTGGTGTCGGCGCACTGAATGTACTCCCCGGGGTATAGGCGTCCTGCGGGTTCCCAGGAGGAGTGTGGGCGAGAGATTGTGGTGATTGTGTGTTAGAAATCGGCGGCTTGTTGGGAGGTGAGGGGACGTCAGATGTGCTGACAGTCCCATATTTCTCGTCTGTCCGCTGGAGCACAACTGCGGCTTCTTCTGGCAGTTCAATGTTCCATTTCCGAGCCAATACACTCAAGATACTGAGCGACCTTCGAGCGCACAGCCAGTCCTCGGCGATTTCTTCCAGATGCTTAACACCATGTGTAATGTCCCGCTTAGCCGTCTTCTCCGGCAGGTTGAGCATGTGGATGGTGCATGCCGAATGAACCATGTAGACGGCGATGTTGCAGATCTGTCTGAGGTTGTACAGCTTCTTGTACAGTCGCATAAGCTTCGAAATAGCCCCAGCGTTCGCCGTGCATATCCTCCGTGGTGAGACATGGGCCGGCAGGGGAGACGTTTGGGGAGTATATTTGAGGAATGGTCTGAACAGATGAATATACTGCAAGTGGAAGAACATGCTATTCGTGCCAAGTTAGCCAATGACCCCGGCTTTTGATAGGTCCGCCAACACCTACTGCATCAAAATCACGTTTGGCAGTTGCCCGTCCTTCGGCTGAAGCTCAGGAGGAAGTTCCTTCTTCCAATCTTCCAGCCGCCGATGGAGCTCGCTGAGCTTCTTAAGTTCGGCCGACTTGCCAGTGGATCGCCCGATATGATTTGGATGGTAAAAGAACAGAAGCAGGTCGCTGCTGATCTCGCACAGCTTGGACAGCTGCAGCCCAATCGCCCGTGTCCGAGACGGCTGCTTCATGGTCAAGTCAAATCCGCCATCGGTGTACGGAGACCAGAGCTCGGCATCCTCGTCGGGGAAGACGTCGTACTTGGGAACATTGTAAGTGTTTTTAGGGAGCTGAGGCAGACGACCGAGGTAGTTGGACCAGCACTTGTCGAATAAGAAGCAGCCCCAGAAGGTGATGCGCCTGGCATCAATATCTTTCTCGTCCAGAGAGTCCTTGTCCTTCGGGATGCCTGCAATGTCGAGGTTGAGCCCAATATCCTGGGCCATGCGGAAGCTCATGCCACTGTACACCCATCCCTTAGCCTCCCGTCCGCAGCCAGCTTCACGCACTGACATGAGTGCCAAAGCTTGTACCGTGGTGAGCCTAGGTTTCTCATACTCGTCGTTTTCGACAATTAGCCTCTTCGCTTCAGCAAAGAAGTGGTCACCTTTTGTCCTGCTGTCTCCTGGGGTTGCGAAGGCACCAGGAACGCTAGTAAAGTGACAGCCAAGGGCCAGCATGGCATTGACAAGTAGGGACGAGCAATATGGTCTTTGTTGTTGTCCTCCTTTTGGTTTTCCCAGTCTGAAATCTCTGAAGAATAAACTCTTGGAAAGCGTCGTAAAATAAGGGTAGTGCCATGTGAAATACATGGTGATGAGGTGTTCGATTAGCTCGCGGTTTTTCGTAGCCTCGGTCCAGCTGATGATAGGGTCTTCATTCGGAAAGTCGGCAACGGATTCTGGCTCGTCGGAAGTATTTGTCGGGTCTCCCTGGTATATCAGGTGCGAAGTACCGCCGATAAAACGAACTGAACCGTTTTCCAGCCGCAGTTCGCCCATTTTGCGGGCAAGTTCCCGCTCACCCTCGACAGGCTGGGTATTAGTCAGGTCCTCCTCCAAGGGTTCGGAGCCGCAACTATCATCTCCATTTCCTTCCTTCCTCATAATAGATTCGGCAACGTCGTCGAGACTGTCACACGCACGAATCTTCTTCACAATATCCAGGACGTCGTCTTCGGCAGCATTGAGAATAGCCTCAATCAGGATCTGTAGCGTCTGGGTGCGGGCCTTCATGCTGTCCGTCTTCTCGCGATAGACACCTTTCCGGCGGTGGTCCGAGTTCGGGTCATAGACGCACTCCGTGCCGTATACGCTGGCACAAGCCGCGCAACTCGGGACGGCGCCATCACACTTGGACTTTCGTTTCCTGCAGGCGATGCATGCTGTGCTTACACACCGGCGCTTCGGGGCCCCAGAATCGGTGCTGCGCCGGGCCTTCTTCTTCAATGGATACTGAGAATGATCCGGGGCCCCTCTGTAGCCGTCAGGAGAGCTCGGCGCCAGCGACACCGAGGGCGCATCGCGGCTTTCCATCTGTAAAAACTGGGGGACGCGAAGGCGGAGCCGCAGTCAAGTAGAAAGGAGAGGTTTAAGAGATATTTGCGCGTCTGTAGGATTCTCGTTTCTAGGGTTGTGGGGGAGAGTCTCGCTGAAGTGTTATCTATCCCTCTTGCCTAAGGAAGTTGCTTGAAAGCAGGAGCTAAGTAGTTGTCGCTCTCTGGGATCAAGACGAAAGAGGTCGCAAGTGAAGTTGGAGAAGCGGGGCCGGCGAATGGGGGCAGGCCGTTGAGCAACGGCCCACCTGGTCGAGGGGAGGGGACAAGGCGCAGCGACGTCAAGTGTCCGTCCAAAGGATGACACGGAATACCCTAAAAGAGCACACTGAGACCAACTGAGTGATGTGGGCTGTACTGCGCCGGATTGTGGGGTCTGCGTTTATACAGAGAAATGAAAACTAAGACAGAGTGAAAGGCAGAACTAGGCAGTTCACAACGACAACGGATGAGGGAGCCAGCCTTATGGGGCAGCCCTATCCTCCGCCAGCGGCAACGGCGTGAATGGTGGATATCAATCGGCAAAGGCTTGCTAGCCTTTGACACCAGATGGGACCTGCAAGCGACCGGACCCCAGATCCGTCCACAATTACTGAGACAAGAGTGGGCGTGGACAATTCGATAAGGCACCGGCAGCCTGGATGAGTCGAGATGAAAGGCGGGGCTTGGGGCGCTGGGGTAAGCGGCAGCCCAAAAATTTCCTGATGGACGGATGGATGATGAATGGATGAGTGAGCATGAAACGAGGAGCAGTGCGTGGGTGGCAAGCTTCGATCTGGACTCCGCTGGTTGACTGCAGACTGCAGACTGCAGGACAGAGTTCTTTTGCTAAACCGTGTTGCGCTGTGAGTGCTAACCTATGGGAATCGAGGCAAATTCGGGACCACCTACGTACCTCGGAGGGCTGCGGGATACCAATGCCAGCGAGCGGTCTTGAAGCACGGGATAAGCTGCCACAGTGGGGATCCCAAGAAAGTTGGAGTCTTGGTGATCGTCGTTGTTGGTGGAGATAACCAGGGGCACGTACGGATCAACTGGGGAAGGTGAAGGGATCGCAAAAAGTGCGATCAGGAGATGAATTGAAACTAAAGCTTCGCTTGCAAAATGACAAGAGAGGCCCTGTTAAATTTCCTTGCCCCTCCTCACAAATCTTTCCTTTCTAGGGCTTCTAGATTTTGGTCTGATCCTCGAAGGAAAGCGCAAATCTCGGGGCCTGGATTTGATGACTGCCAAGATTAAAGATATAGATTGGATTCGTGGGGGGTGCGGGGAACCGCCTCGTTATGTACATACAAGTCCCGAATGTTACACAAAGATCATGAGCACACACAAATGGTGAAGCAGCAGCAGAATGGGGATGTTGTATACATATACAAATCAAAGGCAAGACTGGCTATGTTCCCTTGTCAGCCTAACGGCTCGCATAATCTTTGCTATCACTACTGACTTCCTTGCTCTGATAGGCCTCATCACTCGTGGCCCAGCCGTGAGCTGGCAGTTCTCTGTAAGCATCCGCCCTTGGGATCTCGGCCTCTAGCACTTCCATGATCTGAGGGTCGATTCTGACATTCCTCCTCTGTGCCTCATCGACAACCCTCCAGACACGCACGTCCCTTGCCCTGTAGCACCGCTCCAACACCGCCGTCAGGGTTGGGGTGCTAATCCATCCACGACGCATGGGCGAACGGTTCCATTCTGACAAGTAGCTAAGCACGGCATCAAGCAGGCCGTCGAATGCAAAGCACCGGATCACATGGTCCAGGATCTCAGGCGATGAGCGCACCGAGAACTGGTGCATCTCTGACGTCAGGAAGCCCGCCACCTCCGAGCTCTTGCACTGCTCCAGGAGCATCTGGAATGTCTGCTGGTTAGGCCCTCCCTTGCACAAGTACCGCAAATCCCGATACACGTGCATGGCTTTAACCATGTCCCCTGCCTTCAGGAGGGCTTCCAGGACAACATTCATCGCCGCGACTGGGATGCGATGGTCTTTGCTGAGCTCATTGAGGATTTTAACAACCTCATCGGCTCGCTCGGGGTGGCTTTTCAGGAACAAATAGAGCGACCGGGTGCTAGACTGATCCGGCATGATGCCGGCATCTGCCATAATGGACAGTACTTGGAACGCATTCTGAAGGTCGCCAATGTTGGCATAGCAGTCGAGGAGTGCCTCGTAGTGGTTGGCAGTCAACTTTATCTTCCTTGCCGAAAGTTGTTCGATGACCTTAGTAGCCAACTCCGCGTCATTGTAGCGCGAGGCGGTATTGAGCACATTAATCATAACGCCGTCAGACGGGTGTAGTATGCCGGGCCGAACGAGATTCTCCCAGACAAACTTGGTCCCCTCATAGTAGAATGCTTTGCTGCACTCATCAAGGAAGTAGTACCAGGAATTTAGGGGGACCGCATTAAGAAACCCTTCTGCTCTGTCGACTAGGTATTGCAGCAAGTGCAACGCTTCATCCAGAAATCCGTGCCTGGTCAAGACGAAGAAAAAGATATCAAACATCCAACCAGGCACATCCACTCCTTCATGACAGATCTGATCCAGATAATCCAGGGCCATTTCATACTGACCGTCGCGTAAGTATCCTAACGCAACGCTGCACTTGCCGTCATCGTTCAGCAGAATGCCCTCTTCGTTCATCTTGTCCAGTATGATTGTTCTGGTAATGTAGTCGGGATGTATAGCAAGCAACTGTTATCAAGATCAGCAAACCTCTTGCACGACTTACAGCCCACAAGCTTCTAAGCATACCCGTAAAGCGCTATGATAAAAGCTTTCAGAAAACTTTATTCCAAGCTTCTTCATCTCCTTCATAATAGCCCTCAGCTCGCCAGCTGATCCTGTCGTCGTATGCCAGTTGGCGACAACTAATGCCTCGTAGAGAGCTTCGTTGGGCTGCTCTCCACGCTCCTTAACCAGATGCTCAACAAAGCGCCTAATTTTGATTGCCCCATCTCGGCGTTCTCGCAAGCCTCTCAATGCTTCGTAGATGACCTCTGTACTGGCTTGGAAAGTTCTTTGCGGGAAACTAGCCTCTGACTTGATGAGATCGTCGGCTGTTACAGGGGCGTTTTCATGTTGCATCTGTACCCTAGAACCGGAATTCGCCCATGATCTATTATGTAAGGGATACGCAGTCGAAGTCTTTTCGTACCTCGCCGGTCCCTGAGAGCTCGACACGGAGGCCTGTTGTGGTAATGGTTGAGGAGAAAAGGCGTTGCCTGTGGAGAGACAGCGAGATTGGTCTCTAGCACATCTTTGGTGTTTGACCCGTGTTGCTTGTCTAGGGCTGGAGAGGCTTGTAGCAAGCAGAGGAAATGGAGACTCTATTGCTTTTCGAAGAAAGTTGGTATCAACTGAAGGACAAAGTGCCCTCCATAAGGCATCGCCAACAACACGATTTGCCGACATGACAGGCCTGAACGAAGTGAATAGTCACACTGGCACGTCGATCGAATGTGTAGATGCTGTAAATTATAGTGTAACCTGAAGACGATTAGTAGTGAAGAGGTATGGTGAGATGTTTTCAGCAAGCCTCACCAATAGAATAATGAAGGTTCCCAAATCAACAAGCCGTGAAGACTCAATTCTGCCGCAGGAAAAACCAAAGGCGGTGACCAGATTGACCAAGGATCCTGCTGCACGCCAAGACCAGGCTGAACCTGGCGGTTCGTACCTTCAATCACGTGACATGCCTGATTCCAGAGATGATGGTTCATGTTTCATTCGTGTCATCCCTTGACGCAGGAGAAACGTCATGTATGTGATTACTCATACAGCCGCAGTTTTAATTCATCTCACCACGGCTTCCTTCACCCCACACTTCCCAATCATGCTTTCGACGGGTCATGCAACGATCGCCAACAGCGTGCTCGAACTGTTGAGCACCCACATCCTCCTGCCTGGCTTTTTCACCAAAGCGACTGCCAAGAGATGTGCCCCAGAACGAGTTCCTCCATGTCGTAGTCTCGTAGTCTCGTAGCAGCAGTAGTTGTTGTTGTTGTCGTTGCAAGTGCCTGTGTCTCTGCACGACGCCCATCCCCGTCGCCAGCGTCCCGTTCAGACTGTCCCAACAGGAGTCACATTCATGAACCCCTCGCGCCACCCCGTCCACCTCTCGTAGCGCCACCTCTTCCTCTCCCACCACGGCCCCTGTCGCCACCGTGACCACCACGCGCAGGGTGATCCTGTCTCTGGGTGCTGCCGCCTTGCCTACCGCGATGCTGTTGTTGTTGCTGCTCCTTCACAATATCAATAATCTCGTCAGGGACGCGCAGGTACTTGATCTGTTGCAACGCCTGAGTCAGCCAGACATTCCCCATTCTGCAAATACGGCTGAACGATGAACCTACATTATTCCCCTTCACATAAACCTCCGGCAACCGCATGAACTTATCGCCTTCCTACAGCGCACATAGTACCGTCAGTAGCAATGTTAGTCGACATGCCAACGCTTGCAGCGCAGGCCTCGAATGGCTCAATAGGGTGAGTGCACGCAGAAGTGACGTACAGGGCTGGTTTGCACGACTTCGCGCAAGGTCAAATTCATCCAAGTATCGCACTGAACCAAGTGGCCGTTGAGTGTCTCGCCATTCTTGAGCTCAACCAGCATAGGGTGGCCTTGCGCCGCGGTCAGAAGGCCGAGGGGCAACTAGAGAGAAAGTAAACAGTTAGCTTGGTTGATGCTAAGGCTTGTAGGAAGAAATTGGGTCTGTTTTTTTGGATCGCAAAAGGCTCACCATCTTGAAATCAATGCAAAGCGACCCGGCAACTGTCAACTGGTTGTGTGCCGTTCGCTTGTTGAAGATCGTCTAGAAGCCAGACAAGTGCGGATGCAAGGCCGCAAGTGTTTGGCGTTGGACTTGGCAATGGATCTTGGACACCTAGAAACGCGGCTGGGTTCCGTTGACAAGGTCCAGACCAAAGACGAAGCGGGAGTGGGGCTATGATCCTATATGCAATTACTGAATAAGCTCGACGATCTAATGCGTACCCGCAAAATTCAAAGCGAGCGAGGGCTAAGGTAACACAGCTCCAGATGTTGTCGGGTGAACATTTGGCCCTCCTTGGGTGTCCTAGTATCAGAGATACGTGCTTCTTGCTAAGCCTGTGACCTAAAAGCATGTGACATTTTCTGTTGTCTGGCTAAAGCATGACTCGACGAGGTTGTCCTTTTAAGATAACCTAAATTGATGAGATGATCAAAAGGCAGAGGATTTGGCTTAATAATTTATCGGCCGGTACCAGAGACAATAGATAGATGCAGGAGGACACAAATACGACAATCCAAGCAGAGAAAATGAAAGCATAGAGCGCAGTGAAGTTTAGATAGGTCATCCCAAGAAGTAACCTGGCCCATATACATACCGACGAGTATGGAGTCCCAGGGGCCAAAACCGTATGCTCTCCAGAATAGCAGAAATAATAGGCGGGACTAGTACCACACGATACCTACAACAAAAAAGTGGCATCCGTCCTAAAGATAGCACACCCAACTAGTTCTAGCCAAACTCATCCTCCCTGATACCGACAGCCCATCCGCACCCACTTAGGACGCGCTCTCCCGGCTCTTGCGATAGATGGCCTATTGAGTCGCGAAGCCGTAGTCGGAACGTGTCAGCACATCATGGCCTTGTTGTATATGTGTGAGAGTGAACAGCAAAAGCAGAGCTAATGGAACAAAAGAAACAATGCTCAGTGGAGAGAGAAAGCCGAAGCACGACTTGCCTCCTGTTCGACCTGCAGCCCGTCAATGATGGGCGCAAGCTCGCTCAGAATCTCATGGGCCTTCTTATGGAACTCCATCTGCGCGGCAACCAGCTCAGCCAGATTGCGCAGCGGCTCGGGAGACTCGAGAACCTGTTGTGTGTTAGTTGAGCCAAATAAAAAGTGAAAGTGAGATGAATGAGAGGAATAGAGCATCATTAGGTCAAACTCACATTTCTCATAACGCCAGCAGCCTCTTCGGTCTGCGTGACGAACTCATCCTCGGCCTTCTCAATTTCTTCCTGTGCCTCAGGGCTCAGCTCATGATGGTCGTCATGGTGGTCACGGGGGCCAGTGCCGGGTAGCCGCCAGGTGGTGCCCTTGACGCGGGCCTTGACGGCATCGAGAGTCAGACGGGCCTTCTCGACGGCCTTGCGGGCGCGCGTGGCGAACATAATGTTGGTGTTGAGCGTGGTATTCCAGCCGGCCAGGAACCGGCTCTGGATCTGGGCGTCCTGAGCCAGGCGCGCCTCGCCAATACGCTCCATGGCCAAGGCATACTTCTCAAGCGCGGTCGCGAGAGGGTCTTCACCTGCGCCAGTGTGCGTCTGGTGTAGGACCTGGCTGCTAGCCAGGCTGGCGCGCGCGATAGCATGCGGGAAAGTCTTGGGCTGCGGCTTGTGGCTAGGCGGGGCCGTCAAGGCAGCCTGAGCCTCAGCGGGCGAGGTAGCGCTGGACAAGAGCGACACCTTCTCCTGGACGGTGCGGCCGAGGTCCTGGAAGGTCTCCTTCAGGTTGGCCGGGTAGTCGTAGGACTCGCTGGCGTACTGAGAGCTGTTGGGCCGCGAACAAAGGGGTCAGCGTAAGTATATGGGGGCTTGGAATCCTGCCGACTCACGTCACTGCCAGCATTTTCTGGTGAACAGCCTTGAGCGCATCGACGCGTTTCTCCAGATCAATGTAATCAGGGGGCATTTGGGTCTGTAATCAGGGGTACATTAGCTATCGTGACCACCATGGCGGGACAATACATGAAGGATAGCGGTTCGCGAACCTTGTCCTCAGCTTGACCCAGCTGCTCCTTGGTGTATTGAATTGTCCGCGAGGCGAACGGGGTGATCTGGCCACCCAGGTTGCTGCGTTTCGTCGATGTCAGTCATCTCCGCAACTGCTTACTTTCCCAATCATCGCTACGGAGATTAGGCGGTGCCTGGCTCATACGTGAGACTCTTCTGAAGACCCTTGAATGCCTCCATGGTTTCTGTGGTAACAACGATGAATGTCGATTTAGGAACTGGAACTATAAGGAGGATCGCAAGGAGACTGCGACGCCGATGATGCCGCGTTGCTGATAGAGGGGGTTGCGATGATCGATTGCTGGATGCGGCAGCAACGGTTTAGGGGCGCCCAAAGGCCACACTACAAGCCCCACATTCGTCACCCCGCGAGGTATGGACCCTGTCAGAGTCATGCATGGGTCCGCGTATTACATGTAATGGCGTTACGGTATTCTACGCTAGGGAACTGTTCTGGGCATTCAGCACAACCTGTTCTCCTTCAGGGGATCAAACTTTAACCCCAATCTATGCGCGAGTCAACATTGTGGTTTTAGGCTTCAGTGGAGTTTTCAATTCCTATATACGAAGTACAATGTTCCTTTTGAGATCATTTCGCTACCCCAAACAACCAGTACGCCGATGCTTCTCCAATTATTTAATCCGCAGGTTTCTTCATATCCTCCCAAGACGGCATAATGCTCCTGCAGACATCCTCATAGTCCCTCAGCAACTGATCACTGGTAGCCGCCTCGGGAGTTGTCCAAAACATGGCCCAGTTGCAACCAGGAAGCTTCTTCACGCCACACGACCGCTCAAAGTACCACTTGTTGACGGGATTGTCCTTTCTGCTCCGCCAGCACACCCCTGAGGGGAAACAGTCGCGCACCATGGCATTGAAGACGATATCTGCCACACCGCCGGCGCCCTGACTCTTCGTGAGCACAGCGAATTTGTCGAGGTAAGGCACCAATCGGCCCTCACGGTAGGCTGTTTCCTCATCCATGCCAAATGGCCGCTCCCAAGTCAGTATCGCCCCGCCCTCATATTCACCTGCGATGATGACTCCTGCTAAGGAATTCTCAAGGCGCTTCAGGTAATCTTCAACATCAAGCTTCCGCTTGAAAGAATCGTTGATCAGATGGACGAGACGCGGTAGGTCGATACATGTGTCCGTTAACCTGAGTCGCGGTTCTCCTGGTTTGGGAGGCGTCCAAGGGCCCGAGCGAGTATCGGGAAAGATAGTGACAGGCATGCCTTTCTTCAAAAGTGTTGTTGTCGGCATGTTGACCGCAGTGTTCTCGCTTCGTTGATTAGGCGATTTTATCCTGCTCAGGGGCAGCGAAGCTGAGTACATGGGTCTGTCTGTAAGAAGGTTATGAATAAGGGGGTTCTGCCATCTCCTGGTTTTCACTTCGCCTGCAATCTTCTCAACGTTTGCTAGCCCCTGATTGCTAGGAGTCCGACGGTTAGCCGCTTCAGCAGGCGTCGTGATAACTGCTGAAGCTGTTGCTGGCAAAATTGACAGTGCGTTCTTAACGAGCTTCAGGTTCTCGGTATGCCGTGTCCTAGCGCGTCCTGGTTGAGCAGGCTTCTCCTGCTCCGTAAGGGCTTTCCGAAGTTTCTCGAATTCTTCTTCCAGGTTCACAAAGACTCGAGCCCCATCACCCTCCTTGCTTGCAGGGATACCGCCGTGTGGATCGATAACAATAATTCGGTCTACTACCGCCTTCCGCGAAAGAGGGCTGGTTGTAGTGTTGTTCTGCTCACCCCCCAGGTCTTTCTTATCGAGCTGTAGCCCTGAAAAATAGCTGGTCAAAGCGAAAACGATATCGTTGGCACTTGCTGGAGTGTATTGCAAAGTGTCTTCGGTACAGGCACGAGGGGGGACCACGGGCATATGTCCTTGTCTCAGCGGTGCCAACAAGGCTTCCCCAAATCCCACGAACACATCTGTTGAATCGATTGAAGATAGCCTCTGAACTGGCTCCTTTGCTTTCCAAATGCCGGAGGTAACCAGCTTGGCACCTGGGGAGTCATGCCGACCAATAGCTGTGATAACGCGGTTTGCTTGTTGGAAAATGAGCTCTTGCCATTCCGACCCTGAGATTTGGTCTTGTTCGCAGCCGAGGACAATAACACTTGGTAGGCCCAAAGAGCGCAATTGCGTCAGCGTTTTAGCCACGCCGTCCAACAAAGCATCATCCCAAGTCTGAGTCTCTCTGAGCTTCACAACGGCAACATGAGGCACCTCTGTAAGGTCAGCCACGGGAACCTGAGCCTGCCCCTGAGAAAAAGCAGCGTCTCCGCTCAGGGTGCTGTCATTCAATACAGCATTAAGTGCAGATGGTTTCTTTGGCCCCGAGCCAGCTCGCGAAGAGCCAAACGTTTGAAGGTAAGCCCTGGCATCTCTTTTCGTAGCTGATGATTCAAGGACTGAAATCAGAAATTGCTATTGAGAATCAGTGCAGTTCAGACAACATGGAGGGAAAAAGAACTCTCACCCTATCTGATTCCCTCTTCTGCTTTGCCTCAGCTGATGAAGGATGACGGTTCTCAGTGACACCGCCGTTGATTCTGCCATTTCGGCCTGCGTTTTCAGCTATTGAGAAGTGGCGAGCACATGACGCTAAGGGTTCTGTGGTGGAATTCAGTGTTCGTGTACGAAGAGAAGCCTGAATGACGTGTTAGGCCATTTGTCGAATATCCAGTATCGAGTCTGTGGCTGGCAGAGTTTGTGGGAATGGTGTGTGTATGTCTCACCTGAGCTGCCGAGGTAGCTCTCTTCAAGGCGCCGACGCCACTCTGGTGAGTCCGGTTGGCAAACATCGTTCACGTCAATGATGCAGTAGAGAGGCTTAATGATGGCAGACTCTTAAAAGATCCCGGGGTCCCTTGACGAGGTGACCCGGTCGCGAACAGAAATTCAAATGAGCGATCTGTTCATTGTAACCGGCACTGTCGTCTTCTATTTTGGCTGTGATGATGGGAATAAAAGCGGTGTTGTGAGTCAAGTGCGAGGTCAAACTTCCGTATCTCCATTCCCCACATCACACCTTGTCCACCTTGCACAGTTGCACCACCAAGCAAAATTATCAGATCATCAGATAAGATCTCGGCAAGGTTTCAGCCTTGACCGAGGTCAAGCCCAGGGTCCTGCCCCACCTCCATGCTTTTCCACACTGTACACCGTGACCTGCACACTTTTTGTCAATAAATCACTCCGATATTTGCAAGTAAAGTGAATTCTGAAGTCGGTTAGTATGTGGCTGACTTTATTCTTGAATTTACGTTGCATCAAGTTTGCAGTTTGGGTTGTGGCTGGCCCGTCATTTGTAAGCTGTGAACTGTTGCCTATGCAACCCCCTGTCTCTTTTACCTCGAGCGTCCAACGCCGCTTTGAAAACGGAATAGAGTTCTTCCGCTCAACACCCCAAGAGCTGCGTCCACTGTCGCCAACATTGTTCCTGTTCCTCATATTACTAATTTCATATCGCACTTTAGAATCAACGCAGCCAAAGGTAAACATGACTTTGGGTGTCAACAGGAAGTTATCTTCAGTCGTACACAAGACCTGTGGGGGAAATTGGAGGAAAAGTGGGGTCTTGACCAGGGGTAGGGCAACAGTATAAAAGCCCCCTCTTTGCTGCAAGGTTTATGAGTTGGCATAGCTCAACCTAATTGAGGCCGAATATCAATTCAAACAGTTATTGAAGTTGAGCTCAGTTCAAAAGCAAGAAAAACAATGGCGCCTACGCTGTTCTGGATCGGTCTGGGAAATATGGGCCGGGTGTGTTGCGAAAACGCCTCCAATGGAAGATAGGTACCCGAACCACTAACAGGCATATACAGGGGATGGTTAAAAACCTTGTTGAGAAGGGCAACCTCGAAAATCCACTCCTACTCTGGAACCGCACAAAGCAGCGGTCCATCGAGCTGAGCGAGAAACTTCCTTCCGGCAAAACGCAGGTTGTGGACACTATCGCCAAGGGTGTTCCCAAGGCCGACATCATCTTCATTATTCTCTCCAAAGACGATGTCGTCGAGGCTGCGGCCGATGAAATCCTCAAAGCAGGCGATGTTACGGGCAAGCTGATCATCGAGTGCTCCACCCTGCATCCGGACACAACGACCCGCCTGGCGAAGCGCTTCGCTGACCACGGCGCCCAGTTCGTCGCGGCGCCTGTCTTCGGAGCTCCGGCTATGGCCGACGCGGGAATGCTGATCGGCGTGCTTGCTGGACCAAGCGCTGCAGTGGAGAGAGCACGTCCCTACTTCAAGGGCGTTATGGCCCGCGAAGAGATTGTCATGAGTGACGAGCCGCACGCCAAAGCGCTGCAGATGAAACTGGTCGGCAACTCATTTATCCTCAACATGGTCGAGCAGCTGGCTGAGGCTCATGTTTTGGCCGAGAAGTGTGGCCTGGGACCCCAGTACGTGCAGAAGTTTGTCGAGCAGCTGTTCCCTGGACCGTATGTCGCGTACTCCCAACGCATGTTGTCAGGAGATTACTACAAGAGGAAATCCCCGCTTTTTGCGGTTGATCTAGCCAGGAAAGATGCTGCGCATATCATGAGCTTAGCTGCTGCTTCTGGGACAAGGATGAAGAACGTGGAAACTATGGATGAGAACTTGGTCCGGGTGAAGGAGCATGCCGGCGAACTCGGAGACTATGTGGCTGTCTATGGTATTCTCAGGAAGGAAGCGGGATTGAAGTACGAAAACGAGTAATTTCCACGTAGTTTTATTGTTATTGTTATTTCAATTTCGATACATATGATACATTCCAAAAGTCATGTTGTCTAGCAGGACATCAAATTTTCGCCAGCAAGAGAGTTGCATGCTCAAGAGGTTTCAGGAGCTTTGCGTGATGAGGTTAGTGATTCCATTATCGTTATAAGTGGTTAGTTGCATAATCATTGCTATCTTATCGATAACGAAAGCGCCTTATGATGACTAACGCAAGCAGCCCCTGCTTGGCGCCCATCGGCATGCCGCTCCTGGAGCTGCAAGCCAACCAACACCGCGCAGCCCACCATCACGACGCCTGTCGCCAACAACCGTAGGTAGCGAGGTCTTACATCACCTCCCAATACTGTCTATTGGTTTCACCCTGAGTAGTACGCATACGGCACGCGAGCTAATCTCTTCATAATGGCTACCGGGTACGTCCTTGACATTCCAATACCGCCATTTGGACAGGTCACTGGCTAATATTGCTCGTCAGTTGGAGCGTCTTCATCGGCCTGGTGATCGTCAGCGGCATGTGCGTGGCGGCCTGGGTATTCTCACCAAAGGGCGAGAACCAAGTGTATGTCTCCGTTTTTCACTCCCTCCCAACGGCGCCCTGTTCTGGTGCTAAAGCGGTTGTTCTGTTCCAGGCTCTGGCGCTCCTCTCTCATACTTTCCATCGTCAGCTGCTACCTTATGTGGGCCATCACTTTCCTAGCGCAATTGCACCCTCTCATCGAGCCAAGGCGGTCGGATCTACGTAAGGAGTACATCCACCACTGAGCTGGATCTCGGCGACGGGAGCGAACACCGGGGCACAGGAATGCCCCATTATACTACTGGGGAAAGGACGACTATTATTGTACGAATACCCGCTGCATCATCATCTTTCCTATATACACAACTCGGACGGCGTTTGGGGTGGACAGGGTTTCCTACTTCTGGTTTTGAATCTTGAATTGGGCGAATTTGGCCTGTACACGAACGGCTTCTCGCAGAGTCGGAAAGGCGTTTTGACTTTGACGGTCATGAAGTCATATGATACGTGCACCCATAAAGGACTCGAACGGGAATATAATGCCAATATCACTATCAATACCAAAAATATGCCGCACAGCACTAAACCACAAACTCAAACGAAACCAAGCATAGCCATCTCTGCCAGCGCACATCCCTCACCCAACTGCTAACCTCCCTCCCCAATCCTTCAAGTACTTCAACATCGCCCACAGTGCCCTCCCATCACTCGCCACGCCGGTCTCTCCCACAGAATCCACCCCATGTAGTCCTGCCGCCCACAGCACTGCCCTACCCATGACCCAGCGACTAACCGCGCCGGCAGTGGCCAGCAACGCGGCAACACCGTAGCTGCAGTCAAGCAATATCTTGAGCGCTTCTACATTGTTCGCTACGACGGCCCACCCGAGCGAGCGTGCGGCCGCAGGTACGTCGTATTCCCAGATGACCATCAAGATGGGGAACAGCTTCGTGGAGGACGATACGAGAAGGGCAGTTGAGACAGAATTGGGGCGGGGATAGCGGGGGAGGATGTTGAGCCATATGAGGGGAGAGTAGCGCGAGGAGGTTAGGAAGCGGATGGAGCCATGGAAGGCGATCGTTGAGAGGGTGCAGAGGATCACTGGGACGTCAGGGTTAGCATGTGAGCACGTGCGTTTGGAGGGGGCTAAAGAACGGCAACATACAGAAGAACATGTACTGGTAGACAATTGGTTGTTGCGCCAGTCGGCCAAAATTGCTTCCTCCTGCAGAGTCCGGGTCTGGGACGGATTGGCGCTCGATGCGCGCCCAAGTAAGGTAAACATCGAAGAGCAGGAGGAGGATGCCGAGGCGAATAATCGAGGGCTGTGTGGATGACGAAGTCAGAGGCGCCGGCTCAGAGTTGACTTAGACAACGGGAAAGCAAGCCATACCGGAAACTCGTCCTCATCATTCATTAATGTGTTATGCAGCAGGTGTCGGTAGACCTAACCAACATCACAAGTCTTAGCTCCATATCCCGGATCATCCTCGAACGCCGAGCAAAACCCCCCACCAAACAAGTCCATGGGCCAATACATACCTGTGGTTTGATCAAAACCAGGTCGATGAACAGCACCACAAAGTCATGCTCAACATACTTGTCGCAGAAGCGACCACAATTCTTGCAAACGGTCAGGCGAATATTGTGGCCTCCCCGCGACTTGCCGCCGCCGCCCTCGCGCCAGAGCGTCTTGACAGGGTGTCGACACTCTATGCAGATGGGCATTCTGCTTCTTGGCGCGGCATTGGACTCCGAATTCTGAGGGATCTGGTATTGAAAAAACCGGCAGCGGGTGGGGAAATAGTATTCGGTGGCCAAGAAAGGCGACGGAAACGGTCTGGTAAGATGCGCGTCTAATGTTGGGCCGACTAACTGATGACTGTGACTTTGCAAGCTGGATGGTGGTTGAGAAGTCGTTGAGCTGGTGGGCGATAAGGCGCCTTATCGTAGCCGCTCGGTTCTAGAACCCCCCTTCTTCGCTGGGTGAGCCCCTGATGGTTCAAGTACCCTTCAAGTACCCGGTACAAACCTGGGCCAATCATCATGCAACCGCCCAACTCCAATCAGGGCTGTAAAAGCAAAATTCAAAATATCAGGGATATCAGGTGTAATTCTATTCGGATCCTATGTTAAAGATTCTTGTGCTTCTTAAAAACTAGGGAATAATGCAACTCTCCACCCAACTGCAGCCGTACCTTGTACGAGCATCCGATGGACCCAAGGAGCGCAAGTAAGTCGACCTCAGCCACCACCAAAATCACAGAACAACGCCCGTTTGCGCAATGCTAAGATATCCAGGAGAATACCGTCCCATCGATCGCTGTACATCGAACTTCTGAACAATGAAAAAAAAAGAAAAAAAATACCAAGGAACGAAAATATCCCCCCGGAAAGGTCAATCCGCCTTCTTGTCTCCCCCAAATCCTGATCGTCCCCTTGCCCCCGGAGAAATCCTACTTGAACTTGCCCCAAGAACAGGCGAGAGCAATCCCCCTGCATCCCATACCGACGATGATGATCTTGTCGTCTGGTGTCTGTCATCATCACTTAATGTATCAGTTAACTCAATTAAATCCCCTTCTCCAGGCGCAGTCCCAAATTCTGCCCCAGAGTGACCCCCTCCCAGCCCTAACACGCCACCACCACCTTTCCCACCACGCGGTCCCAACACCGGGGTCAGCGGCACTTGCACATGCTTTGCGCGTTCAATAGCACCACGCAGCCACGTCTCAACAGCCGCAGCAGCCTTCTCCAGCCCAAGTGACCCCTGCCCACCACCAGTAGCCGCAGAGGTAGCGTCACGGCCATCCTCGAACGGGCTCTCAACAATGAGCGCCGCGGCGGCAGGCAACCCATCAGGATCCAATAACTCATCGGTCTTGCTGAAGCCGAAGTGGGCACTGACGGCGCCCATGACAGACATAGAGGGCAGCGAGTCGATGTTGAGTCCGGGTAGGTGCTTGTTGGTCCAGGTGTTGAGCGGGTCGTTCTCAGGACCGGGGGCGCGCACGTTCCGGCCGAGGGAGCCAACGCCGCCAGGCCGGCGCATCCAGACTGGACGGGGGTCGTCCAGTCCAGCGGATGCGGGATTGCCGCTGCTGCTAGTGCTGTTGAGGCGGGATCGAGAGGAGCTGGAAGACGTGCGGATGGGAAGTCGGTAGGAGGTGCTGCTGCGTGGGCTGCCGAAGACCGAGTCGGGGAGGGGAGCACTGGGCTGGTCGGTAGATGCCCGGGGGGTAGAAACAGCCGATGAGGTCTGCATGCTTTTCTTCCTGCGCGGAGGGAAGTACCCAAGCACTTTCCGGGGTACCCGAGCCACCTCGACAGGCTCAGGGAATGACTCTATGTACACCCATCTGACATGTTTCCAAGGTTTGTCGTCATCATCGTCGTCCCTTGTGTGATCGGTGGTCTTCCCGTTTGTAATCGGTGCGAAAGGGTCGTCCTGCTTTATGTCCCAACCAAACGGATCTACCGGCTCGGATGCTTTAGGCTTTGATGAACTTGCTGGAGGATCGCAGGGACGGCCCTTAACTTCGCATGCGTCTACCGGTATGGCCAGCCATTTCCGTACCTGAATGTTGTCTCGCGACCATAGTCCATTTGCCTTCCGGAAGGCATCTTCCCGACATCGGTACTTGAGCACGATGCCTGCGTATGTGTCTGTGCTCTGGACATGATGGATGTATGCCAGATATTCCGTGGGTTCCTGGCTCTGAGTAGGGCAATTGAGGTCTGCGTCCGAACTTCGTCTTTTGAACTTGCCCATAACGTCCAAACCCCGTTTACCCCCTCATGACTCTCAAGGATACTCGCCGTTCGCAGGGTCTTCAGCGTGTCTGCCCTTCTCGCGGCCAGTCCTGCCCCAATATCATCTGCTCGCGGCCGTCTCTCAGTGGGAGGGACCGGGCCCCAGGTGCTGTTACCATTGTTGGCTGATTTCCGTGTCCGGCTCCCATCCCTACTGTGCGGCCGATGTGAGTCGTCACGCAAGCCCAACGTACCCCCTCCCAAAACCGATGCTGCCAGCTCTTGGACCGATGACCAGCTCGGAACCCAAGAGTTGCCTAGCAACCCGCCGCCAGGGCCTGAACTTCTGGATCGCGTAGGTGGCCGAACAACTGCCTTACCCGAATCATTCCTTCCCGTGACCGAGCCGATACGTGCGGCAGGGATATCAGGGGACTTGGTGGCGCCCAAATCGGAATACGTGGATGAAGCTTCTGATAGGTACTGCGAGCTGCGAACTCGACGGTTTCGAGGACGAACTGTAGTTGCATCTGAATCCTGTGCGACTGAGAGGAATGCACGAGAGGCGGGCGACGAGGAGGGGTTCATTTCCTCCGACATCCTCCCGACCAGGTCGGTCGCCTCGGCGTGCGGCACAAGCTGCGATAAGAGATGGGCATCAGATCGCCGGTGGTTCTAAAAGCGGCAGCGTTGCGCTTTGGTCGAGCAGGATGGCAAGGACGCGTCGCATTCCAGGTGCAGGGGAACCTCTTGCACTCGCCAGGACTTCACCAAAGTGGTCTCGGGTTACTTGGTAAGGTGTCGAGGGTGTCCCGTGTCGTGGCGACGAGTCCAAGACCCGCCGCAGTCGCAAGTCCAGCGGCCAATGATCAAGCGTGGACCGCTACTGGGCAGCAACCGGAGAATACGGTCGATTAAATGACTTGGGCTCGGTGCAGGCACGTTCAGAAGCCAAATGCCGGTCGTCGATCTGGCCTCAATTCACGCTCCCAATATTCTATCCGTTAACAGCGAGCTGGTTGCAACTTGGCTTTCTGGGCGGACGACTTCGAGGGTTATGGATGACACGTACATACAAAACGGTATCAGCTCCGTGCTATTGTGGCTTCTGTGGTAACGCTCCTGGAGGACGCAACCCCAGCGCTCCGGCTTGGGCGGCGACGGCGGGTGCCCCCCTGGAAGCTTACTGGGGCCTAAAAAACCCCCAGCCGTTTTGGAATTTCTGGCCAATCACTGACGAGGAGTCGCACTTTGTCAGACCCATCTTGATGGGTCCATATGCATTCAACGGGGGCTTCGACACGGGAAAAAACTGCTTTGTCAGAGGCCCAGAGCTACGATATCTTGGCTTGCCCAAGATTAATTTAACAGGTGTGCTCTCGAGAGAGTTTAGAAATAAGTGTATACTGAGATATTCTACGTTATCAGGGGGATCTTGTTCTCGACCGTTCAAGCGGGGAGGCGGGATGCAAGATGCAAGTATCAAGGATACCGTTACGAACCCCGTATTTACGAAGCCTGTGTTTGGCCAGTGGAGCCGGGGCAGACATCTGCACGTGCCAATGTGCCGCGGGGCGGCAACCAAAATCGAAGTAAACAAATACAATTCACCAAGAGGGGCCTGGCGTGTTGAGATTGCTGTGGTTCTGCGACGCGCGCGCCTTCCCCGACCCGACTGACGGCCAACGATATTGTATCCGGGGATCCCTTTCAAAAACCGCCGCCATGAGGGTGACGGAACTCATCATCGACGTATGACCCCCTCGGCGACGCCGGTTTGCTGTTTGCTTTCCGCCTCTGGCCGCTGAGCGCTGACCGACCACAACAACAGGGCTTCAAGTCGTACGCGGTGCGCACCGTGATCACGGGATGGGACGAAAGCTTCAACGCCGTCACTGGCCTCAACGGCAGTGGCAAGTCCAACATCCTGGACGCCATCTGCTTCGTGTTGGGCATCACCAACATGTCCACGGTTCGCGCGCAGAACCTGCAGGTGAGCGACGCGATCCTCATGCTGAGCGAACATGCAGCATTGCCCAGGACCGCCTGCTGACCCGACTCGACCAATTTAGGACCTTATCTATAAGCGCGGCCAGGCTGGTGTGACGAAGGCTAGCGTAACGATCGTCTTCGACAACCGCGACAAGAAGCGGTCCCCCATCGGCTTCGAGGAGTATGCGACCATCAGCGTTACCCGCCAGATCGTTCTAGGCGGCACGACAAAGTACCTTATCAATGGTCACCGCGCACAACAGCAGACAGTTCAGAACCTCTTCCAGTCTGTCCAGCTCAACATCAACAACCCGAACTTCCTGATTATGCAGGGTCGCATTACCAAGGTGCTCAACATGAAGCCCGCTGAAATTTTGGCCATGATCGAGGAAGCAGCCGGCACACGGATGTTCGAGGACAGGAAAGAGAAGGCGCTCAAGACGATGGCCAAGAAGGACCTCAAGCTCCAGGAGATCACTGAACTATTACGAGACGAGATTGAGCCTAAGCTTGAGAAACTGCGCCAGGAGAAGCGCGCGTTCCTCGACTTCCAACAAACACAAAACGACCTCGAGCGCTTGACCAGGATAGTCGTCGCCCATGATTACGTGAGGTGTCAGGAACAGTTGAAGCAGTCAGCATCCGAACTGGAGGCCAAGAAGCAGCGCGCCAAAGAATTGGAGGAGTCTGCGCATCGGTTAAAGAGTGAGATATCCAACCTGGAAGAGGATCTTGAGAGGGTAAAGTCGCAGCGTGATAAGGAGCTGCGCAAGGGCGGCAAGGCGCAGGCGCTCGAAGAGGCGGTCAAGAAGCACTCGAACGAGCTCGTCCGACTTGCTACCGTGGTTGACCTCAAGAAAGGCAGTATCACGGAGGAGAAGGAGAGGCGAGCCGGCTGTGAGAAGACTGTTGCTGAGTTGGAAACAACACTCAAGGAGAAGACCAAGGCATATGAGAAGATCAAGGCCAAATATGACGCTGCCAAGGAGGCCGCCGAGAAGCAAAGGCAGGAGGCAGAGGCAAAGGAAGAATTGCTTCAGACTCTGCAGACTGGTGTCGCGTCCAAGGATGGTCAAGAAAATGGTTACCAAGGCCAGCTGCAGGACGCCAAGAACAGAGCAACAGCAGCCGTCACGGAGCAGGAGCAGGCAAAGCTCAAGATTGCCCACCTGGAGAAGAGGATAAAGGAGGAAGAACCACGTGCTATGAAAGCGAAAGAGCAGAATGCCGCTCTTCTCAAGGACTTGGAGGGGCTCAGGCAACAGGCCCAAAGGTTGGAGAGGGAGATGGCTAAGCTCGGCTTCCAACCAGGCGCTGAGCAAGAGTTGTACAAGCAGGAGGCTGCCCTCCAGCAAACGATCCGGGACCTCCGGCAAGAGGCTGATGCTCTCAAGCGGAAGGTTGCCAACATCGACTTCCACTACCACGACCCCGTCCCCAACTTTGACAGGTCTAAGGTCAAGGGTCTGGTTGCGCAGCTGTTCACAGTTGACAAGAGGTTTCTCCAGGCGGCTACGGCACTTGAGATCTGCGCTGGTGGCCGTCTCTACAACGTGGTCGTGGATACCGAAGTCACAGGTACACAGCTGCTTCAGGGGGGTAGGCTACGCAAGCGCGTCACGATCATCCCCCTGAACAAGATCGCAGCCTTCCGGGCCTCAGCACAAACAGTTGCTACTGCTCAACGCATCTGCCCTGGCAAGGTTGACCTGGCCCTATCTCTTGTCGGCTATGACGAGGAGGTCTCGGCTGCCATGGAATACGTCTTCGGTAACACGCTCATCTGCGCCGACGCTGAGACGGCCAAGCGGGTGACTTTCGACCCCAATGTCCGGATGCGCAGTATCACTCTCGAAGGCGATGCCTATGATCCTTCCGGTACTCTCTCTGGTGGCAGTGCCCCGAATTCCAGCGGCGTTCTCATCACCCTCCAGAAGCTCAACGATGTCACCCGACAGTTGCGTGAGGCCGAGGCGTCGCTTGAGAAGCTCCAGGCGACTATTGTCAGGGAGAAGAGCAAGCTCGATCAAGCTAAGCGCCTAAAGCAGGAACTTGATCTCAAAACGCACGAGATCAAACTTGCTGAGGAGCAGATCAGCGGCAACTCTTCTTCCTCCATCATTCATGAGGTGGAGAACATGAAGGAGCAGATCGCGCAGCTCAAGCAAGCTGTCGTGGAGGCCAAGCAGCGTCAGGCTGAGGCCACTGCCGATATCAAGAGGATCGAGAAGGACATGAAAGACTTTGCTAACAACAAGGATGCCAAGCTGGTTGAGCTGCAAACTTCGCTGGACAAGCTGCGCGCATCCCTCGAGAAGATGAACGCTGCCAACAAGACGCTCCAGAAGGAGCTACAAGAAGCCCAACTCGACTTGGAGCAAGTCTCAGGAGATCTCACTGCTGCTCGGGAGCAGCTCCAGGAGATCGACCAGGCCATCAAGGCCCACCAGGAAGAACTTGAGGACCTAGCTCGTCAGCAGAGGAAAGTAAAGGAGGCCCATGATGTCGCCCAGGCCCAACTCGACGAGGAGCGTGCCAAGCTCCACGTCTTCGACGACGAGCTCCAGGCTCTCGAGGAGGCTATCCGGTCCAAGAACGCCCGTCTCACCGAAGAGGGTCTCGAGAAGCAGAAGTTGGGCCATCAGGTTGAAAAGTTCCACAAAGAGCAACAAGCTGCCGCCCAGCGTGTGGCCGCCATGGAGAAAGAGTACGAGTGGATTGCCGAGGCACGCGACCAGTTCGGCCGTCCCGGCACTCCATACGACTTTCACGGGCAGAACATTGCCGAGTGCAAGGCCATGCACCGTAATCTGTTGGACCGTAGCCAAGGCCTGCGCAAGAAGATCAATCCCAAGGTCATGAACATGATTGACAGCGTCGAGAAGAAGGAGATGTCACTCAAACACATGATGAAGACCGTGTTGAAGGATAAACACAAAATCGAGGAGACGATTGCCACGCTCGACGAGTACAAGCGCAAGGCGCTTCAGGAGACGTGGGAGAAGGTCAATGGCGACTTCGGCCAAATCTTTAATGAGCTGCTACCAGGCAGCTTTGCTAAGCTGGAACCTCCTGAGGGCAAGGACCTGACCGATGGTCTGGAAGTCAAGGTCCGGCTGGGTAAAGTGTGGAAGCAGAGTTTGACTGAGTTGAGCGGTGGTCAACGGTATGTTCTCTCCCTTCCCCTTTTTTTTCCTGCCTGATAACACAATACAAGATGCTAACTCTTCCCCCCCTCACAGCTCACTGATCGCCCTCTCGCTGATCATGGCCCTTCTTCAGTTCAAGCCGGCGCCCATGTACATCCTGGACGAGGTCGACGCCGCTTTGGATTTGTCGCACACGCAGAACATCGGTCGCCTTATCAAGACGCGCTTCAAGGGTTCGCAGTTCATCGTCGTCTCGCTCAAGGACGGCATGTTCCAGAACGCCAACCGTATCTTCCGCGTCCGCTTTAGCGAGGGTACTTCCGTGGTGCAGGCACTGACGCCGGCTGATCTGAAGTAATCTTCTTGCTCTCTGCTTTCTTTTCGTCACTTCTCCTGTCTCTCTTCTGGTTTTACGGTGTTGGACACTTGGGAGTCTGGATGGCTAGGGCAATATGGAGAGCTGGTGTTTGGGTTGGTCGGGTGGACAGATTGGGTTTGGTTGCTGCTGCCAGTGCTGGAACTTGTGGGCATACTTAATAACCTCGTTAGGTTCCTTTGGCCGTGACGGACGGCATGAACTGGCTTAATGATGACAATTCGGGTGGCAATGTACACACAAAGAGCGTTTGGGTACGATGGAGCAAAAACTACTCCCATGTCTATGTGGCTTTCTGTATATCCTGTTCCTTATCCCCGGTTCGGTTACCTGTGTCGTTTATCCTTTTATACATTACGATACATTGTCACTACTCAGAAGCCCTTTTACCCAGCATAGTCATTACTGTGTAATGTAGAAATGGGAACCCGTCTCCAGCACCTCAATTTCGCCGCCGACCTCGACCCAACTCTCAAGGTCATGCGGCCTGTCAGTCTTGTCGAACAAAGGAGTCATCTGCATACCGAGGCAGCCCTTCAACTTGGCGCCCTCGTCGACCTCCCTGAGCCTCCTCAGAGACCGGTCAGGCTCTACAGCGTGCCTGAAGCCAGTATCTTGGTCGACATTAGGCATCTTACAGCTAGAGTACGCGTAGATCAAGGTCAGTTACAGAGTCTTCATATATATGAAACGAAGCTAACATTAAACAAAGCAAGTCTTTCGCAGGGTGGTATCCGGGCAAGTGCGTACCGAACGGTGCGGCAAGACACGTGAAAAGTGGCCGGCTCGTGCCTCTTGGTGCTGCCAGGTTTCGGAGAAATCCGAATCTTCTTCCAAGATTCCTCGTCGTAGGGCGTGTCTCCTTCCACTGTGAGGGGGGGGTTAGGTGTCAGAGAGTGTGGAGCTGTCTGATATGGGTGTTCAAGCTAAGGGTGAGGGGGAAAGCTTGGTGTTTCGGGTCGGCGTTCGAGTTGGAAGGTCCGAACCCGAAACGGCAGACTGACAAAACTATGATAGTGTCTGAACTTACCGACGATGTTGGCACGGAACCGTCTGAAATCCAAGACTTGAAAATTTTCGTCCTTGGGGATCTTGGCGTCAAAATCGCGGACACTGGACAAATTGAGCAGATGCAGAGGATACTGTTGTGGTCGGCAGTGTCAGCGCAAAAAAAGAAAAAAAACAGCCGGGGAAACGGTCAACCCTCCTCCAAGAGCGAAGGGGATCATCATCAGAGTCGCACACAGACCATCCCGAGGATGGAATCTGCAGGCGCGGGAACTGGGGGGACTGCGGGGAAGGGGGATCGGAGAGATGACCAAAAGGGTTGTAACGGTGATGCTTACAGTGTCCTGAAAGCCCGTGATGGGCTGGTAGCCGGCCTCCTGCTTGGTGGGCGCACACCGGTAGACGTTCCGTAATCGGGCCGGGTCGATATGAAAAATGCCGAGCCGGTTGCTCACGCCCAAGTACTGCTTCAGCTCCCAAGGCAGCTCCTTCTCCATATTAAGCGCCATGACGGTGTCGCGCCAGACTGTAACCTCCTCGAACTCATAGCCGCGCTTCTCGATCTCAGAGCGCGAGGGAAACGCCACGGGCAGCACAAACTGCTTCTCGGGGACCGCACTCAGACCACCCCTGAGCTTTGCCGCGACCCAGCTCATGGCACCACGGAAGCCGGGCTCCTGCCATGGGAAGCGCACGAGAAGGAAAGGCTCGGAGGCGACCTCGCCGAGACGGCCACGGGCCTTGACGGCGTCGGGGATGAACAGCTCGACCTGCACGGTAGCGAGCATGGGAAACTGGCGCTGCGTGATGAACTCCCAGCGGTGGGCACTCTTCTCCTTCTCGGGGGTGTCGACGCCCACGGGGAACGGGCTGCGCAGCTGCGCGAATGCGTAGATACGGTCATGCTCCAGTCCGGTCGGCAACACCCTGCTCTGGCTGATCTCGATGCCCTTGCATGACTTGATCGGGTAGATCCAGAGGCTGCGCACTGTGGCTGCAGCGGCCGGTTTTGCCTGGCCGTTCAGGGCCATGCCGTTGGCATTAGTGCTGCCGGCAGCGACGTCATCTTTCTTGCCCTTGCTCCGGCGCCGGCGCCGGCGCTCGGCCTCCGCCTTGACACCGATGGGCGTGTGTGTTTCCAGGAGCGCATCTCGATGTGAGGGAGGGATGGGGGGGAAGTAGATGCAGAGTGGCACAAGAAAGACTAGAATAGTGACGGAGAGCAAGAATATGCCGGTAGCATCAATGGCCGGGCCGGTCCGCAACGGCGACTCGCTGCTGTCCATTAGTCGATATTGTCCGTCTGTTGTTCCGTTTGTTTGTGCGTCGGCAGGTCGGCTGGGTGCTGCTGTGTCAATGGCTTTTGTTTGGCTCCAAGGTTTACGGATTACCGAGGAAAAAAGTGTGAATGAACCGGAAGCTACGTTAGGTAATACGGAAAGTATAATCATCGATGAAAGCGCAATTCCGTCACCGAGAAGATGCCCGAGCACGTCGGTGAAGCAGACAGGGATACGTGACCTCGAAAGCTACAGTCGTGTCGTAGCTTCACTGTTGCAATTGCACCTGCAGGGAAACCATCCAAAACGAGGACGCGACGTGTCTCAGCTTCTCATGGAGCTTTGTGGAGTACTTTTACATCTTGATACAGATCTTTTGTAAGTTACATAACGTGTCCGAATTGAATCGGGGTAACTTATGTAAGATCCGGTATGAACCGTATAAGTTGATACCTGCATGTTACCAATCGCTGGGGAAACAGTCGAGATCTGTGACGACCCAGCGAGGTGGATGAAACAGGCTGGGTCTGTCACACAGGCTATCGAACGTCATAATAGGTGAGCACCATCCGACTACATAGGTAGCTACAACGGCAAACAACGACGTGATAGTATGCAATACTGCCGCACACCACACACCTGTAAAGGGAGAATGTTGAGCCGGCAAATGCAGGATCACACCACCTGCTCAAGATATTGGCCCGCGTCAGATCGAGCGGGAATGTTTCCTCGCCAGTGAGAGCAGGCACAAAGGTAAAAATTAATAAACACTTCGCCGGGAGATGGACTAGATTCTATGTAGGAAGCTGACCTGCACAACTCTGGCAGTCTGCTCCGTCAAGCTGGCCATCTGCTTGTGATTCCCCAGCCGACAAGGCCCATTGTCCCGGCACTTTGACGTAGGGCTGCCATCAACTGCCTTTAACCATCCAGACCCGATTCGCTGCCGTCATTGATTGGCCGTAAAGGTGGTACTTGATTGGAGAGTTGTGGAGTGTCAACCGGGTCGCTCTGCCCGCTCCCTCAGGCCGCGTCCAGCGCCACCGTGCAGAACCGGGCCGGTAACCGCTGGTTGCTGTGGAAGATCGGGAGTATTCCATGGATCGAGATGCTAGTGCACGGTCATTGGCGTCGACGAGTTAATTAATTCTGCTGACGGTTTGCTGTCTATTTGTCGATGTCACCAGCACTTGTGTTGCAGGCGTATGGGCCCACACTGGGGTGAGAGAGTTGCGTCTACGCTATGGGGTCAGGCCGAGAGTCACCCTGCTTTTCTGTGAGACGAAGAGACATCTGTCTTTGACAGTCTCAGTTTTTGTTTGACAGTTCTCACCACCGGAGGCTGGGACAGGAGGAACGTGCTTCCTGGTAAATGGTTAATTATGTTGCATTCTCCAATGAAACCTCTTGGTAGATGGCATGCCTTCGCTCTTACCGAACAAGTACCCTCGAAGCGAGAATGGCAGAGAAGAAAAAGAAAATCAGACAAGAAAGGGAAATAGCAGTTGTCAAAGGGCACTCGCTACCATGTCAATCTTCCGGACGGAAACCCGAAGATAGGGTCGTGATGGTGATAGACGGTGCCAACTTGGCGGCGCCGACAATCATCTGGTGCGGAAGTAGGACAAGACTGGGTCAAAATCCTGGGAGGAGGACAATTTCTACGGTAGTGATTGCTCATCAGTGTGCCATTACCCTGGGGTGAGTGTGACATCCCGTGTATCATCCTGTCCGGGTCATCTCATCCACGACCCTGCTCAGGGGCAGGTGTCGGTTGTCGGATCTGATGATCCATCTCGACCTACCTGCTTGGGCAGCTCGTGCTGCAGCGACACTCCGGGGAAGGACCTCCAGCGTAGCAACCCGTAGCCGTTGCTGGTTTGACCTTCGATGGTGCCGCAAGTTATCCTGGGTGACAAGAGACACGGTGTTCTTCTGCAGGTTGCGGGACAATTTTGCCCTGGGCTGCTGGAGGTGTTGCCCTCACAGTGGTCGAGCGTCCGAGGATGTCTACGTCCGAAGGGACTTCCACAAACCTTTGGGAGACCAGGAAACAACAATATAGACGTGATCGGAAAATATTCTTTTGAGCATCTGCTTCGCCTGCTTACGCAGCCTTCCATAAGCTTGCCGTTCACAGGAATGCTACTCGGCTCCAGCCATCAACATATTCTGGATGCGAAATGAGGGTTTAACAAAAATATCTCACTATAACATTACCTGCAGCACGTCATAGGATTGGAAAGGTTCGATGAGAATGGGAAGTGCCGTGGAGGTGGGGGCGAAAGCGCAAGCTAACGAGGACCTCCGTGAACGGTGAACATAGCACTGGTGTTGCCTGGAGGGCCCTTCTGTTGATTCCAAACAAAAATAGCTTCTCACAGGGAGTAAACGTTTCAGCGTCTGGATATATTCCATGGCAAGCAGATTTCTTCGCGTGGATGTCGGCATTGCCGAGCCGTGCGTTCGGAGGACGGCCGACAGCTCACTGTTCTGGCATGAAAAAACCGGTTACTCACGTACGGTGTAGACGCTCACATCAATGCAACTGAAATGACATTGAAGCAGCAGTGAAGTTGCGAGGATTTTGAGCATTTAAGTTTTGGACGCGGACAAGACCGACGGTCACTCCAATGCCTGTCCGTAATGCGAGTTGGGAGTCTACACTTTTGTCAGCAGACTGATCATGGTGAGGACGTGACAAAAAAAGAGACTCGGGGAACAGAGCTCAGCCTCAGACCCGCAGACACACGGGTACAGCAGCCATCGCATTCCAATGCGGCTCAAGTCTTGGGAGTGAATTCAAGCATCGTATTGCAGGCGACTATTGATAGGAGGAAATGACTTGTTCATGCAATCCTTAGCACGCGCTGTGACCAGTCTTTGTAACACACAAGTACCTTAAAAACATAGGGACTCAAAAAAAAACAACATGTCAACATTCAGTAAGAACAACTTCAAGCCATCATCCTCAATAACTCCCGAGAGCTCTGCCACCAGATCTTGGGATGGTGGTGCGAAAAGAGAGATCAAAATTGGGACGGTGGACGTTGAGAGGTCGATCGAAAAGGTTGTGGAGTGGATCCTTGTTCATGCGCCTAGGTCCATCGGTGCAGCTAACTTGATACCCCCTGCGGCCGGGCCGACCACCAGGTACGCCATGCCGTTGCGTAGCACGGGGCAGACGCCCCGCTCTGGCCCACGCCGTTGGTGGAATGCCGCTTTGAGCTTCGCCCGTTTGAACGGCCTCTGCGGGATGACCACGGCAAATCAGGGACCTATAGAAGAGCCCCATCAACGTGTCCAAACATCGTCTCATTGGAAGACCCGGAGTAACCTCCGAAGCTGGACGCGCAAGGTCAGGGCCCAGAGAATCCGGGACCTGGGCGGAGTTTGAATGCACTAAGATACGGAGTTCATACTGAGTAACAGAGAGTTCACTTCTCGGTTGCCGCGGACGCCTCAACTTTAACCTCCTATGCAATAACAAGAAAATCTCATTCAATCCGCAATGTTTTTATGTTCCAAAGACCTGCCAGAAGAGGCTAGGCCGAGCTCTCCATCCAAAGTCCGGCTGGAAGCGGGTTTTCCCTGGGTTGAATCCATCCTCAGATCTATCGATTCTTGGTTACTACTCTTCTAGAATATCCACCAAACTGGGTCTGACAGGAGCTCCAATTGACACACTGTCACAGGACAGCCGAAGTGGGTCGAAAAGCAAAGACTTTGTTCTGGGGCCATTGAATCCATCTCAACGTTTGCCGGCATCCGAAATGAAGCTTTCACATGAAAACAAACTCGACTAGGAACCTTGCAAAACACAAAAAGAAGAGTAGGGCAATATTGAGCCCATTACCCTGCTGGGGTCAATTTGGAGTGGGTGTACGTAACCGCTATTGCGCGGTTTCGAGAGAGGCTGAAAGTCGTTTTCCACGTGAGATTTATCCGATCTCTGCGCAGAAAATGGCCTTAATTCCGTCAATTATAGACAGGGCGCTCTTTCCCTATCTGGACCTACCTTATGAGTACCTTACCTACCTTACGTAACGTACGCTTACCTTCTACACCTTACCGGTTAGTTACACCTATCTACATACTTGGCTGCGAAGGTGCATAGAAAGCACACCTACCTTCTATGGCCTGCCAGATTTTCACCTCCTTCCTTGGAAGTGTCGGTATGGAGGGCAGGTGTGTCCCAGGTTGCCAGTTTCAGGGCAATCCCCAGATCTTATCATACAACCGGCTTCCCTTTCATTGGCGGTTGGATCTCTTCCTTGTCCACCTAAGTTTTATCTAAGTCAGCCTTGCGGGAGCTGCCACGTCGTTTGCTGGTTGAACGGACGGACATACGGAGATCGACTGCTCATCACCAGATTTCACAATTTTGATGTTCCCCTTGCCTCTTTTCCCCTCAGGTCCCCCTTTCTTAACTCACAATTACCTGGCTGTTAGTGTAGGTCGGGTGTGCTCCGCAGCCTTCCGGTTCTCATGGCTGCCATGCAGCAAGCAATAATGCCAACTCCACAGCCGCATGATGATTTTTAACATGACGGGCCAAGATCACCATCTTGAGAAAGCTGCGGACTTTTGCCCCAAATTGCAATACGTAATCCGCCCTAAAACAGCCGCACACAAAATCCAGGGTCAGATCAACCCACAATGGCATCAAGGTCAAGGTTGTGGACGGAGCTATCCGTACCCGTATACAGCCTAGCACATCAAACCTTAGCACGCCGCACACCTCTCATCAGCGTTCTGGGTTGCGCGAGGCATTCAACGATGACGCCTACAAAGTACCTACCACAATCCGTTAGCTGGACAGTTGCAACACGGCCCTTGTGCAACCGATCTGTCCAACGTAACAGGCCCGAGGTGTGCTGTTATCACCGCTCGTCATCCAACCACCCCTACCATAGCAACACCGTAAACCCCAGGTTAGATCTCAACTTCTCGATGCTAGAATGCCACCTAACGTCGCACGCCGAACCCATCCTTCAGAGGCCCTTGGTTTTTTTTTTTTTCTAGCCGTAAGTCCGTTGGAAAGCTTCTCTGAACGCATCTCTTTGGGGCCGTCAACTTCTCTGAACGCTAAGATTGCTCTGAGAGACATGTAAGAGTACCAATACCTTATCTACATCCCCCGCCCATAAGTTGGCCAGTCCCGGATCGACGGGGCAGTTGCAACGGCCACGTCCTTGCAGTGCTGCATCCCAGAACTTTTACATAGGCCTGGATCCGATTGTCTCCACTGCTGCCGCGGAGCAGCTTCACGTTCTAGCCAAAAGAACCCCGGCCAGCCTTGGGATGCAGGCCCGATGTTCGCGCGCGTGGCATGGGGGTAAACTGGCGACAAAGGGCCCACGAGGTTAGCTTGACCGGGCTCGCGCACGGGCTTGCTGCGCTGCAGACAGGCTCACCTGCTCGTCTCAAAAGTCATGCTGCGAGCACTGGAAAGCCTGCTAGCTCTTCGCCAACTCCACGCCCGTGCGCGTTCATTCACCATCTTCAGCATAAAGATGGCGCGTTCAAGTTGTCAAGCCATGCTCATTTTTGCTGCGCATGTGGCTTTTGGCGCGATCGCGGGTTCATGTCCCACCCTATGGTCAGGGGGCCTGGCCCAGGGGGAGGGGCCCGCCACAATGGCACCCGTAGTGGAGCGGGACGTTGTGAGCGGTCCAGGTCAAAGTGGTGTGCAACCCGCACATCACCAGCCAAGCCAGCATCACCAGAACTCCCCGTTCTATGGATACCGGAGAGATTAGGAGGACACATCGGATGAACCGTTTGCCGCACGCAAGCGGGAATCTGCAGCTCCCCCAGGAACCGGAGATCAAACCACTAGGACCCATTGCAATGATCTTATCTCCACTGTCCCTTCACGGAAGCTTCCTGGCCAAGCTGGCCTGCTTGTTGGGCCGTGAGGAGCTGCAGCAACCTAGATGCCTTTATGTTGTACATATCTCGTTCACTATCCAGCAATATGCGCATGGACCAGTCTTCTGGGACGCCGTCTTTCACATAGGTATCCATAAAACCCCCCTGGACAGAAAAATGACGCTAGCAGGCCAGCCCGCCACTCATGGGAGTTCTGCCGCCTTCTACCGGAGGTCCCATCCAAGAACAGGAGAACAAGCGACGAACAAGCTCCTGGCCCCATGCAACAGTGGAGGCCGACTAACACAGATCTGGCCCGTCGTTTACCCTTGATCAGCTCAGAGCAAAAGGCCAGGCCACAAGAGCCTCAGCGGAAACCTTGCCCGTTACCATGGCCTGTGTGCTGCTCAGATTGCAAGGAGCCATCTCAGGCACAGACAAGAAAATAGCCTATAAGTAATTTGCAGGAGGGAGAGGGAAGCTTGCTAAAGACACACGTTGCAAAAAATAAAATCAAAAAATAAATTGGGTGGCTCTGCATGTCATATCATGCCGCGGCTGTGACCGTAGACGGAGCGTCCAGCTCTACCTTGGATCCAAGATGCTACAGTAGGTAGGCTTTTTGCTGGACCCGAGAGGTTGGCAAGAAAACCCGGGAGAAAGGCTCATTTTCACTTGTGACAGCTCGACGCCCATGGTTTATGGGTGTACCGGGGTCATCGTCAACTGCCACCCCCCACCTCACACACACACACATACACCTCTGGGCTTGGGCCGATCCAGGATCAACCAGATCCCGGATACTTTGCCTTAGCTATTTGGCTTCAAAGCATGTGGGCTCCTGCTCATCCTGGTCGACTAATAAGATTGAGCCCGGCCAAGTTGTATGCCCATCCGTGTCTTACAAGAGATCCAAACATTCTATTTACCAACTCACTCTTGACGTTTTTTTGGTCTCTCTCCCCTCTCCCCTCTGTTTAAGGGATTTTTGGCCTTGGGTGACCTTTTTTCAACCTCTGCTTCTTCTCCAGGCCACGGAATACCCGAACGAGGACCTTCCTCACCTGGATTCTGGCGGACAACAGTACCCTAGTTCGCCAGATATTCGGTCCTGATCACCATACCTCCCCGATAATACCAACCCGATCATTTTGTCTTCCTCGGAAGCTTCTGGTGTATCGAAAGAATCAGCACGCCTGATCTCTTTTTTGTCCTGCTACGAAACCCGCGACATCCTCGTCCCGGTTGTCGACCGCTCTTGGCGCCCTGACGAAGTCACCCACCGCCTTTCGCCACTCTGTCTCTTTACTGGACGGAAACACTCCTCTGAAGTTACATTTAACTTGCAAAACTCATTCATACACAAGTACCAAAACCACTAAACTGGCCCGGCTCTCTCCGCTCTGGAGTTGACGCCAATCTTCTCGCAAGAGAGGTGGAGCTCCGCAGAAAAGCGTCCAGGTATCTTGGCTGTATCTGGATGGCCAACGATTGCTCCGTCACCGTTGTATCCCGCCTGCATACCCACGCTGCTCCCTAGAATCGGCAGTACTAGAGCAGCAGCTCATACCCTGGCCATACTGCTTGAAGAAAACCCAGAAGCGCCGGATTTCTCTTTCTGGCACAGTGAAAAGCTTGTCAGAGGTGGGACAGTAGTCTCATCGCTGAGTCGCCCACTCACTCCTACATTTTTGCACTACCCCTCCTCACAACCTCTCAACTCACAAGTTTATTTCCGCCTGTGGCGTGTCTATTTGCTCTCTTTCTCAGAAGCTTTTCGGAGGTCAACCCCGATCGAGTGTGTTTCCGGAAGGGCATCCATTCCCCGTACCCCCTTGACACCCCTGAATATTCTCAGCCATTCTGTCATTCCACCTACCACATCGGGGGGGTCGAGTTTCTGCCCTTCACGCCCCACAGCATTTCCTAGAGATCGGGTCATCGCTACTATTGACCAGGGGATCATTAAAACAGATCCTGGGCACCAGGACTGGGTACAGTCAAGAAAATAACTTCAGTACCCAGATCTACCTGCCCCTTCCACCTCAAGCTCTCCTCTACAAACCTGCCTTCTCCTTCAAAAATACTCTTCGCCGGGGCCATTCTCCGGCGGAGCTGTGAGGTATCGACCCCGGCGATTTCGAATCGAGAGTTGTGTGCAGACCCAAAAATTCTCCGGCCGTGGAAGACACCTTGAAAAGTCCCTTTCCTCTTCGTCCGACACTGCTTCTAATTTCGACTCGTTATCGAGATTGATTCGAGCGCTGTGATACGTCGACGACTCCTCACACAACTTCAGCGCCATATGCCTGGGGCAGTTGACACCACCTGATCGTCGGCGAGAAGCGATAGCGAGTTTCGAACCTTCACCATGAGCGAATACTATCAGTACCTCTCTTCCATGTCCATGGTTGGAGTTGGGGGACAACTGGCCCATAATCATCCGGATGTCACCGGACAGGTACCCCAACCTCCCATCATACCGATGGGAGCCCCTCCGGTCCCCAGCGTTTATCAGAGTCTGGGATACTTTACTGGTTTTCCGGAGCCGATAATGTTCAATGCTGCAAAGACACAGAGGAGCAGGAGGAAATCTGCCCCAGGACTTGAACATATCAAGCATCGCCGGACCAGATCCGGGTGCTATACTTGCCGTAGTCGTCGAGTTAAGGTATTGTGTACAGCCCTTCATGTCCCCTGGATGCTGTTATTCTGACTTTGTTGACAGTGCGATGAAACCCATCCAATCTGCGAAAGTGCGTAAAGGATTGATGACCTAGTTGTGTAACAAAACCGTTTCACATGCTGACCGAGAGTAGGGTGTAGGAAAGGCAAACGAGAGTGTGTTTATCCAGATCCCTCACAACCAAAGGGGTCGTCGGGTAACAACAACTCCAAGGAATCGTCCGCAGGGCCCAGTCAGCAGCCGAGTCCAGAATCCTCCAAAGGCGAGGATGAGGAGGAAGCTGAGCTGGACACTAAGCTCGAAACGATAATGGATGAGGACGAAGAGGAACCGGAGAGTGCGACTTCACAGACGCCAACACCAGGTTTACCGACACGAAGGTCGAGCACAACATCATCACTTGGCCCTCAACGTGCCGGCGGAGACAACCGACACGGGTCGGAGACCCCTTCCTTCGAAGGGTTGAATCGCTCATCTCCAGCACTAACGATGGGGACAGCAAATCCCCAGACACCAATAGGACTCAATTTCCCATCTTCATCCTCTGCACGACCCGACTGGACCTTTCTCACACACGAAATGCAGTTCTATCTGAACTACTTCTACGATAATGTCACTCACTATCACTACTGTGCAACGAGCGATCTGGATGATTTCTTCCGTACCATTCTTACGACAGAGGCAACTCGAAACGAAGCGCTGCTCTATGCGGTTGTGGCCTTCTCTGCATACCATCATGCCATGAAAGATCCGAACGGGAGGATCAATGAGTTTCTTCAGTTTTACAGTCGTAGTGTCAGACTTCTTCTGGAATGCTTGAAGAAAAAAGAGAACTACAACATCGGCACCCTCCTTACGATTTTGCAGCTTGCTACGATAGAGGTACGAGTGAACCAAAAAAGTTCACTAAGCTCATTACGTGCTAACGACAGTAACAAGGAGTACTTGGGCGACTGGATCAACCTCATGGGACACAAAAAGGCAGCGTTCGAGGTCCTGACACAGCTTTACGATCCACACTCTGCAATGCAATCGCCTGTCGGACGCATGGCCGTCACGTGGTACGCACGATTCGACGTGATCACCAGTGTTATGGGGTGCCTTGCGCCGTCGATGTCCCGGGAATGGTTTACAGCACAGGTAGAACACTATCAAGATCGAGCAACAGCAGAACCTCAAAATGTGGGTTGCAAGTTCGAGTTATGGTCTGCTCGGCTGAGACTCATCATGATGGAAATGGGCCTGCTTTACGCCAAGAGGGCAAAGCGTGACATCTCCGAAGACGAGTATGCTGCAGAGCATCAGCGGCTGGCAGTTGTCTTGGAGGAGTGGAAAAACAGTTGGGACCCGGCCATGACCGATCCGTCGTTCCTCCTGACCGATCTTCCGACGAACAACTCGGACATCAACCCTTTTACGCCAGAGCCCCTTTTCCAGCCTCCGTTGTTTGTGGCGACCGCCCTGGTGTGCGAGTATCACTCGCTTGCTCTCATGCACGCGAGTCAGAGTTCGATCAAGCTCACGGATGAGGCGAAAGCGGGCCTGAGGGAACGTGCAAACGCGATCTGCCGGATCGTGGAAGCCGTGGAGGTCTGGCAGGGGAGCCCTTTGGGTAGCTTGATCCTGCTTCAAGCCTGCATGGTGATGGCATCTTTCTACGTGCGGCGAGACGCTAGACACCACATGTGGCTGAGGAGGAGGTATGCTTCGCTCGAGTCTATGGGGTATGTTTGCTTTCCTTGGAGAACGGGCTGAGGTGACGATAGACCCAGTTCTTTTGCCGCTATGGTTACCTTGTATTTAGACATTACAGACTTCTCAAACTAACTGAAATACTTCCAGGTACATTTCACCGATGACGCTGCGCACTCGCATGGCAGAACTCTTCAACGACCAGAGTTGTGTCCGGTGGTGGCTCCCCAACGACGAAGGCTTCACTCCTCTCCTCCAAAGCATTCGAGCCCTGGCAGACGAGCGCAACTTGATGGCAGCTTCAGCCCAAAGCGAGACCCTGCAGCAAATTCGCCATGTCTTTTCCCGGATGCAAATCGGGCCCGATGATGGCGACACCGATATGAAAGACGCGACTGCTTGATCACCACGCAGCCGGTCACTCTGCAAGCAGAGCGTTCGTGATGGCCAGTCCCCGAGTTCACCCTACGTGGTCACAGAATTAGCCAAAAACCTGGCAAGAATGACGTCGGTCATAGCGCGCGCTTCGACGTTTTTTTTTCCTCCCTTCAAACGCCCCAACACTGCCGGCGCTTGTGAGCCGCTGTTTCCTCGATACCGTTTGGCAAAGTCGTCACCATGCGGCCAGGGCTGGCACGACCAGGGAAGAACCGGATGCTCCTGGTCAAATCTGGATCCTCTAGAACCATAGAACAAGCTATGGGAATGGAGAAAAGTTCGTGTCCTGGCGTTCGGCGGCTCCGGGATGCGGTCTTTACCGTTGTGCTCCAAGTGTGCTGGCTCCTGAACAATTTCTCGGACCCAAAAGCGCGGCGGTATGCGACACCTGATCTCGATTCTAATGCAGGCAAGCAAGGGTGGTGGAGGGGCTTGTTCGTCCATCTGAAATGCAGCAAACCCACCCACCCGGCACTGGCATCCACCTAGAACCCACAATCGTCTTTTTTTTCTTTGCTTTTTTTTTCTTTGCTTTTTTTTTCTTTGCTTTTCGCTTTTGTCAGCCTTGCCCACCTGAGAAACCCCACGGGTGTACCAAGGCACTGGGATCTTTTACTTGTTGCTTCGCCATTTTAGCGCGTGATACAACGGTCGACCCGCCAGTCGAGACTCCCATGATTTTCGCTGCAAAGGGAAAGTTCCGCGAGATGGGCACCGACAAACACAATCCTTCCATCCCCTCCCATGTTGATCAAACAGCATCCGCATCCCATCAGTCTCAATTAGGCGAAGAAGCCCGGAAGACAAGTGTGTGTCGGCCGGGCCGGCGTCGAAAAATACCGCTCGCGGCTCCCCGGCACTTCCAGCCTGGGCCGTGTGGCCCCACAACGGCCGGGGAATTCGGGACGGGCAGCCGTCGGAGCCAAGAGTCGACCATCGGTCCCCCTTGTCTCTCTCGCGCAGCAACTCTGGTTGCGACGGACAACAACAAACCCATCGACGGCCATGGCCGTTTGCCTGCAGAGGTACTTACGTACTTCAGGGTGAATGTGATGTGTCATTCTGAGTACTCACTGCAAGGTGTTTGCATTTGCGCGAGGATCTATAATTACGTGACTAGCTAATCTAATTCATATCTCCAATTCCTTGCATAGCATCAAGGTAAAAGGTTGTCGTTCAAGATCTGGTTGACTTTCATCTTTCAGTTCCTTTTCTTGTATTTATTTCCTTGTTCTCTGCCTTTCTGTTTGTTGCTTCACCGTACATACATAATGTTTCGTTTCTCCTGATTATTTTTGCCTTCAATCTTGTTGCTTAGCAGTGCATCTTACTCATGACGGTTTTGTGGAGTTTTTTTATATAGACTGGTTTTCAACTGCTGTATCAACTTGACCTTAATCTATAGAGGAAGGGAAAAAGGTTGGAGGAGGAAACCAAAAAAATTTATCTGGCGGGTGTACATACAGAAGCATACAGGAAGTTACATCTAGGTATATGCAAATGCATAGGAGTTTTGGATGTTGGAAACCTGACTGTTTAAGAGCCATTCTTGGGTTGGAAGCGCTAGGTCAGGACCTTAGTGAGTACAAGCCGCCGAGCAGAACCTTTATCGGCTAGGAGACAGTAGATGTCACGAAAAAAAATGAAACGATGCGGCCCTGCCGCTCATGGGCAGGGCAAGGAAGGAGAGGTAGCATGGCCAACAGAAAAATAGTCATATTACTTTCCCATGAAGAAGCAATATCCATCTCCAGTCTATATAGCACATAGAGTAACATATGTGAATGAGAATAAAGGAAGAAGAGAACACGAAATAGCCTCTACCGTTACATCTCATGCGGCCTTCTCCCCCTCTCCTGTCTCAGGCTGGGGCTGGGGCTGAGATACTGGCTTGGGCCCCTCATCCCCATCAGCGTTTTTCTGTTCCTTCTCCTTCTCGGACTCAGCATTAACCTCAGCTTTCTTCTTTTCATTTTCAACAGTATCTCTCATGTCCTCTGCTTCTTTCTCGCCACCCTCGCCACTCTTCTCTTCTCTCTTGTCGACTGAAACAGCATTTGGCGCCGCCTCTGCCACAAGCTCAGCACTCTCCTCCTCCTCCTCCTCTTCCTCCTCATCATCATCGTCATCATCACCATCAGTTTGGACCGGCGCAGGGGCCCCAGCCAAAAGACTTTCGCCTTCTCCTGTCACAGTAACAGCAGGAGGCGGTGCCGGTGGTGCACCAGAAACGCCCTCCGCTTTTGCTTCTCCTTGAGGCAAAGCCACTTCCTCCTGTTGCTCTTGTTGCTGTGGCGGTGGCGGCGGCAGTTTCTCAACAAAAACAACACTCTCTTGCTGCTCCTTCTCAGGAACCGGTTTCTCTGGAGGAAGCGTCGGCTCGTCAGGTACAGCAGTTGTCTGCTCCTCCTGTGCACTCTGCGCATCAGCAGCAGGAGCACCAGCGTCAGCGGCCGCGTGCTGGTTAGGAATGAATGAATCATCCACTAGTGGTAGCAATGGGAGGGGGGTGCCTGCTGCTTGCTTTGGTACTGCTGCCCGTGTCGGTGCTGTTGCTGCTGCTGTGGCAGGGCCCGCCGACTCCAACGTTGGCTCAGCTCTGCGCTGGATCGCGATCTTACCAACCGGAGGAACCACGCTGGCTGGCCGGACGGGAAGCTCGGCGACTGGGGTGCGGTGCTCCACCATAACGGGGATGGTGCTTGTCGTCTCGTGAGCTTCCTCATTCGCTGCTGCCGGCGCTTGGGGCGGCAGTGGAGGAGGGGGATGAGAGATGTGCAGCTGGCCAAGCTTATTGGACAGATGTGACGGGTCCTCGTCCTCCTCTGCCTCAGGTACCGTGGTGACAGCGCTACCAGTCGAAGGGCTACTCTTAATGTGCCTTCTCGTGTTTGTTCTGCTCTCGGGGGTGTAATCGACGTCACGGGGCGGCTTGGCAATGGCGATTGAGGCCGCAGGCATGTGCTGTCTCTTGTCTGGGAAGCCATCGCCGTGGAGGGCAGTGCCGTCAAGCCCTTCGGCCTCGGGAGGAAGCTTGTAGTTCTCTGCTGGCAGCAAGTCATAGGTGTCGCACACGGTCTTGAAAAAGACATACAAGCCTGTCTGGCCCTCGACAGCCCAGAAGACACCGCGATGCTGGAACCAGGCATGGGCGAAAATACGATGCAGACGGCGGAAGACGTTGACGAGGTTCTTAACAGCGGTGCTCTTCTCGTGGTGATCGACGACAAACCGGCTAGGGAAGATCTTAGGGTTGGTCACAACGTTGGCAGCCCAATCGAGAGTGTGACAGCAGTAGTCGATGGCACAGCAATTCTTGGGCGACTCGTGCACGGCACACAGGAACTGCCACTCGCTCGCACGCATTTCGGGGCACGTGGCTGCGCTGCACGGAGGGGTATCGAACAGGAAGCCGACGATCAAGCTGTTGCACTGAGCAATCAGGAACCGGCACAACTCATACAGCCACAAGGTTTTGTCCACACCAGTAGGAGGGGTGGCCAGTAGCTTGGCGGTCTCCCGGGTAATGGACTTCGTGTGGCTTGCAGTATGGTGGTAGTGTAACGCAGAAAGATGTTCCTGAAGCTGGAATGCCGAGTCAAGCTACAAGAGCACAAGGTCAGTTTTCTGAAGGAACCATACGAGGCGGGGGAGAGACAATGCTAACCTCATGAAGGGGCACAAGAGGGGGGCCTGCGGCCATATCAGCAGCCTTAGTGCCCTTGTGAATGCGCCGCTTAGAATTGGTGTCGAGAGTGGTCTGCTCGATTTGTGACGCCTGGCGGGTAGCGTTGGGGCCCATTAGCGGTGACTTGGGGCTGATCTGGATCTCGGCCGGAGGAGGGGGGCTGGGAAGCCGCGGGGAACTCGGCGGCATAGACATGGCGCTCGGCTTTCGAGGAGATCGCGAGAGATGCGGAACTTGGGCAGAGCGCTCGATAGAAGTAACTTTGAGCGAGCGTCAAGGTGTCTGAAGGAGAACTATCTTGCTTTTGTGGCTCTTGTTTGGGGGCTATCTCAGTCCAAGCTAGTATATAGGAATTTATGAAGTTGTCAAGACAGCAGCGGAGGGGGTCATCCGACTGTCGATCTTCGAGAATGGTTGTGTTTTGCGTTGTTCGCAAGGATCTTGTTGACTCTGCTAATGTGAGTGTTTTGGATCCGGCCTCCGCGGGCGGTTTCGCAGGTTAAATCAAGAAAAATGGGTGCGCCCAGAGCCTGGTAAAGCTGGAGGTCGAGGTTGACGAGTGACGACTTGCAGTTGGCCCAAGATTTCCGGATTGGCCGCGCGCCGCGAGCTCGCGCTTGGAGCTGGTCGCCGCCGCTGCCGGTGGCCTCGAACCCCTGCTCGACTGATGGAAGGAGCCTTGGTTACATAATCACATCAGCGACAAACTGGGCAGTCTTGGCATCTGGCCCGCGAAATAGCCCCTCCTTTGGGAACCCCTCCATAATTGCATGTTAGAACAGCTTCCTAGCCCGTTCTCACAAGGCATTAACCAGGAAAAGGAACGGTAAGACTTGTTAAAACATTGACCTGAGGGAAAACCAGATTGTGCCTTTGAATCTTTTTATTTTAGATTAGCACGACAACATAGAAATGGAGTGGGATGATGATGACGGACCTCCAGAGCTCGTCGGTACTGGCCTCGGGGAAGAGCCTGAAGAGAGGCCTGTCAAAGTTCCCTTGACAATAGTAACAGGTTAAACCCCTCTTAAACTCATCAGTGTTGAGCCCCTCTGGTTAAGTCTAACTTGGTTCAATCAGGGTATCTTGGTGCTGGAAAGACGACCCTGTTGAATTACATTCTCACTGCGGAACATGGCAAAAAGATTGCTGTTATCATGAACGGTAAGAGAAAAGAGAATTCCAGCTGGCCATCGAACACAGCTGCCTTGAAGCGTGGACTAACGTACTCTTCTGATTAGAGTTCGGGGACTGTAAGAGTTTGAACCTGGGTCTTTGTCTTTGACGACTCACTAACGGACCTCAGCTCTTGATATCGAGAAATCTTTAACCATTAATAAGGATGGAGAATCCATTGAGGAGTGGTTGGAAGTCGGGAATGGATGCATATGTTGCTCTGTCAAGTGAGGTGACTCTCCACTTTCACTAGTCCAATGCTAACAATTCCTGTCAGGGACAATGGTGTTGCAGCTATCGAGTCTTTGATGGAGAAGAAGGGAAAGTTCGACTACATTCTTCTCGAAACCACAGGGTTGGCTGATCCTGGGAACCTTGCGCCACTTTTCTGGATGGATGATGGGCTTGGTAGCACCATCTATCTAGATGGAATCATCACTCTTGTCGATGCCAAAAACATCTTACGCAGCCTGGATGATCCAGCGGGCAAGGTTCAGGGACACGAAGAAGCCGAGGATGATAATGGTCCTGTCATGACCACCGCCCATGTGCAAATCTCCCATGCCGATGTTATTGTGATCAACAAAGCCGACTTGGTCAGCGAAGGAGAACTGCAGGCTGTACGGGACAGGATCGAGTCCATCAATGGGCTGGCAAAGGTCTTTGTGACTACTCAGAGTGTTGTCCCTCAACTCGAGGGCTTCTTGTTGGATATTCATGCTTATGATCGGGCAGAAGGCCTAGATCACGCAGCCACTGGCCACGCTCATCTTGACAAGGTATATCCTTTGCGATCTTTCGTACAAGTAAGAATCACATAGCTAACTTTTGCAGACAATATCAACAATTTCGATTCCGCTCCCAGAACTCACAGAGTCACAAGAATCAGCGATGGATGCCTGGTTGCGCTCTGTTCTGTGGGACAATGTCCTTCCAGGCCATAAGCCACACAAAGGTCCTGCATACGACATTCACCGGCTGAAGGGACGTTTCTTCGTCAAATACGGCAGCGAGAAGATCGTCCAGGGTGTTCGAGAAATTTTCGACATTTTTGACAGCCCGTCTCAAAAACCGGACCCGTCCCTTCCCAGAACTGGCAAGCTTGTGCTGATTGGTCGTCACTTAGACAAATATGACTTCCAGAAGAGCTTACTGGAAGCGATTGAAAATGTTGGGCCGAACTGAGGGCCTTGGATGAGCTACTGGAAACTAGAACTCCATTTTAAAATCAGCATATGGTTCAAATCCCGGTTGTGCAAGGCTGAAAACAGGAGACTGATGGAAGTTTGCAACACTTCCAAGATGAGAAAGATGCAACCATGCGTGTCACAAGCATGTAATTATGTAATTTACAGTCTTTCATTACATCGATTTTTCCCCGAGCACGGGCCAGTGGTCAGGTACCCCGCCATTCTCGCTTGGGCTTAGCGCACGATGTGTATCCACAGGACATGCCGCCTTGCGGGAAAGCGCTCGAAGCCGCAACCACATCCACGATTTGACTCCATCTGGAACTAGCCCGCCAGCCTCGAGCAGACGACAGACATCTTCAACAGTGTTATTGTTGACAAGCGAGCGAACAAGATACCCATCCGATTCCGTACATCCCACGGTTTTCCCGACATCCCTAGCACCGGCTAGTCCCAACTACTTGTCCCTATGATGAACCGGCCAGGTATGAAAGGCGCCTCGCCCTGATTTGGTCGATTCTCGAGCCCTCGTTTGCCCCGCTACCTTCCCCCCCTCCGTCTTGAGAGCTCTCGACGCCGATGTTTTCTACCACTCATCCCAATCTCCTCGCTTTACTTCGTAATTAAATACGGGTTCTGCCGCGCTGTTGGAACTGGTCGCGATCTGGATGCGATCTGAACTCTTGAAAAGCCGGCAAGGTGGACTGGGAGTCAAAGGAGCTTGCTCGGTTCCTCCCCTGAGCTGTCATGGCATGCATCGGGGCTGTCATTCCCTGACTCTTGACAGTATGTGATGGCTGGAGGAACCTTTGCTTGCGCGCTCTTTCTGGCCTTCCCCAAGTCAATGTCCGTCCTCTCCATCTAGAGCACTTCGCCGCCAATGGGTCAGCGCCGAAACGATTGGGTTGACGGGCATTGACCAGAGTATCGGCACGAGAGGGACTATATTTCGCCGCAGTCTTTAAGTTTTGTTGCTGCACGGTGTTACGATACAAACCATCCTTGATGGCATAGATGTGATGTGCTGACGAGTCCCTTGGGGTGCCAGGGGCTGTCCCACAGGGGTTGCGCGGTATGCCCGCGTATGCAGGTCAACAACAACAGCAACAAACTGCGCGCGGCGTTGCCAATAGATTGCCAAACGGGAAGATGGGTAAGGAGGATATTTGCCTCGTTGCAATTTGGGGGATTCACGATGCTTTAGGCGGCCACGCTGACTAAGGACTACCGTTAGGGCCAGTGGGCAACGGCACTGGTTGGGGCTATGGTGCTGGCATGCCCATGGGAGGGAGCGCAAGTGTACCTCCGGGTGCAGCCAGGCAGCTGGGAGGGAATATGAGCTTTGCACAAAGCCTGGCTGGGTCCCAACCAGCAACTCCTTTAGACCTTTCGTAAGTTCTTCGAACCTTTTTCGTCTTAGTACTGCCCCCAGACATACCACAACTGCACCCTCACCCTCAAACTTAGGAAAAGTGATCAAGTGATCCATTCACACAGACTGCTTTCGTCTGCATCCGTGCTATTATAATAACAGCTTTCATCGTCTTTTCCTCTTTTCTCACTCGTGTACTTTTGCTTTTAATGATACTCAGAACCTGTTCGGCACAAAGGCAGTTGTGGTTTTTCTCCCCCACTGGTCGCAATATTTGATGCAATAATACCGACTGGGAAATGGCCCGAGGTCACAGGCCCAGGTTGTCCTTAAAGTTGAAGGACAAAGTTAAACAAGAGGCACAGAAGCGCCCAGAAGGGCTGCCGTATGCCTCAATTCTGAAGGGGTATTGAGTGCATGCGAGCGTGACACCGATTTCGTCTACTCGCTTATCTTCCAATCGTTGGCTCGACTTTGTACTGATCTGTTGTTGACAACAGGGAATTCCCCTCATTGGGAAATGCCTCACAACTTAACACGGCAAGCCAATCATCCATGTGGGGGGCTCAAGGACCACGGAGTCTCGGTGCTGCTGCTGTACACCGGGGAGCTCCAACACCGGTCTCTGCCCAGCAAGCCCAGCAAGATGATCTCTTTTCTTCGCGGCTAACAGGTGCCCAAGCTGGCATGAGGTTTGGGAACCAAGGAAGCGTTGCGCAGGCACACGGGCAAGTGCCCGTTCCGGACGACTTCCCTCCTCTGAATCGGGCAACAAACGGCGACGTTGGTGGGCAAGAGCGAGGGGTGATGTCCAACATTGCCTTTGGTGCGCAGAATGTTGCACCAGGGTCTGGGGTACAAAACAGAGCAAACAATGGCCTGCTTAATGCACTCTCAGCTACATCACGCGCCGGCGACACTCGGCCACAGGCAGCGATAGCGCGACCTCAAGATGCTCGAAGTCCAACAGGCAATGACGAAGCTCCTCAAAAAGACGGCATGGATGCGATCAGTGGCAAGAATCCCCATGGTGCGATCGGTAATGACGCTCCATCAGGGAAAGGAAAAGAGGATGAAAAGCCTACACGCCCGCCTGCTCAGGATCCGTTAGAGGGCATGGCGCCTGCGGATAAATGGGGCATCAAGGGCCTGCGACTGCTGATGAACAACTTTCCCGACTACAATGCGCTCGCATGTGGAATTGACCCTACCACCCTGAACATGGACCTCCGTTCCAGCGAGTAAGTCTCATGACACTCTGGGCCTCCATGCTTCTAACTTGAAAGGTGCTAATACCTAGCTTCAGGCCACTGTCAACAAAGGTCTACTCTCTCTTCGACGATGTGCCTCCGAGGGCGCCCGTTCCCAAGTTCGAACTACCGGAGTGCTACCAGGTCAAAAATGTGCAGCCAATCGAGGCCAAGATCTCCAGCTTCAATGAGGAGACTCTTATGTGGATTTTCTACAGCTGTCCAAGAGACATCAAGCAGCAAATGGCAGCTATTGAGCTGTAAGACCTTCTCTTAGCCCCCTCATCAGACCCTCTTCTGACCCGTTATACTCCTAGGAACAACCGCAACTGGAGGTGGCATAAGAAGTTGCAGCTGTGGCTTACGAAGGATGACTTGATGGCTCCTCAGGTTCTTGGCCCCAACCATGAGCGTGGCTACTATGTTGTCTGGGACACTGTCAACTGGCGCAAGGAACGGGTAAGTCAGGAGATACTTTCCTTTGTGTGGAATATCCTGGACATCTCCCCACTAACAAACTGCTCAGCGCGAGTTGACTCTACATTACGCGGATCTAGACACCAACCCCGGTACCCCGCTGCAGAGCATAGCGGCCTAGTCTGCCTAGTACGGCTACTTTGGCGTGGCGTTAGGAGGGTCAATGGGGTGAGTGATCTAGTTAATGGGCAGAAGGGAAAACATGCTTGTTTGGTGCGTGTATGCGAATAGGCTACGACTCCTTCCTTCTCATACCAGGAGGAACTCACGAGGGAGGAACTGGCGTAAATGACAATAATTGCGTGTTCTGGCGCAGAATGCAGAGACCGTTCATCTTCTAAAGCAGATTGTGATTACTGTGTTCAACACTGCCGTCTTGTGATATTGCTGATTCTTACCGTTCTGTGTGGCGCGCCCCAACGGTGGCTGACAGACCAGCCACGCCCTTGTCTGCATGCTCATGAAACGAGAAAGTGGACCCACATGTCTTGGCATCGTTTGCCTGCGCGGCCGACAACCAACGTAACTCTTGGAATCGCATCACACTCGATGCACCTCTTGGCTTTAAACCCGGTCTCCCAAACCGAAGGTCGCTGGTAGTCGTTTCGCTGCAACACGGGTCACTGACTGTTGATCAAGAAAGCCTGACTCGTCAGTAGAAGCCTTACCCGACTTGCGTATCAGCATCCCGATACTCTGTAAGCCGTTGGGAGACGCCGCGCTCGAATTGCCATCCGGCTGTCGGCCCATCCTTCCTTACCAACCTGAAGGCAGCACCAACGCTCAGTCGCCCTACGGTTTGCGCGATTGTTCGTCTTGTGACTCCTCGTGATATCACATCGAACTGCGGTCATTAGACCACGTTCTGAATCCCATCAACTCCCCCCGAGCCTCTCCCTCTTTGTCAACCCCGACAGCCCCGCCACCAAAGCAGCCATCGAGAATCCCTGAAAAGGCTACCTATTCCTTCGCTCTTGCCAATTCCTGCTTTGTACCAGCCTGGAACCTGAGTTACAATGGATTACGACGATTCAGCGCAAATTAGCCTGTCCTCGTTGGTAGTGATTATCGTCATCTCTGGCCTCCTAATACGGTACCTTTTCTTCTCTGGAGGGAACGGCAATGGTGCCTCTGGGTCGAGAGCAGCCGCCGCAAGAGATCCGCTGGCGGCAGCGCGAGCGCGTGAAGCAGCTGTCGAGAGGATACAACAAATGTTCCCTCAACTTGACCGACGCACGGTGCTGTGGGACCTCCAAAGAACAGGCGGCAACATCCAGCTAACTACGGAGAGGATTCTCGCTGGACGGTTGGAGACAGTATGTTTGGTCTTACTTCCAGCTCGTTGATAGTTATGACAGCGACATCATGGCTAACACTTTGTCTTCTTCCCAGCCGCCGCCCACATTCCAGCCGCCGCCCCCTCCCCCTGGCACTGCCACCAGTAGCAGCAGCACAGATAATAATAACAACGCCGGAGCGACAAACAACTCCTCCAGCGCGACGCCTTCTTCGACTCCGCTGCAGTCACAGCCTGACCTAATCACGCGCTACAACCTGCACGACAAGCTCAACCAGCCGCTCCCCGCGGACGACCCCGCCTCTGCAGGCAAGAAAGCGTGGAGCTCGAGCCGCGAAGAGCGTCAGTCAATTCTGCAGCGCCGGCGCGATCAGATGATCCTTGAGGCCAGACGGAAGATGGAGGCGAAGCTCGCCGCCGAGAGGGCGGCTGCAGCTGCAACTGGAGGCAGCAGCTGAGGTTGGAATGGTCATCAGTTAGGTGGTTTCTGATGCATGAGACAGGCAACCTCTGTTGACTGTACCAAGCGAAAGTATGGGCTGCATCTGATGAAGCTCAAGAACATGAGACGGCGAGCCTTCAGGATGCTCTCCTAATGTGGCGTCTGCTTAATCAGCACTTAAAGCCTACTCCTAACGTTAAAGAGCTGGAGGACATTTACGCGGGGCGAGAGCCGGTGCATAGAAGGTTTTTTTGGTTTCTTTGTAACGGATTGACATGACGGGATTGCATTCTCATGATGATCCCTCTGGGATGTTGGTCAAGGCCTTAATTGTGTCTGTATGTACTAATCTCTATCTTGTTTACATCTCAAGGTTTGTGATTCCCACCCACCTACTCCTGGTGTCGTTTAATTCCTGTCATGGCCCAAACTGATCCTGCTTTGCTCTCGACCTGGCTTCAACGTGAGCGCTTACCCACCATGAACGGGCTGAGTACTAGCATCATAAGCCCCACCCGTAGCGGGCCAGCCCAGCGCTTGGGCGAACGAGGGCTGTCATCGTGGCAAGCTCCACGGTCACATGCAGCAACGCCGACTTTTGCATGTCAATAGGCGAAACCAAGAGGAAACGGGGGATCGCAAGGCTGTAGCAGGCATGATGTAGAGTGTGCCGAAGATGGCACTTGAAGCAGAGCCGCCTACGCGTTTCAACTTGCCGTTGGGAGAGTTATCTAACCGACAAAAGAACGTAGAGTTCCTCTGTCTTGAATCTTAATTCATCTCGATAGTTCCTTCCCAATGGCAAGCACCAGGGTCACGGACATGGGAGGTCCTCTTGCTTATCACTTCCAGAGAGAGTGGTGCTCTGACTCTCCAAGTTCACTTCTTAGGTATGGATCCATAGTCGTGCCTCTCAGCTCTGACTCTTCCTCATTGGCAAGGTCATGCTTGGTCACAAAAACATTTAGGGTTTGATCAGAGGCTAAATCATACATTAAAATCATAAACTACATCCATCTGAGCATATGGGTCCCCAAGTTTTGCAACTGAGCTGAAGAAGGTCATAGCCCATCATGCCGTTCTCACTTTCACCTGCTCGACGCGCTTGCTCTGCTCAAGGGAATCTGTCGATATACAATCAGGCGATCCGCCCTCGCGGCGAAATCGACATCTCTCCCTCGCACCAGCAAAGATACATCCGCGAGCAGGTCGATCTCCCAAGCCGATACTCCCGAAGACTAGTCAAGTCCAGGGAAGAACGCTCTTCACACGAAGGTACTTACATCCGCGAGGAGTATTCAATCAACGAAAGTTGGACAATGAGCTTGTTCAACTCGTTCGTACCGGCTCTGATTCGGAGCCGCATTCCTCGATTCAATGCATTGCGAGGAGTTCAGGAAGTTGTACAACACTTGCAGGCACCGCATAGCCTGGAACCCCAAATGAATGAGGAGTCTGGGATCGGTCAGAACGGTATGACGCTCGCTCCAGTGGCGGTTGCTTCTAGAAGGGGCACCAGAGCCATATGGGACTTGACCAGCAACATGGCAAACGGAGAGAGCAGACCTAGCCAGTCGGGGGTTAACTGGAGATACGCAAGCAATGGTATGTAATCGTCTGCTCCAACGGTGCCCTCACCATACGACGAATCTTTAGCTGACTCGCCCACCAGGCGCACAAGGCCTCGTCACTTCCGGACAGGAGTACCTCAGACACCATGAGTCTAGCTATGACTCTAATTTCGAGCGTTTCCAATACATCCAAGGCACACAGGGTATCCTTCACGGCCTTCCCGAAAATCTCAGCGCAGAGGAGGTCACCATGCTGAGCGGCGCCATGCCATCTGCCCTTGTTGCTAAGTTGGCAAGACAGGTTGGCGTCGAACCTCAGGATCGCGGGTACGAGGAGCGCAGTTGGATTCACGTCGTAGTCTACATCTGTCTCTGGGCAACGTATCGAATCTTCTTTTGGCTGGCCCCTTTGGTGGCCAGCTTGTTGCAATGGGTCACAGAGTGGGAAAGGGACCACCATTATGTCCAGGAAGCACTGATTCGCTTGACTCGCTTTTTATTCGGTTTCAACCTGCTTCTCAGTAGTATGCGCGAAACTCGTTGTGCGAAAGCCATCACCTCATTCTTTGGCGTCATCGTGGATGACGCTCTGGGAGGAGTCAGAGAGTTTTCCGATAGGTTGGCCGCTGGTAAGCTAGACAGGCCCTTGTGGGAAATCTGAGAAGTCCCCAGAAGACAAGAAATCGTGAAGGGACTTTTGACGAATCAGCCTTACAGGATGTTGTTGGCTGCCTTTCTACGGAGACTTATGGTTTGGGATAATTGGTAGTCAAATAGGGTTTGAGTTTGACGGTGTTTTAGAGCTGGCAGCGTCATTGGAAAATTTGAGTGGGAAGCGCAGGTATATCGCCTAGGTTGCATACTAATTAATAATTGATCGTCTTTCGGTGTCAAACATGTCGTAAGAGGTTTCCAGTTGTCTGGGGCTTGAGAAGCAGGATGAGGTTCATGAGTGAGGATTGGAACATGACCATGAATAATGAGGAATGAGATGAAAAATCTGAACTTAAGCTTGGACGAAATCATGAAGCTCAAAACCGTCGCTGCGGGGCTGCGCGCCAACGTCTGCCCCACTTGTTGTGGCGGTCCCGCAGCGCGGTGATAAGATAAAGAGAAAAAAAAAACGCGGCGCCGAGCAATGCTCTTCTCTTTGGTGGAAATTTTCTTTGCATCTTCTCTGTTTCCCGCCCGCATCTTACGGTCGTACCACTAAACGGCCTCTTCCCCCAAAGTCTTCCCTCCCACATCGCCAGTTTGAGCGGGCAGGAACACTACAACCCCAATCGAAACGTGAAGACGTATCCGAGCACAAAGCAGTGTTCCTCCCGTCGTCGTCGCCATGATGAAGACCAGCCTCATGCGGCAAGCGGCTGTTTGCCGCGCCGCCCTCACTTCCCTTCCGGGCCGTGCCACCTTCAGGGCATCACCGGCGGCAGCTTTGGCCTTACCTCGCTCTTCTGCGACGTTTTATCGCCCCTCTACCTTTCTCATCCGTTTCTACGCGACCGAGCAAGCCGCCCCCTCTCGGGAGTCCAACCCTGAGCCGCCTACTCTCATCACTCGCTTCGAGGATCTCCACACCCTGGGCGTCAATGAGCGTCTCATTCAGTCTATCACTAAGGGCATGCGTTACGAGACCATGACGGAGGTCCAGTCCATGACCATTAATCCCGCCCTTCGCGGCAAGGACGTGTAGGTTGGCACCCTTGCTGCTGTGTGTGGTGTTGCAACGCCCGAACCCTCAGGTGCTGACGTCCATGTGTCTTCCCCCTCCGTTAGTGTTGCTCAGGCCAAGACTGGTACCGGCAAGACATTGGCCTTCTTGGTTCCCGTTATTCAGAGGATCATTGAGGCTCAGCCGGAACTCGAGAGGCCCTCGAGGAAAAGAGCCACGGCCGACGATATTCGTGCCATTGTTATCTCGCCCACCCGTGAGCTGGCTGAGCAGATCGGCGAGGAGGCAAGGAAGCTTGCCCGCAATACTGGCGTCAGGGTCCAGACTGCCGTGGGTGGTACTCAGAAGAATGCCATGCTGCGCAAGACCCGCGCTGAAGGCTGCCATCTCCTCATTGCCACTCCGGGCCGTCTGAACGATCTCCTGTCCGATCCTACCAGCGGGATTGCGGCTCCCCGCCTAGCTGCCCTCGTCCTGGACGAGGCTGACCGCATGTTGGAGGTCGGCTTCAAGGCCGAACTCGAGAGCATTGTCTCCCTCCTCCCCGATCGCAACACCGTCCCTCGTCAGACTCTCCTCTACTCGGCCACGCTGCCCAAGAATGTAGTCAACATTGCCCGCACCTATATCAACCCTGCCAACTTCGAATTTGTCCAGACTGTGCGGCCAGATGACACCCCGACACACGAAAGGGTTCCCCAGTTCATCGTCCCTTGCCGTGGCTTCGAGAACTTGCCTGCGACCCTCCTTGAGCTGGTGCGCCGCGAGCTCAAAGCTTCTTACGAGGACAAGACCAAGATGCCCCTGAAGACCATCGTCTTTCTGCCGACTACCGCCTCCGTTGTCTGCTACGCCAGCATGTTCCGCCGCATCGCCTACCAGGATAAGGATCTGCCACCCATCTATGACATCCACTCCAAGTTATCCCAGTTCGAACGGAGCCGCAACTCGGATAACTTCAAGCGCGCCCAGTCTGCCATCTTGTTCTCGTCTGATGTCACTGCCAGAGGCATGGACTTCCCCAACGTCTCGCACGTCATCCAGGTCCACCTGCCCAGCAACCGCGATCAGTACATCCACCGTATCGGCCGTACCGGTCGTGCTGGTAAGGAGGGCCAAGCCTGGCTGCTTGTTTCGGACATTGAGATCCCCGCCGCTCGCGACATGCTTCCTGGTCTCCCCATCAAGCGCTTTACCGAGCTCTCCGGCGCTGTGGTTGATGTGAAGAAGGCGGAGGAGAGCGAGCTACCCAAGGAGTTCGTCGATATCACCAACGCTGCGCAGAAGCTCCCGTATGAGATCATTTCCGAGACCTACAGGTCCTTCCTCGGCGGAGCCCTCGGTGATACGGACCGCCAGGATGTCGTCAACGAAATCAACAGCATGGCTAAGCACACCTTCGGCCTGGAGGAGCCGCCTGCCATTTCGCCCCGCCTCTTGGCTAACCTACCGCGTGGCATCAAAGGCCTGCGCTTGGCTGATGCCAACGAAGGCCGCTTCCGCAACAGCATTGGCAACCGTGGAGGTCGGTTTGGCGGCCGTAACGAACGTGACGCTGCCCCCCGCAAGCCGAGAGACGCCTGGGAGGCAATGGAGATGGCTGGCGCTCAGGAGAAACGCCGCCCTACGCGCGCTCGTGCCACTTTCTGAATGGAAATAATGGTCGTCAGAATTGTCAAACATTGGCTGGCAGGCGTATGGAAAGTGGTAAAGCCGGGACGAGAAAGGGAGTCAAAGTACCAGGAAATACAAGAATAAAGACGCGTGTATTATAACTTTTGGCAACTGGGCTGGTAGGGAGTTAGGTTGGTTTGATTCTCTCTGGGGGGGCTACTACTTCACACGCTTTGCTACTTAGAGGGTTGGGACACCTTCTCGTCAGCTGTGTCCCGGGTTCATTTTGTTTTTGTTCTAGCTGTTCTCTGGGGTTCAAGGTGCGGTGAGAGAGCCGGGAAGATACAAATCTGTATGATGATGACGGTTGTCGGCTGCTGTGTACTACTTCATTGTACTGGACTTCGGGACTGGGGCTGGGGCTGGGGCTGGTGCTGTTTTATCTTCATGGAACGGACACAAACAAGGTGGTGGTCATTACGGGAACTAACTCTCATCTCTCTCATCTCTCTTTTAACTTCTCATGCGTCTTTTTTGTTGTCTTTGAAAAGCAACGTGTACATATAGACTCGGTATTTTGGGGATTATCTGGCTGTTGTTTCCATATACGGTCTCAGTTTGTACGATTCTCTGTAATGGGACGAGCCTGTGATACCTTAGATAGCTGGTTAGAGATATCACGTTATGTCTCACAGATATTGAGGCCCTTGATAGATAGTGATTATCGACACATCATGGATTGCTTCCTAACATGGGTCCATTGCTCAGGAAGGAGAATCATATACCATTGTTGTTCCTAACGCCGGTCGCTAACCCTCTTCCCAAAACCTACAGCTAAAAGCACTCATGCACCTCGATACCTACTTCTTCATTCCATTTCCAGGCAGCGATGAAGGGTAGAGGAAGCTGTTCCCACATCCCATACAAACAATACCTTTTTCTCTTCACATCCACCAAGTAGGTATTATCTTCAAGGCTCATGAACCCATTCAGACCACATGCCTGTTTGCTTTCCATTGTAATCGGTCCCCAAATTGTAAACCAGATTTCCCATCGCTTCCCGACTCGCCTGACAGGGTATCATTTCGATGTCCTTCCTCTTTCTACGAATTGTAGAAGCAGTATATGGCACATGACAAGGTTTGCATCCTCAAGACTCTGAGTCCGGCATTGACATAGCCGGGAACCAGTCTTCCTAGGGAAGCAACAAGATCTGAGTGTGAAAAAAGTATAGAACAATGAAAGTAAAAGCAGGAAACTAATGCATGTAGCAACCTTGCTTGTGCTGCTTATGAGCCTATCGTGGTGCACGAAGCAGCGCGGCTCAGAGAACGGGAGGAAGCAAGGTATGGGCATCGAACACCAGCACGCGCTGGTCCCAGCCGGCCGATGCGAGCCAGCCACCAGAGCCAAATAGACACCAATCGACACCGGTAACGAACTCAGCGTGCCGATTCATCAGCCCAAGCTGTTGACCAAGCTGGATGACCGGGGGCTGACTGGGAGCCGGTGGCATGGCGGCCGAGCCGTCGCTCCACACGCGCACGGTCATGTCGTAGCTGGCCGAGGCCAACACGTCGCTCGCGTGGGGGCTCCAGGCAAGGCGGCGAACGGCATACTCGTGGCCCATCAGGATCGACAGCGGGCCGCCGGTGGGGTTGCGGATGTCAAAGGTTCGAACGAGACGATCGACACCGGCAGCCGCAACCACGGTGTCGCGGTACTTGTTCCAATCATGGGTCAGGATCTCGCTGGGCACGGCGCCAGCGTAAGTCTGCCCATTAGCGAGGGCCGCGAGTACACCGACGGGAGTCACGGGCGGCGCGTGGGCCGGAATGACGGTCGTCAGATGGTACTTGGCCGACACGGGGCTGCGCAAGTCGTAGATGCGGATGTTTGAGTCGGAAGAGACGCACGAAATCAGGTTAGGATTGTGCGGTGAGAAGCAAGCTGAGTAGGTGCAGGTGCCGACGGGGAAGGTCTTGATTGACGTCGGGCGAGAAGGAGACCACTGCAGAGCTGGAGGTTAGGATGCGATAACGAATGCGAACTTGACATGCAGACTGACCAGCTTGACTGTTCCATCCCAAGAACTTGAGATGAAAGTATCTTTTACGACTGGATTCCAGCACACAGAGAATGCTTCACGCTTGTGCTCTACAAAGTTCATGACGGGGAAATCGCCACTGGTCACCAGATCGTACAGCTTAACGGAGCCATCGCCAGAAGCAACGACCAGCTGGTTCTCGTTGATCTCAGACCAGGCAAGGTCGTAAAGCGCATCGTTGGTATCATAGCCTTTCTCAAGCTGGATGCCTGCGGGACCGAGACCGAGAATGAACAGCCGACCATTGCCCACTATACCATAGTTCGCTGCGGCGGAGACGGCGATGCGGGAGTCGTAGTAGGGAGAGTACTTGACGGCATATGGGTTGTAGCCTGGAGTACGAAACTCGAGCATCGCGGACGCCATGGCTGCTTTCAATTATTCCAGTTATCGACTGGGTGACGTTGTCGTTCTGGTTGGCTGCTGGCGATGTTGCTGCTCTGCGGAGCCTCGGTATGGGATTGGATGATACCAGATGCCGGATGCCGCGCGGGGCGCGCTCGACCTGCAACGAACCGAGAACTTCGAGTAATTGGAAACGTCGAAATGGGTAGCTAAGCGGTCGAAGCGTTAAACTGAAGCGCGAAAATGCCAATTGATCAGCTGAAATGTCTCGGTCGTACGTAAGTATTTGGTACCTGCCCTGCATCTAGTTTGTGGTTGCTGCGACCGGAAGGAGGGGCGCGCGGGTGGTGGAGCCTCGGCCTCGGCTGTTGCGTTGGCTTGTGCAAGGGACGCCGGCAACGCGCTGCCCCGCGGCTCCTGCCAAGCCTCTCAACCCCATTCGGGTTAGTTACAGTAACACGTAGTCTCGTGATTGCGCTCCCCTCCTTCTGTGCTATCCTGCGTCATGACGCCCCAACCGAAACGCGTCGCGTCATTGGTCAGCCCGCCACCATCTTAACCTGCCAGGCACTTGCATCCCTCAACCTTGACTTGGGCCTCAAGTCTGGCGATTTAACATGCCCCGTTTCGGCCCGATAAATCTCGAATCTGTTATCTCGGACGATCATGACCCCGAGATGACAATCTGCGGCAGACCCATATCCATGTGCGAGACAATCCTCCAGGTTCCCAACCAGGCTCTCGCGGTCTTGCTTGATTGCCAATAATCACGATGGACGCCTTCGTGACAAGGAAACGAAAGCCCAGTCCAGATCTGGCTAATGCTAGCCAGAATGATGACTCTGAGCAGTCAACTGAAATAAAGTTGGCTATCCTGTCATCTCTATATCCAAAAGTCGACCAAGAGACTCTTCTCGATGTTCTCCTTGCCCACGACGGCGATGTAGAAGCAACTCGCCAGGCCCTGAAGGCCCCTTGTCTGTTGCAGACTCCTAAGGCCAACCGCAGCGGCCTGTCTTCTCAGACTTCCCTCCGGGCCTTCGCTGTTACTTCCAGCAATAACGCCTCTCCAGACTTCAAAAGGCCTAAGGTACTATCCCGAAAGGGGCAAACATTACACTTATACGACCCCAAAGACATCAGCGAGCACACTCCATGTTCCGTCATCCTTAACTTCCTCCCTGCTGAAGAAGCCAATGCGCTGCTGTTGGAGCTGCTTGAGGAGGCCAAGACTTTCCAAAGAGCAACCTTCAAGTTGTTTGATAATGTCGTTACGAGTCCGCACACCTCTTGCCTCTACATAGGCAGCCAAAAGGAACTACAAGAGCAAAAGCATGAGTATGTATACAACGGAGAGAAGATGACGGTGCGGTACCCTGATCCTGATCTTGTAAAACAAAATTTCTCGAACACTTACTGATTGGCATCGCTATATAGGACGTTAGGACATTGACTCCCCATCTAGAACGGGTCAGAGCCCGTGTCCAAGAAGCCGTCAATCGCGAAATTCGAGAACGCATCCGCACCCACTACGGTGGCAAAAAGCTCAAGTATCAGGCCCCGGGCCCCTGGATCCCCAATGCAGCCTTTGTAAATTGCTACAATGGTCCACAAGAGAACGTAGGTTGGGTAGGCCTCGCCTTAACCCCTCCCCCTCCGGCCAGCTCCTCAAGCCTCCCTTAACTAACCTTCTTTCAGCACAGCGACCAACTAACCTACCTCGGCCCACGCGCGGTAATTGGCTCCCTCTCCCTAGGCGTAACCCGCGAGTTCCGCGTGCGCCGCATCCTGCCCCCCAACTTCGACTCCTCTAACATCGCCAGTCTCTCATCCGACTTCGACCCGGACATGGCAGGCCAGATCTCCATCCACCTACCGCACAACTCCCTCCTAGTCATGCACGCCGACATGCAAGAAGGTTGGAAACACTGCATCGCCCCCGCACAAACCATAGACCCGCATCCGATTGCGGGCAACCGGCGCATTAACATTACCTACCGGTACTACCGGTCGGCCTTTCATCCGCGATACACCCCTCGGTGTCCGCCCCCTTGTGGGGTGCCAGCTGTGTTGAGGGTTGTGACAGCGAAAGGAAAAAGAAAGAATTGGGGTAGATATTTTTGGATGTGTCATGCAGGGAATGTGCCAGGGAAGGAGAACTGTGGTTTTTTTCGTTGGGCACAGTTTGATGATGATGGACAGCCTGTCGGATTCAAAGATGGCGAGAGTATGACAAAAGATGATCAGGTGAGGCTTAATGATGACTGTGTCGGCATATCGAAGGGAAATGTCAGAAGAGAGGAACAGGAAAATGGATGAGGATTTGTGTATGTGGGAAAGGCTATTGGCATTCACGTCCAACCCTATCCGAGACATTGGATCATGCAATTCTAGAGCCGGCTTTGATCTCTAATTCATGTGGCAGTTTCAATTAAGACATATTCTTTGCACAGCCTAACTGCATCCGGGCTCCCTTACTTTCCACAGCACTCACAGTTTCACCCCCTACGGCCACCACCCTGACCATCCCCAACCCCTTACATTCTCTTTCCCCTTCAGTGTTCCGAACAGAGATGGTGTTTTTTCATCTTCAATGGCCATCGTCACCTCTTGATTGGTGTCCACCTTGCCAGCCATCCTTCCCCTGGTGTTCGGTTTCCAGCACTCGGTTCCCACATCAGTATGGGTGAGCCCTATCAGCCCGGTCTCCCTCCCTCTTTCTCTTATGTTGCTGCCAGTTGTTTTATCCCTGCAGAGAGGCTTAACAATTGGTTGCAGTCTTTCCATTGCTACTGCTGTTGATGGCGCAGTAGAGGGCGGCACACTGGCTACCGACCGCATGCTGGGACTTTGCCGGACTTGACCGTTGTTGATGGCCGCTACTTTGCTTCGTACTGATGCAATTCTTCCGGAAGGAGTCGGAGTTGATGGTGATTCTATTTTTTGCGGCATTCGGGAAGGAGAAGGAGAACTGGGGCTCGGTTGAGTACAGATGGGGGAAAGAACCGTTCGGTTATTGTTCCTGTAGTTATTTTGCCCCCGCTCAAAGCGGGTAGTCGGTATGAAACCGCACACTGATCGTGGCCGCTGCAAGATCGGTTCGGCGGCAGCTTGAGCAGTCGATAGCAGAACAGACGGCGGCCGAAAGGCCAGCTGTCTTAGACTGGCGCGGCGTCTTGGGATGGCAGGACCAGTTCTTGTCGCAAGGCTCTCGGGTCTTAGTATGGACTCCTCCTCTTCTTGCTTCTGTATCATCTTCTTGGCTCCCAGATCAGTAACCTGGCCCGGATGGGTAGCCAAGAGCTTCCTGCTTCCCAAAGATCGCAGTGCTTTGGCACAGGAGGATGACGATGAGGACGTGGTTATATTCTGACGAACCACAGGGAATCGGGAGGATTCAACCCGTCTCATAACATCCTATGCTCGATCTAGCCCCTAGTGAGAAGCGAGCATCTCAAAAAAGGGGCTGCTGTCATCCTCGCCTATTGGGCGCCAAGACCACAAAGACGACGAGGTGTGTCGTCGGATGGTGGCAGTCGCCATGGTTTGCAGGATGGTTTCTACGTTGACAACGCCTTCAGCACCCACGTCAGGTTTGACTCCTGGTTCACTCATTCCTGCTGCCAGTACAGTGCTTCCAGGAAACGCAGAATGTCGATACTTCACCCGGATTTGCAGATACTCTGTCTCGACGCCAGCCAAATGGTGTTCTAGGTCCTGTATCAGGTCGTCGGGATTTTGGCGTGCTGGGCTGGTACCTTGTCGACGTGAAGCTAACGGCAAAAGACGGACGTGCACTACAAAAACGACCTGAGATCCTGGGCCAAGCCTGCTATTTCTGCATTATATCTTGTCAGGAGGACATATATGGAAAAAAAACGGTTCGAAAAGTCCGACATACTTCATGCATTCCGGGTCGTCAAGAACTTCGATGAGTGCACTCTGACTGGTTGGCAGGATCTCCAGAGAGACGTCGTACAAGTAGCCATACCGTGTAACTATAATGAGTTACCAGCAGATTCCTTACAACTCTTCTCTGGGGGTATGTGTTGGGATCACTTTACCTGCAGATGGTGAACCGGATCCTTTCCCAGTGTCATGAATATGTTGGACAACAGCACCGGCCTGGCAAATCCGGGTGGACAGTACTACAGCCGCCCAAAAGCTGAGGGTCTCCTCATCGAGTGAGGGTGTTTCAGGGTATACGAAGATGTGAGGAGCGAGAATCGGCGTCTGGAGCAGTGAAGGATTTGGAGAAGAAGCACAGTCCTTTGGCCGAGATGTCTGAAGCCATGAGACTTGAGTCGTCGGCCTGTCGGCGTCTGAGTGGTACCAGGTCGGCAAGAGAGCAGGATGCGACATAGGCTCAAACGCCGATTTCGGTCTCCGAGGAGGATCAGGTGTGGCTGGTAGAACCGGCTCTACCATGAAACAGGCCTTGTCGCTGCCAGAGCCTTCAGTATCCCCCGAAGAGTACTGTTGTATTGGAAGTACCAGGCTGGATCGTTTTGACCGGGGTGAAAGAAGACGGCAGGCGGCGTTCTTCAGCTGGCATGGGTTTGTTAAGGATGTGGCTCGCTGCTGTTCAACCATCGAGGCGCCGGCCAACAGGGTAGCATCGCGGTCGGCCTGGCGCAAGCAAACTGCAGAAGCGTCAGCGAGAAACATTGACATGCGCGGCGGAGGGGGTTACCAACCACCTTCTGGTGTCCGCGTTGGCCTAGGAGCATGTCTGTCATGTTTGGAAGGAACGGCGATGGCTGAACCAGAACCGCGGCTGATAACCTGGGCCGCGGCCCATCTGTTTCCGTCGGCTCGCCTCTTTGGAATCGTCAAGGGGCTGTCGTCTCCAGGCTGTTCCGGCGGGCTCGCTATTCCTGCGTTTGAAGCCACGTTGGCGACAGAGCTTCGTGACCAAATATCGTGGTCACTATCGTCCGGCTGGACTGAGAATCGCTTCTTGATATGTAGTGGGCTTGGTACGTCGCTGCAGAGCCTACTATCTCTGCCGTACGTGTCCACAGTAGCTTCCTGCTCGTTGCAGTCTGTTGCTTCTCTCGACATATCACTGCCAACCTCAATAGGGTTTTGGTTCATGTCTGCAGAAGTGAGCGATCAGTCAAAAAAATGCATCTGCCCAGAACCAGATACGGTGTATAAAAGCACTCTATAGCCAAAAGAGTGGACTGTCAACACGAAAGGAAAGGTATTAGTATCTCTATTCGTATCTTGAAGTAAGAAAAGAACTAGAGCCGCTAGGTAGCTATGCCGGCCAAGGTGCTGTCGACAACAATTGAAACTCTTGCAAGGCGCTTTTCTGGTCCAAATTAGAAGTCTTTTCTCAAGGCTCTAAAGAGAACGATGTGGAGAGAGGTGGCAAGGCCCAGTTGGCTCTGTTGACTGCTCCTTTCTAAGTCTATCCAACGGAAGGAGCGATGATTAGGTAGGTAATCGAATTTCCAAGCCTTATCCATGGAAGGTCGAGTAAACGACTCAAAAAGCAGGAACCTCCACCGAAGGTAGTTCAGCTAAGTAAGGCATACAGGCAGAACTAAAGGAAGCAAGGACATTGAAACTTCACGAGCAGCCTCTGGCTGATGGGTTATGATGACTCGATAGCCCGACAATTAAGCGACTGCGCCAAGTGTACGAAGCAGATTGGACTTGACTCCCTCGACCTCATTCTCGTCCATGTTGAGAAAGTTGATCTGCAGGAGTGGTTAGCGACTTCCATTGTCTTCACAAAATTTTTGACTTGAGGAGACGCACCAACTCATCCGCTGTTCCGGCGCCGCCAAACAACACCGCTTCCGACAAGCTGGTAGCCACCCCCCTCTTGACCCTCTCTTCCCAGACCCCCTCCCAATTCCACTCTTCAGGGCGCCGTGATGCAGGAGTCGGAGGAGGACTTATCATTGTGGTAGTCGCGACAGGCGCACCAGATCTTGCTTTACCTTCCTGTCCCTCATCGCCGTCCCCTTCACCATGGTCGCCAGCACTACTCCTCACATCGCCATCAACCCCGCCAGTGGCGGGAGGAAAGATTTTCCTAGCTGTCATTCGCCTGTGTGTGCGCCAAGCATGCCACGCGCCTGGATTTCCTGCAGCCTCAAGAGGCACGGAGTCGAGCACGAGCTCATCATCAAACGTACTACGAATGTATCGCAATACTTCATACGTTGAAACAGATCGGCCATCTCTCCCTGCACCTGCCCGTGTTGTCTGCATGTATGTTGGCACAGTCGACGACGCGACGCTCGCGGCCATAGAGATACCCGAAGCCTCTGAACCGGGAGTGCCCGTCACCCCTGTTGCTGTGGCTATCGGGCGGGTCGGTGTTGTCGTGCCGTCTGCACTTCTGCCGCCAACGACAATGTTATTGCTGCTTGCATTGGCGCTTTCACTTGCGCTCCTTTCCCGCTGTCCCTGGGCTTGCATTTGCGCTCTGGCCCTCGACCGCCGACCAAACCAGTTGGGGAACCCATGCCGTAGACTGAAGCCACCGGGCGGTAACCTTTCGTCGTCTGAGGCGCTGAAAGTATCTCCGTGTTGAACGTCTGTCGAATACATGTAGGTTGTAAGTGGGGTGACTAGCGGATGGAAGATATCGGTCGAGAAGGTGACGAGTGGCGGGAGGTCCGGATAGGAGTCGGGGAAAGAGATGTGAAAGCGGAGTATGGCCGGGGCGTAGGGTCCTGTATGATAGAATGTCAGCAGATACCTCAATGTTTCGAGGCCGAGATTGATTCAGTGAAGCGGGTGACAGGCCTGCCTTCCAACCTTTGCGGACGAAGATAACCCCTGACCAAAGGCTCGGGTCTCCTGGCGTGAGACTAACGTAGACGCCATGGGGACAAGCTTGTTTGAGTCCGGCGCTGGAGAAATTGTGATGCAGTTAGCGTTGTCATTGCTCGAGTCCGCAGAATTTCGGAAAATCTCGTCTCTGTATGACGGTGAAACACATACAACTCTGCGAGCAGGTGATGCCGTTTAACGGCTGATAAGCCGGCCATTTTTGCGGCGGAGGGCGAAGCCATGATCGCCGATCGGGGTCGCCCTCGCAATCCTTCTTCTAACACTGCTTTGTATAGATTCGAAAATAAAACGAGTGCGAGGTTCGGCCAGCAACGAAGAAAAGTATAAGACAGGCGAGATGGAGATGAGACGGGAGGCGATCGCGACACGCGATACGCGATGCCAAAGAGGCTGTGACATCAAGGTTCATGCATCATCGCCAAGACGGGAGCTACTGTGTACGGAAGCTTGCAAGCTCCAGCATGACAGCCGACCAAACGGCAGATGCCAGGCCGCGAAGGCCAGTTATAAGGGTTAGGGTTTTACGTGACCGGAGCAAACCACCTGCTCGTGCATCTTCTGGTACCTGCCTTTTCCCCATCGATATCTGAGGACCTGGTTTGGCATAGGTGCAGGCATTCGTCCAATTGCAATATTCTGGGCAGCGCGTGTACTCACTTAGGAAGTGTAGTAAGCGGAGATCTGACGGATTAAGCTTCGGTTGTTGACGGCTAGTGTACGGATTAGTTCTACCTTTTTTGGGTGCTGCTCGCTTTCTTTCGCGTTTCGTCCGGGCAACCTCAGGCTCTCTGCTACTGTGGTACCACTGTACCAAAAAACTCCTCTCAACGATCAATGACCTCCTCCTCTTTAGTAAACGCTATCCATGCATGCCGATCCAAACGGAAACCATGCTTGTTCATCATCTGCCGTTGGCCCTCGCCAACCTTCCCAACCACAAGTGCCCTTGCGCAATCAACCATCGCGATTGGGTACCCGCCGCGGCCGAGCGCTTACTGACCCACTGGCGTCCGTCTTTTGCCATCTAAAAAGAGAGAAGGGGGGGGAGTAAGAAATGGGGTAGGCGTGGGAAGGCAACAAGACATTTCTCCCGCGCAACCGTCTGTTTTCCGCCATGCAATAAGCTGCAGGATGGCCAAGGACTTGAGCAGCACCCCGGATTTTCATGACGCAAGCCGGGCTTCGATCTTCTTCTTCTCCTGTTCGCGCAGCTCAGCCAGCTCCTCCTTAGTAGCATTGTACCGTGCAGTGAGCTGGTTGAAAGGGTTCTCCGGGCTCTTCTCGAACTCCTTCCTGATGCGCTCCTTCTTCTGGTTCAGGCGCAGGCCAGCCCCAGAGCCGTCGGCATCCATCTCGGCAAGCCGCCTGGCCTCGAACTTCGCATACGCTGCAGCAAACCGCCTTTCAGGGTGCCGATCGATCTTCTCAGCGTCCTTATCCGTTGCCAGTGACAGCGCGTCCAGCGCATTGTCGATGCCTGACGCATTGAGAGCCGGCAAAACCTTATTGCTGCGGTTATCATCCAGCTGCGAGAGATCCAGCCCTCTCGTCTTCTTAATGGCATGCTTGGAGTTCTTAAGCGTTGCACGACCTCCAATCGCAGCCTCTTCCGCTGCCAGCAAAGCCTCCTTTTCGGCCTTCCGGCGGGCCTGCTCGGCCTTTTTCTGGGCTTCGAGCTCCCTAGTTGGAGTAACGAGGACAAGATATGTCAGCACTCGGTCATCTCCTGAACCTCAAAACTTGGTAGGTTGTGTATGACTTCCCACGCCTGGTTCTGGCACGTAGACGGGCTCGGCACAGGTGCAGGTCCATGCAGTTCGCCCGTCCTACCCTGCCCTTCCATGGGATGAGGCGCGGAGGGGAAGCCCAACGACGTGCTTGAACCAGCAAAAGCATGTCATAGCGCACATGCAACAAAGGAGAATATGCCGTCTATCGCGTCCAAGATGCAGAAACTTGTGACACGAACCATCAGCACATCCTGGAAGGGCCTTGGGAAAAGCCCCAGGCGAGCATGACGCAGCAAGAATCCCCCGCTTACAATCTTCCTTGGAGGGATGGAAGCATAGTGGCTAGTGGATCATGTTTGGTCTGGGATGAAGACGAAGACCGTGAACAAGAACACACTTACTTCTTGGAATTCTTTTTGGCTCCTTCTTCCCACTTCGCCGCCTCGGCCGCTTCTCTCGCAGCCTCGGCCTCAGCAGCTTTCCTCGCTGCGGCTTCTGCCTTGCGAGCTTGGCCGGCAGCCTTCTTGCTGTTAACTTCCCAACCGCCTTTCTTGCCCATGGTGCTCAGGGACTGATCAGCATATCACTGCGCGAAGAGGGTGAGGTGCCGTTTTGACTTGTGTATCCCACGCTGTTCAATGGGATGAACGGATAGATGACTAGCTTGCCTCAAAAAAAGCGCGCAGTATCAGATTCTGGCAGAGCACATGTATTTCAGGGCAACGGATCGATGCAAATGGTGGCTATCTGGGGCTTCCCGTTCGCTCGCAGTTGGAAGCTCCGAGGACTCGTTGGAAACAAGATATGGTGGGGCAGAGCTACAGCTGGCTAGCTCTGATCCTAACCCACAGCGGGGTCAAGTCAGAGGCTTGGCGTGCTGCCTTGTCACCTCCGCCAACTTTGCCTAAGGCAGCTCTCAGCCCACTAGTGGGTCCGCTGCAGCTGCCTCGAACGGGCCGTTCCTAACTGGAACGACGAACCTCACACAGTACCATCAGGCGCCAGAGACACCAAAAACCTTATGATAGAGAGCAACCTCAGTGGACCTTTTGCAGGCCGAATGGTCTCTGCAACAGATGGATTGATTAATTGAACCTTACCCTCGTCACCGTCACCAACCACATACCTTAAACGTCGATATCCGAGGCTGTGTAAGACAAGGTCTCTGGGGAAACTGTGTTTCGACTCTTTTCCAATGTGCATCGCATACGTACTCTGTGATATCAGAATGGGTTTCGTTGTCCCAGTCACCAAGCATGTTACCTATGTCTACTTATGTGAGGAACATCTGTGCTATGAAAGCAAGTAAACCACTATGTCTACATCGCTGTGGTAACTAAAGTGCTCTTATCAACTCCAGGTCGTCGGCATAAAAACAGCACCCCCAACAACGTCACGAAAGTCGAATACGTAAACACATAACTTAACCTCTGCTGCCCTTGTGGTCTAGGCAGGCTGTTTGAGTCCTTCGGGCCCCGAATGACCAAGGCCGAGTTCTTTAGACGATAGTTGCATCATGGAGATCTGTAAGCAGCATCCTGCTGTTCCATCGGATGGCTATGCTGGCACTCTGGCAGGCTGAAAGCTGCATGCCAACCCAGAGAAGTATGGGTAGGCAGTCAAATATGCCTGCCTACCCTTGCTTCTCTGGCACAAGCTGCCAGGTGAATCTATGAAAAGGAACAACGCCGCGCCCATGTGGTTCCGCCACAAATGCATGGAGCTATAAATCGCTAGCTGCTTAGAATCGACGTTCTAAAGGCATGTCAGCATCGAACCAGTGCCTGTCGCTAAGCATAAGGGTATCTATGTGTTTGTCAACAGTGCAGGCTGCAAATTCCCTCAGCAAGCCTCATGAGAGGTTGGGGGTCGATGCTGGCATGCGAGTGACCAGGTGCAGGATGCCAGCTGGAACGCTCCACGCCATCTCGATTTGAGCAGGATGCATGTCAAGATGGAGTAATTTGCGAGACACAGCACTCGGCCGCTCGGCGCGATCAATGCAGACATAACGGCCAGTGGTGATCCTTGAGAGTTTCTCTGCCGCCAAAGGTCATCGTTTACAGCATAGATACATATGGAACACAAGGAAAGGGCCCAACTAAAGTCCATGAAGCCCCAAGCAGTACCCTGTCTGTACTCCCAGGAGAGGATACTTACGCCAAGCACTGGAATGCTGCTTTCGCACACCAACTGCGTTCTCCATGGCACCGTCCAGCACAATCAACCAATGATCTTGCCAAAGATCTCATGTTAGGCACCGATCGGAAGAACATCTCTCATCTGAGCAATTGTTACCATTAATGTCCTGCAGTGTGCCCGCCATAAGCTCGAAAGGTCGAATGTGGTCGAGGGGTAAGAAGTCTGCTCTCTTAGACACGGTTCACCCCACCACCGGTTTGGTCTGCTTTCCTTACTGCTTTGTGGACCAGTTTGCCCGCGAAGTAGCAAGCATGCTTGACAGCGGTGCCCAAACGAGCAATAATGCCGAGCTGCAGCCACCCCAATTTTTATCTCACGGACAACATATGGTTGGGGCTGTCAGGGATTATACGGCTGCCCAAAGAATCAGAATGGTCCTGGGGATGATCATTTGGAAGTCTCATGCCCTAACTTGATCCAACGGAAAGACTGGGACCGAGCCGCAGTCATCAATAGTGAAAAGAGGACTTTGGCGGTCTAGACTTAGGTTACAAGACTGATTGATCAATATAGACCAGTCACAGTCGTGTCTCGAATTGCATTGTAGTCGTAACGTGTCAATTAGAAAGTATCAAGAGATTGCGCATTCCAGTAGTGTTGCTTGAGTGTCCGATATCACCGCCTAATATTTTATTCTCTGCTTAGTACACACCCATGAGCATGACAGTCCCATTTCTATCAAAAAAAGACCCTGAGAGTAGAATAAATAAGCTCTTGTCTGGCTTTTTTGTTCGCTCATAGGAGAGTTTAATTCTCCTGTAGTCCACTTGGCAAGAGCAGTTAGTTACTTTATTGGATGCTGTAATAGGTATATGCTGTGAGCCCCCATAAGTGAAGGAGACGTCGATCATGGTGATTGGTTATGACAGTGTAAGATGCAAGGCCCAAGTAGGAACTGCTGTGTCAAGGACTGGTGAGAATAAAGCACACACCATAACAGAAAAGTCAGCATAAGAGTAAATTCAGACCGTCCAGCCGTTGCAAGACTGGGGTGTCGGATGAATCACTAATTTCATGGAGAATAGATCATACACATCACAACAGGCAGAGGCCAGTGTGAGAAGCCTACTGCATCATGCATCTGCATACTTGCTATTCGATAAGCATCTGATTTGGTCAACATGCACACCGGTTTTGTTACATTCACAGTTATGACTCAAAACGGAGTCGCACCTTCACTGAGCCTGTTATGTACCGGACAGGGCATGATGGTTGCTATGAAGTGACAGCATACATTAGATATGGTTTTGGAACAGCGATTATCCGGCAAGACACAAAGCCGTGTCTAGGCCTGTCGGTTCCCAGAAGGCCAAGCCTCAGTCGGAAATGGTAGCAGATATCGTTCTCTCTTCTTTGAGGTGTACGGTTCTTTCTTGATAACTCACAAGGCTGACCGCTCTGTGCCTCTTCATCACATACATTAGCAAGGGTTACACGACAGGTTGAATGGCCAAGCTGTCCGGGGGTTGACATGGGCTCCAATTCATACTAGAGACCTACCATTGTTGGCAAGTGTTGAGTGATGTTGTCAACCTCATTGGCCCTCAAAGGGTGTTCACCCTATCTCTAATTCTCCATTGGCGCACCTAGGAAGCGGGATAAGGTGAGGAATTCTGCTGTGTCACGACTCCGAAATCTGAATGATGGGACTGGCTCTTACTAGCTTCGTGTGACCTGGATAATCAATGAAGATTCATAATACAAAGCTCCAATTAGCCTGGGAATATCGACGACTCGGCCTGAAACACACACTTGGTAGCATGCAACAGGTCTTCGCTTGTTGGGACCGTTTCGAGGAGATGACATGACTTCGATCATTCCTCTTCAAGATATTGATTCTTTGGGAAGTAGGCCGCTGCCAATGTACACAGCTTGAAACTCGCAGCAAAGCAAGGGTCATAAACGCCAGTAGCGGATTCTTGGATAAGCAAGCAAATTGGAAACATTCACATGGGCACCTGATGCGTGGCTAGAAGCAAATCGAAAGTCTCGAAGATACCTCGTCGTGGGCGAACTTGATGTTATTAGAGATGAGGGCTGCTCCAATTATCCCGAGGCTGGAGACAAATAAAATGTGCGGCAGAGGTGAAGTTTGGTGGCTGCCAATGTGGACGGTGTGATGACAGTATCGAGACAGGAAACCATACATGAAGAGAGGAAATCAAGCTAGGCCTGCCCGTAACCCCGCCTTCTTTATTAGTAGCAAGGTTCCCGATCGGCAAGCCGAATCCGAGGATTGTTGGGCGCCGCTTGGCGTTTGCCAGCCAGCCAAAGGATCCGAACCACAGTGTCGGGTCGGATCAGGTTCTCAGTGGTCTGCAAGATGTGAAAGGAAATTGGTTGGGCCGTGGTTGGGTGGGCAAGTCCGCTGTCTTGTCTCACATCGGGCACATACTGTGTACGGAGTATTCACATCAAAGGGTTAAGTATATCTAACAAGATAATAGGCGGTTTCTGATCGTGCGATTTGAGGTTGGTATTCATTCTGAAGATGAGCCCTGATATCCCACACTCTTTTTTGTAGAGCAGGCGCTCCCTTCTCTAGTGCACTATGGAGTACTTGAGCAAAGGTCTAGCCTCAGAGGGCGTACCATGAGACACCAACACACGATCGCCACGATGCACAACTATCAGAAGGATTAGAGATGGTGCATGTATACATGCATATATGCATATAGCTTGATCCCATGTCTTTGCTGCAGCCTGGTGGCCTGGTCCCCTGGGGCTGAATGAGCCACTGCGGGAATTGGAGTGCGGAAGACGGGCAGCCAAGCAGAGCTGTGCATTCCCAGTGCTCTAGAAGTCAGGAATTCGCTTCTCGGTACCTTTGATCACTCGCAGGAAAAGGGCGCCCGACTAGAATATACCTAAGCGCCGTTTGGACTGTTCACTGTTCGGATGATGGCTACATCAACAGAGTCAACTTTCCCTCCAGCATGCAGCTTTGACTGTAGTCCGCGAGTCGAGGCCTCAACGCGAAGCTGCATAGAATATGATGCCATGATATTCAAGATCAAACGAATGTGGATGTTTGCAGGCTGTGCAAGCTTGGTATCGGCCAAGGTGCAGTTTGAAGGATTTCACCGAAGATCTGATGTACATGACCAAAACAGTTGGGGCGGACGGTGATATTGACCAATTTGATGCAGTAGCGACGTCCCCATAATCTTCGCGAAGCAGATCTTTGCGTTGACAAACAACATGCACATGCAGGCTGCACACAGCAGGCACCATATCAGTACCATGTATGAGTGTATGGTGACGATTCTGGTGCTGTGTTAAGCATGAGGGAGTGGGATGGTAATGCGAACTGAAGTTTGACGTTCAGGGAACACAGTATGGAGTGAGCTAGTTCCC